TGATACGTTCGTCCAACCCGAACGCGACGAGATCAAACAAAAAGCGATTTTCACGATCTGCCCGCCGACCGAAATAGATCGAGTCTTCCATTTCTCTCCACTAGATATCAAACATGGAGGGTACACGTTACTCGAGGCTATTTTGAGTAATTTTGAAATTCCTAAAAGTCTATCTTTCGTGTTAAAATCGCTACCGAAATCGTCGCTCGGTAGAAACTCCTCTCCCTGATCCGTGTGCCAAGAGAGAATCTTCACGAAATCCGCAACGAACGAAGGAACGACACATTTGAGAATGGCGCTGTTCCCCCTTATGGCGTATTCCTTGTTGACGTCGGTGTCGTAGTATTGCGCCACCACTGTCGTTCACATAGAAATCTAGTCTTACACCTTGGCTGTGGCAAAAGGTACAAATCACTGAGGCGAGCCTGCTGCTTCCTCTCCGATTACCGAATACAGATAAAAAGACTTCGCGGAGACGATGACGTTTTATCTTCCATCCGTAAAGAGAACGATGGAGAAGGATGGAAGATCTGACAGCCGATTAAAAATCGGAGAAGGAGCTGGAGGCTGATAACGATATTACAAAAGTCCATGTTCCTCGCACAATCTGCAATCGACAACACACATCGGATACCCGATTCATCCTGGTCGCCATCGTCACGCGTGGAGCCGTTGCTGGAACTTGCTAAAAGAACTGGAATCAATTATTAACTCGTCTTATCTCGGCAAGTAGGTCAAAGTTCAGCCGGAAGCTTCGGAGACAATTTATAAGATCTTTTCACCTGAAACTTGTAATGTCATATTTCCTTGGAAGTCAGAGAGCGTATCGAGCGAGCGAACTTTAATTGCAGACGTTCTCGTTAATGGGTGCTAATTCAAGGGGTTCTTTTTATAGAGAAATATCAGAAACGAAGAACCGCGCGAGAGAAGCAGGAAAAGGCCAGACCGCTCGATACACTCGAATCGACATCCGCACAAGAATAATCAGCGATTATTAACGAAAGGAGAAGAGTGAGACTCACCGGCCCTGACATTAACGTCCCGACTGTGCACCGAACCTGCAGGCGAACGCGCAAGGCAAGTGTAGACCTGAGCGTGGACCTCCTGACGATAATCTTCGGCCCTGAACGGAGGGAAGACCAAGTTTCCATTGGGCATCACCTGGAACAGAATTATGAATGACGTCAATCGTGAATACTTAGCCATCCGGAAGTTCGTTGGAAATCGTCCCTTCGAATGGTCTCCTGAGGTATGCACGGTTATAGTAACGCTAATACGCCGATACGACGAAACGTCGTGCAATTGAAAGGCGTGTTCAAGGAAATTACGGAGCTTGGTCCGAGACGTCTTATACGGTACCTGTCTCAATCCGGGAACATCGCCTACGGCACTTCCGTCGCCTCGCACCCAGATGATATCCGGTTGTGGGTTTCCTCTGGCATGACACTCGACCACAGCTCCAGTCCCGTTCGAAAAGTCAACTCGATTCGGGGGTTCCTTTATGAAAACGGGCCCCATGGATTCGTCCTCGGCAAACACTGAAAACAATGGTAAGACGATGCCTTGAGAACGTGCCTTGCTCGTTTTACTGGCGGCGCGTTTATTTCTGCGACTGGACTATTATGTCTGCGGCCAAACAACTTAACGTTACGGACAAACGGAGCCGTAACGTAAACGCATAAAGGTTTCTGTCAAGACGCATTCGGAATTAAAGCTCTGCGGCGTCAAGTCTCCCGCAAATCGTGCCCTCGAGATTTCACCCTCGCGACATCTGGCAGCCACGTGACTCACGTGACTCGCCCGACTCGCCCGACTCGTCTTCTATCCAGCGCCATTACAGAGTCCAGGCGACCGCGGCGTTCTTTTCGAAGGTGTCGACGAATCAAAGTGAAGCAAAAAAAGGCAAAAAGGTATCTTGTCGAATCTCCTCGAACTACCTCGGGGTCCATCGATAGGCTTTTAATTGTACATCGGTCGAGTAATGACGTTTCGATTCCTTCGAACTTTCCGCACGTCGTCTGCTCAATTACCAAAAAGTACGTCGAACCGTCCCTCTGGCAATTTTCTGCTTTCCGCTGTTCTCGTTAAAGGCAGGACTCGTCAATTAAAGATTTAGGAGCGTCGTGTCCCTGTTTATCTGAATGCGACTGAGCGAGACACAGCCAATGAATTTCCGAGCGCACTTCAAATAGCACGACTAACGAATTTCGCTCGGAAACCGAGGAGGAGCCGCCGTTACGAGAACGAACAGCGAAATAATAAACTCGTGGGAGCCTCGTGATATTCCTGCGTCCGTCCAACGTGTAACCTTAATTTTGACGCATGTGTAACGCATTAATGACAGAGCGCGGATGGCCAGTCAAAAGGACGGGGGGACACGTTTGTCTTTTGTTTATCGTAGAGCAGACGTGGATGCGACACCCACGTCCAATTGGGACACCAATTCTCAAAAGTTCATAACTGCAGCGCAGCCTTCGTCCGGCTATGAAATATTATATGGGCCTTGAGGCAACTTTGATTTTCATATTAAACGAATGACGCGTAGAGAAGATTGAGAACCGAGCCCCCTTCGTTCCTCGGATTTCCATCGGGGACTTGAGCGAACCAAGCTGCTGCACCCTGCGAACCGAGAGGCCTGAGCCGAGGCCTGAGCCGAGGCCCGAGCAGGTGCTCTGTCACATTTTTCTTCTGCCTCCCGACTGCTCGACCGGTTCTCCTCGCAGCTACTTTTGAGGCCGCCTTTTATTCAAAGCACAACGCAACTCGTTATTCGGCTCGAGATTTTACCGGAGAGACTCGAATAGAAGTGTCAGCTGTCGAAAGAAAAGGAGCTGCCGACTGTATAAAAGAAGTCGAAGCCAATCGGTATGCGATGCATAATGAGTCAGGGAAGAATAGATCCTGAGGTTACAGTCAAGAGGTGTAAATCGTTGAAACAATGAACGGAAGTTGCATTCGTGAAGGAAGGACGGACGGACGGACGGATGGAGGTCGCATACCACGTTCATTCGGATATCAGTGCCATCTGTTGTGCATGCTCAGAATGGCCGACAAACTTTTGAACCAATTGAAGCAATGAGAGGTTAACTTCTTGGAGTACCCAAAGTACTCGAGGCTGACGCGAGACGATGTGCCGGAATATAATTTTCCTGGATCGGACGAGTTGGCTGCTGTAGCGATAAAGAGCGTCGCAGTCGACAACCAGGGTCTATATATAAGCATCGGGACGGGCAGCGTCGCTGCATTATCTCGAGCGAACCGACGCTCGTGTCTGTATAGCGTGGTTGCACAAAATGTGCGTATACAGACGTGTGCGTCGTGAGTAACGCGCACAGCTACTGGAAGTTTACGGAGCCAGTGAAATGCCGGGTCACGCGCGCAAAGCCGTTTGGATCTTTGAGAATCGCGACTGAATAAGTATGGCCAAGTGAAAGGGAGAGATGTCTGACCGTTTTCTGCGCATGCGCACTCGCTGCAAATTCTGTCAACGTTCGTCATTCTATTTAACCTTTTTCTCGATTCTATCCGAACGAAAGAAAACTTCTCGATTCCCTGACATCGCGTCGATCTACCGCGCTTTAGGCACAAAGATGACTGTGAGATTAGCGTCTCGTGTGTTGGAATCCAAAAAATAATTTAAATTCGCATCCCACGAAGTTCTATAGATCCTGATAAGTTTTAGCATTAGTTCTGGTAAGTTTCCAAAAAAATGAAATCGAATAACTGAGATGCTTCGCAATAATGTCACAATGCTGATTTACATATATATTGTTTTTAAAAATCGGACGTATCAAGGAATCTTCCTATTTTCTCAACAGTAATAATATACGGATCGGTATAGGCAGGACGAAATAAAAATGGAAGGTTGCGGTCCGAAGGCACTAATCCGTAACACCTGGTCCTCGAGGATCGAGTCGCAGCCCTGCTTCCTTTCTGGGAACGACAGATGCTCGTCCTTTCTTTAAGGCATTCCTATAGACTCGGCTACGCCTTGGACTTTGGCAGCTGCCGTCTCTGCTACCCTATACAATTTTCTGGCAGCTCTACCTTTCTTCGTAGTTAAAGATCCGATAGAAGATTCTCCTGGCTGGAGTCGAGTTAGCCCAGCAAGACTTTCCTTCGGGATCACGTCTATTTCTAGACGAAGCCCACAGGGCCCGAACCGGAAGCCATCCACTTTCATCCGGCAGATCAATATTACCAATCGGAATAGCGTGTCTCTGGCACGTGGGAGTCTCACGATTGCCGAGGCCATCCGGCAAATACTGACTCGTCTTGCGTGTTGGCGAGCTGTCAGCTGGCTCTAGTGACGTCGCGAACATTGCGACGTGACCTCATCCTCGCGGTACCCCCAGTGGCAGCAGCAAACCGCTCGATCCTTAAGCCGATCGCGTAGCGTAAGCTGCGAAAATCGTGAAGGCGTGACGCGCGAGACAACAAAACTGAGGCCGGCGACGAGAAGAAAATTGGAAATAGAGGAGTAAACGAAAATAATAGACCAAGGGAATAAATGCGGCATGTTTTGAATCGCCCCCTTTCCATTCGACAGTGTGGGGGGCGCACATGGTCGACATGAATCGTCTACTTCCGACTTGGCCTGATCCCGCGTTGAAACAACACACCGCGACATAATTGAACCCAACGACAGCGGGAGACCCGTGAACGCGGCCTTGTGCTCGGGCTGCTGGTACAGTCGGAGAGCCGAGAGAGAATTTTCTAAATTAGTCCGAAGAGAGGTTAGGCTCCTGCTAACGTGCTCGTGTCTCCGAGGATAACGATTTACAAGAGAGACCAAGAGACTTTAGACAAATGAAGGCTCTGCTGATGTTTCACGGGTCGATGATTCTCTATTTTTCCTACTAACAATTTTTGTTCTACGCGTGAAATATGCTGGCGTCATCCAAGGATCGATCTCAAAGCATGACTTCAGCTTAGGAGTCACTCTCGGTATTACTCATCCCGCTCATCCGCATTTAAAGTCATTCCTCCTGTCCTCGCTGCTTATAGTGGAATTTCAAGTGCGCACCTATACGGCCCATGCAGCTCTTGGTATAGCTGTAGTAGCTGAATCCAAGAAGCTTCTTCTAAGGTAGCGAGCAAGAGAGGAAGTACGCCCAGGATATTCTAAATTACTAATAATCGAGAATAATGAAAACCTTCTGGCCGAGATTAATATAATTTTGCGAGATAAAATACTGGCAACTGATACAGTTTGAAATAGCACGAGCGTGACGAGGATGTTAGAAGTTTAAAGGACACCGTGTACGTCTTGAATTCTGCCGGCCGATGCAGAAACGCTTCGATATTCTGCTGCATCGTAAACGACCTTTTTTACAAATTGAGCTATCATTATATTTCCCTGGTCAGCCGTTACCTCGGCTTCCACGTATCTCGTGCATTGTTTATCTACTGCATGGGTCTCGATGTCCTTGCAACGTATAAAATTCTGATCCAGTGCATGGCTTACCTGATGTAATCGCAGCTGAGGCCAACAGCAATAAGGCCAATGAGGCCATTGCAGTCATACTCCCTCCTGGTGGATCTCGCCACATTTTCGATATAATCCTGCTTCTCTCCACCTGATACGTACACATAAAGCACAAGTAAGCACCAAATTTACACCCACAAAACGCCGAAACTTCATATTTCCTGATTAAATTCTTTGGCCGGGACTCGCTATTAATTCTCGGCTTCTCGTACTGGCGATCGGTTTGTATAGACAGGATGTGGGATGCTTTATGGTGGACAGGAAGACGCGACGGAACAATAGAGGACTTCTTGAGAAACAGTTTGGGCATGGACCTGTGTCAATATCATTGATCCTTCATCATTTGAGGCTGAAAATATTAAAGTGCCTTTCAAAGGTTTTACGGAGGAAGCGGCCATACACGTGCCACCGATTATGATCTTAGTCGGTAGTAGTGGGGGATGAGCAAAGGTAGCGCGAAAGGGAAGAAGGGAAGTGTATATGTGGTCGGCATCCCTTCGATGAGAAGGGAGGCTATAGAAGGGAAGCATGCACGAACGGCTCGCCTCGGAGCTTTCCGGAGGGTTTATTGATCGCAGGGGTAGCGCGCAACGCTCCTCGACTACGACGCTTGCCTCTGCTTTTACTAAATTCAAGAGAGACGCCCTGCCCTGCCCCACCCCGTCTCACCCCATCCCACTCCTCTCCAGCACCATTTGCTACCCATGTTCCAGGCCAAAGACACTAGCTACTGGATTTATTGAAGAAACTATCAGCAGCGCTTTACACCCTTTCATTTGTATTTCCTAACAGCTGGGGGGTGATTTTCCATGCATTGCGTAGAGAACTGTTAAATCGTGTTGTGCTGCCGCCTCATTGGTTGACAGATTTAATATTACCATTTTTTCACTGGCATCTCTAGAAAGTAAAGCGCTTAACTGCCCGTACCCCATCACGGAGACAAAATTGTTCATGGTCATCCACCCCATGCGTCATGCTCTCTGCTGAAGCAACGAGTTTAAAGAAACTAAAACTAAGAAGCGTGAGATATCGCGTTTCGAAGTAAGTTGATCAATCCGCGGCGACTGTTTTAATTACGACTCGTGAGCTCAAAAGAGCTAAGAGGAGCAGAGCCTTCCTTGTTCTCGGAAATACGTTTTGAAATCTTAAGACACGAGGCAAATGTTGTCTTTCACAGAGCATTAATTGTTCAATGAATGAATCGAATCACAGCGAGAAGCGTCGAATGTCTAGCGAGATCCACAGTGGCAATTCTCACTCCTGGCTTTTTCGCACTTTTACTGCTAGACTTTCAATTAAAACCACGCGTTATCACACACAAATGAGCTGCTATGGCTGCAATTATCGTTAGTCACTATTATTTATATCGACTTGTCAACGCACCTTTCGCACGACTTTCACAAATGCGAATTCGGTTTTGCTCCTACCCACAGATCTACAATTTCGCACTAAATGACAAGTCACACTGAAGTATCGCTAGTAACCACGAGAGCTGCAATCCCGCACGAAGCGAGCCGTCCGTTCGCTTAGCGGCGAGTGGCGGAGAGAAGCGTCACTTGACAAGACGCCGGCAGCCGGGAGGTCAGGAGTGTAGCTACCACGACGGTGAGAGTGCTCCTACTGCTCTGCTCTGCTCTAACTTTACAAATTATGTCCGCGTGAATATGAAAATAAAAAGGCGGAAGTGCAGTAAGGAAACTTTTCTTTGGAAATGGGCAAAATTACATTATAAATGAGTTTCGATTGATGTTAGAGATAGCGGCCTATGGCTTGTGACAATCAGACAGGAGTGACTATTATTAGTCTAAGAGGACTTTTATTAAATCAAGAAAAGCTTACGTGGGCTGAAATTATGATTTGATTGATATATACATATACTTATACGCTGACCTGTGGTAATATTTAACGGTGTCAAAAGTAGTTGGATCAACCAATCAAATTTATGTATATTTACCTGAAAATTAGATAATATTCCCGGCAAATAATATGAATTACAATTTACTTGACAATCAATGTATTATTCACGGAATTGAACTTTATAAACAAGTAACCATCATTAGGTATGACGTTTAACACTTATTTAGCCATTATCTGTGGTGAATTTCAACGACGGGTATTTCGAGGTCTTGAGAAGCGTTAAAAAACTTGTCGCATGAGGGCAGCACTTTCAGGTTGCATTTATAAGGTAGTTTTTAATACCTTATGCATTTATAAAAGTACCTCCTTATGTAATTTTAACATTAACAAAAAACATTTTATGTAAATCTGGATACAGTAGGTGAATAAACAAGAAATTACTGAACGCCTGGCACGTACTTGTCTTTGAAAATATAAAATCAAATTAGATACCATGAACGAAATGGTATGAAGCCAAATTATATTTAATGAAAACAAAGGAAAGTATTCTGGTGGAATATTTAAGTTTTATTATAAAGTTAGAGGCCACAGTACACGTTTAAAATGGGATCTTCTTTGCCTCAGTTAATACAATGAATTTTGAGTTGCAAACAGCACAAACGATACATAAGACGCAATCGAAAGTTTTCATTAATCAATATCGGCCCGAGCGACCATCACGACCTTTGTCCTCTCTGCCCTTATTACGTCTTTCCTTTGATCGCGAACGCCTTTCACGAGATCGAGATCTGCGCTTGCGATCGCGTCCACGAGACCGTGAACGAGATCGTGATCTTCCTCCTTTGCCGCCCTTCTTGCGACTGTAGAGATAGCGACGGAGTTCTCGTGAGATTGGCTTTAAGTGCATGAAATTGCAGAATCCTGACCGGGTACATTCTCTGTAAATTTGATACTGTATATTATTTGTATCCAACAGCTTTTATGAGCCAAGTAATGTAAAAGATTACCCCATTTCATATTGACGACAGCAGGCTTCTCTAAAGTCAGTTACTGGTGACAATTCCGCGTACACTGGTCTACCACCAAACCATCGATTGTTTAAATCGTTCACTGCCTTTTCCGCATCCTCCTCTCTTCTGAACTTTATATAGACGTTACCAACCAAATGATCTCCAAGATTATCACAAACATTCATCTCTTCGATTTCTCCATATTTATCTTCACATTCCACAAAGACATCCTCAAAAAAGTTATCGTAATGCTCTTGCATTTCTTCATCAGACACATTTGCAACCACTACAAATGTAAGTATGCTCATGAACACACATCAAAGTAGGCTAAATCATTCCTTTTTTTGCAATATATGTAAAAAAAACTTACAATGTGAGCCATCAGCGCTCTTTGCTGAGTTCTGCGGATTCACGTATAAATTTTGTAGTAGACAAGTCTGTAACAATAAGCACTCATTTAATATTTTGTGATGATATGCAGACGCCGTATATATTCATGCTTGACATACCTGACTGAAAGTCGGTTTGTTGTGAATACGGGAACATCTGTCGCCGTGTCGACATGCGCCGATTTTGAAATAAAAGGAACAATTAACTCTGAAAGATGAAGACGCTATAATCAGAACCAGTGCACGCAGAAGCACACGTGAAAATTTCAACTTACTTGTCCTTTTCGGTTCCAAAAATTGAGGCTAAGTATTCCGCCATAGTACGACCCTATAGGGCGACCGTCCTATTGTAAAGCCAGTGATGAAACCTCGTCCAAAATTCGTGAAACACAAAATGTTGTCAACAATTACCAAAATGTCCGCCTCACCACTGTCCCCGACTGCTCGCGACTGGCCGCTTCTACTTCTAGATAAACAACTTGCACTCATAAAATGTTCCTAGGATCTTGAATACGCCAATCGGTAGTGTAGAACGAACTTTTACCGTCAATAGATAGATTGTCTGTCAAATAATTGACGGAAGATAAATAAACTAGGCATTCCCGTGCTTTCGTGCCGTTTGAATCTTATAGACTAGTGTTTCCACAATTTCCGATTACAAAAATGATAACTTACGCGGAGCTAATACAAAATCTTTATCGTAGGGCTTCGACAAGCTACCTAGTTTACATATTTTATTCACGACTGAGCTATAATAGCCACTTTATTCCCTGAAAAGCAGGACTAAAGTAGCATTTTATTCCCGCATATTTGGTTTCACCGCAAATTTACTTTATTCCCGCATTTTGCGTACTAGTGTCATGAGATAATTGTGTTTTTTGCTAAACATTAAAGAGTGAAGTGAAAAAGATTATATGAAAAATATCGGCATAACGATTTTCTATAGAATGTTTTGGTGACTAAGAAAGAAAGATACCTTTCGGAGGTTTCATAGAAGGACGAGCGGATTTATAAAAAAAAAGGTCTACCGTTATTCCCATCAACGGGTAAGTGTCAATTTATAATTATGTAATCAGTTCTGTACAGAAATTGCCCAAACTGGCCTGTGAAAACGGTTGACGCAGTGAGAAACGACGAAAAGCAGTTACGGATCTACTTTTTATAATAATAATCTCTCTCTTGATTGTATTGTGATAATTATTATGTTTTATTCTTGATATAACGAATAGACGTAAGAAATTTATTTCTGATTGGGAAATACAGAAACCAATTATGTTTCCCGCGTACTTTCGAAACTATAGCAAGAATAGAAGAAATAAGCGTTTTACAGTTTAACACCTCGGTTAACGATATATTGACTTCCCTTCCGATTTACGTATTAAAATCTAATGCTCCGACAAGTGTATCTCCTATCTAGCGATATACGCTGAGGGAATTTGAAAAGATAGACCCTATTCCAGATAGCCTGCTAAAGCTAGAAACGTTTTCATGAAGCGACTTTAAAATACTTGACATTTCCATCGAGCAAAGAATATTTTAAGATTTTGTCGACCAAGCACAACATTCGGCCATCTTCATTGACTTCGTTTCCATCAGTGAAATACATTGAATGTATACCTATAGCTTACTAATATATAGATATACAACACACTTATTTCATTTCTCAACTTGACTCCGGTGGGAGCATAGCCAATGTGCAGTACTGTACGTTATCGCGCAATCAGCTGATATATTACAAGCGCCACGAAAATATTTTCGTTTCTCATGCCGTTCAGTGTCAAATAGAATAATCAACGACTGCAGCTCGTATTTGGGCTTTAAAGTGTTTTTGGCATCTTTAATCTTCACCAGGTAAGAACGATAGTTATCAATTAGCGTGCAGGTAATTATTTATAGTGTAAACATTCACAACTCACGGGGAAGTTAAGCTCAGCTAACTTTGCCACTCTTGGTACATTGTGGCAATTGCTTATCATCTATAAAATTAGTTTGAGCTATTTACGCTAGATACAAGGATTTTAGACAATGCTGTTTCGTAGGACTCGAGCTTTGACTATGGGTAATGCAGGGAGTAGTCAACCAGGGACACACCATCATGGTAGTACTGTGTCAAGAGAAGGAAATCGTCATAGTAAGGATCATCCTCCAGCATCTCCTGGAAAAGAGGGACAAGCATTTGTCTTTGATAAAAAGCCAAGCCAGAAACTGGTCTTCCAGTCCTCTCACGAAGAGGAAGAACCATACTTCACAAAGGTGAAATTATTAGTTTTTGTTATATGCTATAATATGAAGGAAATCATTCTTAGTTCATCTTTAATACATGAATCTTTGAAAGTAGACAGACCATCAGTTTGGAGAAAATTATGGAGCACAGCGTCCTCGATCCAATACTGTTTCCGAAGGAACAAAAGTCTCAGATAGCAAAGTACTGCCGACTGTTTTCAAATGGGAAGGTGGTGGCAAGCAGGTTTATATAAGCGGAACATTCACTGGATGGAAAACATTACCAATGGTTAAGAGTCATGGAGATTTTGTGACTATAATTGATCTTCCGGAAGGCGAACATCAGTATAAATTCTATGTGGACGGCGAGTGGAGGCACGATCCTGGTTTAGTAAGAATAAGCCCATAACACTTAAGACCTTAATCTAAGTTAATGAATAGCATAGAAAAAATTAAAACATTGTTTACGTAGAAAATAGTTGACAATGGAATGGGCTCAAAGAATAATCTGGTCTCTGTAAAGAAATCAGATTTTGAAGTCTTCCAAGCTCTTGCAAAGGATAGTGAAGGAGTGATCAGCAGTGCGCAAACAGAATATGGGCAAGAAATTCCACCAAATAAACCATGGGAAAAAGTAGCTGGCCCACCAATTTTGCCGCCACACTTGTTGCAAGTTATTCTTAATAAAGACACGCCGCTTTCTGTGAGTGGAAATTCCTATCAAATGACGATTTCAATGAAATATTTACGAATAATACTAATACAAGAATATCGCAAATTTCAGTGTGAACCGACGCTTCTTCCAGAGCCGAATCACGTAATGTTAAATCACTTGTACGCTCTGAGCATCAAAGACAGTGTTATGGTGTTATCAGCCACACATCGTTATCGCAAGAAATACGTAACCACTTTACTCTACAAGCCAATTTAAGCGTCCCTTCTTTCCTCTTCATGAGAATCTACCTCTTAGCTGGTGAGAAAGGAACTGTGGACATGATGCATCATTTTTTGAAAAGGTAAAGGTCCAAGTAAGAAGGTAAAGTTGGAATTTATTTGAAATATAAAACATATATCGTATCTTAAACAATTGTAAAATAATGTAATTACTATTTATTAAATCAAAAACGTTGAAAATTGTTTATACCAATGATTGACCAGTTTCAGAAAGTATTAAACGTTATTGTCTTCAATTTCCGATATATACGAAAAGGGAGATTCGGATCTTGTACGTAGAAAGTAAGAACCATTGGCATTTCTGTCAACGTGCTCTCCCATGAGAACAGTCTCGGCCATTGCGCAGTCGCCTCTCATATATTTATCCCAGGTATCACACTTTGTGGCAACTAGTCCCGTCTTCGAGTTAATACTCTCAGTGAAGTAAAGATAGGAACGTCCATGACTACAGGCATCTGCAAATGTTGATTAGACTCTCGAAATATGCTGAAATTCAGTAAAAATAACTCACCCATCACTTCTGGAATACAACAACAACCGGGTTGCACTGCTGTTCCACCGTTGGGATAAAAATCTACTTGACCCAAAGGTTGCAAAAAACCAAGGACTCCTCCACAGGAGTGTATAATGTCAACGAATTCAGCATCCGAGGCATCTAGTCGACCCTCCTCCGTCGTGAAGATGTGGATTCCTGGCAAAGCTGGATCCAATCCAGTGACTCTACCAAGTTTCCCTGAAAATGTTGCAGCACCGGCATTTCCAGCAACGTGTGCTCCCAAGGAGTGTCCTGTTGTCACACGCAGAAGATGCAGTAGCGCAAAGGGTCTCAATGAAAATACGAGGCGAATTGAAGGAGAAAAAACTGACCTAAGAAATGAACATCCTGGGTCTTTAAACCAGTTTCAGTAACTAGGAAATCAATGAATTTTCCAGCATCCTTTCCAACTCTATCGGTATTTTTCATCGGTCCAAGATAGAAAGTGCTGGCAGCAAGTGGTTCCCAATCCACGAGGATGACGTTATAATCGTCGTGCGACAGATAAGCTAGACAAAAAACAATGAATTCACAATGATTGATCAAGTGTCAACTGATGAAATTGTCTCACGCATTCGCATACCGGATTTCATATTAACGATGCTAGACGTGAATGCACTAGATTTCCAACCGTGCGTGATCAGCTTGGTCTTTCGCGATGGAGAAAAGTTTGAGTTTTTTAAAGCTTCCGTATCGTTCGTGTACAAATTTTCTCCTTTTTCTGGTCCATCTCTTTTAATATACAGATCGAATTAGTTCGATATCAATTACTCTTTGCAAGTATAGTTTGTATTATTTTAGTACCGTGTATATAGTATATATGTAATTGGGAATGAATCAAAGACACCTCGAGCTTCATTATCGTCCACTCCTTTGAGTACAGCAACTTGTGGTTTTCCGTTTCCATCGGGCATGAAGATCCATTCTTCGCCATATCCATCGTACTTGCTGCGTAATCCGCTATTGGATACTTCAGATTTAACGTTGTACTGTATAACTGCTGCGAGAAGCAACGGTATATAAGATAAAGTCCCCACGGGCATTTTTTAAAACTATACGCGCTATTTTAAATTTATTGTAAAAAGACCACGTTAGTACTTAGTATTAGCGACTAACGAGCTGAGCGGAACCCTGGCGCGTGGGAGTTCTTATAAATCCGCACAATATCGAAAAAAAAGCATGAATACCTCTTGAGGTGGCCCAGTTTTTAGTTATTTATCTGCTGGTTGTTATCATGAATGCGGAAATACTGCCAAGTAGCGGCCGAGTAATGCTTCCACTACGATTACTCGCGGAGCCCTAACTTGCTCCCTAATCCTGATATTTGCATATCTTTTCCAACGTTTTGTGCTCCCTAACTTGAATTTAGTGATAATAATACCATAAACGTCGCATTTTCATTAAAAGTTAAAATATTTGATTTGATAGTCGTTTTACTGACCGTCCGATTCTATCAGGCGCTTATACAAAAATACACTTACAAAGAATGAATTGAATAAGGTTCGATGAGGAATACTTTAAATTCTAAATATATTATCATTTTATTTTCAAGTCACTTCACATTATGTAGCTATCATCCAGAACTCCTTACAGTTATGTATTTCACTTTAGAAAAATGTATAAAGATTCAGAAATCAGTCTGATTCTATCCATAGGATAGGATCATAAAGATAGTCGACCACTCATGTGTCACTAGTTGAGAAGAATCATTGTTAATAGTAGTCAGTCCGAATTCTCCGCTGCCAAAAGTACCCACGAGGGGTATATTAGGAAAGAGTTTCTTGAATATGCTCGATTCTACGTTTCGTTCGCTGTGCAATCGAACTCCACGCTGATAACAGGCGAGCATGAAACCTATTGTGTATTTTCTTAACTTTATGCAATCCTTTAGCTGCGACAGCTTAGCTTCTATTTGTTCTTTTGTTCTCTGTTGATCATCTATAACTATAGACCAGGTTGAGATGTCTGATCCACTGAAAGAAATGCCAGCTAAGCTCACGTTTACCAGACATTTATTATCCTTCCGATTGCAGATAGCTAATTCGGTGGCAATACCACCCCATACGGACAAGGGTTCTTTGGAAGTCTTACTTCTGTCAAACAAAAAAGTGTACCGATTAGAAAATTGGAAACTAAGCAGTTTTGCTTTTTTTTGCATATTATTTTTCAGTCTTACCGCTCAGAAACAAAGAATTGCAACATTCTGCTTATTATTCCTGAGCCTGCATCATTGGAAAATATTATTACAGCTTTCATGTCTTTGTCAAATTGTTGACTAAAGGGTCGCTTTCTATTTTTTGCAAACTGTTTAAAATTATGTGAGACTGCATGACTTGTTAATGTGAATGTCTTAATTTTAACATTTGGTACTTTTGGTAAAAAGAGGCATGAGACAGCATCATTATCACATTCAGCTTCAATCTGATTAGCTATCATTCCATGGTCACCAAATATAATACTCTTGCATTGAGTAGGTAAATAGGAACAGTAACAGCCTGAAAATAAAATTTCTCATCTGTACATTACAGTTGATAAGTGACCAACGAAACTGAACAAAGAAATAACAATTGAGCGTAGCATACCTGGACCTTTTTTACTCATAATCCTAGATTCACATACAATACGACTATTGATTGTGCTAACTCCAAATACCAATCCAACTATCGGTTGGATATTAATGTGCTTTACAATAGAAAGCCCAAGGGTCTTCCCTTTTTCTTCTAACTTACTAATATGTACCATGAAACAATCAGGCCAGAGTCTTGTCTTCTTTTCATCACTCGCTGCTCCTTGCCACAATCTGAAATGCCAATGGAGAACAATATTCTGCAGGTAGAGACTAGTTCCTTGTGCAAAAGTACATCCCAAATACTTCTACCTGCAAACCATAGCTGCACTCGTTAAATCCTTGCCATTCAAGTGTCTAAATATGATTCGCAAAACGTCATAACTCATCCATCTTTCGCTGTCAGATGTAATTGAATCTTCGTTCGTTCTCTTTGATTTCTGCTTTTGTGACCGTTTTGCGACTTTTCGTATATCTTTCTTGGCAGTCCTCTTCGATGTGTTCTCCATTGTTGGCTCGGGTTTTATCGTTACACATGTATCGCGTACGGGATAGTCGTACACGTTCGAAACGTTCAATCAACAAACAGTCTGACAGCCAGTCACTGTACATACAAAAGCTAAACGTGTAATACCTGTCAGGTAGTCGTTCAGCTCCATACAGGATCAGATCTATACCATCTATGCCTGGACTAGCCTGGACCACGATTGACAACTGTAGACTGTTGTGAATATAGAGATACATACCAGAGATGAGTAAGGAGATGCACAACGCTACGGTTTTAGGCGATACCAAAAGCATGGCGCTGAATCCCAGCGGCGAGTCCGGAAGTAGAGTTACGTGATCATAGTCTCCGTCCATAATGCGGATCCCGTCGTAGCCGAACTAACCGCGATCACGAACGTGTAGCTTGCCGGGCAGAGTCCTCCGCTACTTATCGCTGGTTCCCAAAGCAACACTTAGAACGAGACAGCTCATCGGATATAGCCTAAATACTTTTTTTCTTTGCAATCCTAAATTCGATCGCACAGTGTAAGCTCGGTAAGTTTAATATGACAAAAGCAAGCAATTCATGCCTGCCTGCACTGAAGCGTATGATGCCACCAGCATATTTAATACATATTTTAACGATGTTGCGTAGCAGAACGATTGTTAAAACCTATCAGGAACTATAGAACTCCTTGAGAACTATTTAAAAAGCCGAAAATAATGTTTCAACAATAGGCTTTTTAAAAAATTGTCGAGGAGTTCTATAGTTCCTGATAGGTTTTAACAATAGTTCTGCGTGGTCCTATGGCAATTCTATCTGTGCCAGCCTCTTCTATGGACCATTCTGAGTTTCTGCGCTATGGGATCCTTAAAAATTTCAACGAGAAAACCGTAGATTGAACCGTTTGCGCGATACAGCCCGCCGAAGGTGAAGTTTCGCGTATCTTCAGAATCCAAGAACGGGGATTCCTTGTACGTGACCCTATCTTTGACTTTTGACATTGTTCTTATATAATTAATAAATTGGGAGTACTCACCGGAGCTGGTGCAGCTAATCCGAGAAGGCCGAGAACCGTATCCAGAGAACACTCGGGTGGGCACTTCACTAGGTCACAGCACTACACGTCCGGAACACGCTCGAGAAATCCATAGAATTTCTTGGATATCGCGAAAGAAACGCGAGAACTACACGAGCGAGAACTTTCCATGCCGTAGCGAAACACAGATGGAAAGAGATGTATTCGCGACGCACTTACTCAAACGTATCAAGTCACTACGTCACACTTTTTTTCGTAAATGAAGGTAAAGGATAAAGAGTATAGAAAGAGACGTTTCGCGACGCACTACGTCACACTTTTTGTTCGTAAACGAAGGTGAAGGATAAAGAGTATAGAAAAAGATGGCATGAAATGGGCTGAAGGCCCGAAGAGATTAAAAGAGATGATTTTGATGATACTGATAGGGAATGGTTGTTACAGACATGACACTTGACCGGGGACAAGCGCGATGGACCGGATTAAGCAGGCTAGGGTGCGAAATACACGCTATCGGGCCCAACCCCCACGGACAACGGAGGTCCGGCTAACAGATACCGAAGTAACAGCGGACTGCTGTGACGCAAGAGCTTAAAGGGCCGCGAAGCGGCTTCCGACCTTCGACAGACTTTGGTCGCGGACACAAAGCATTGACAAACATGAGTACAAGACTTTGAACAACATGAGCATATGTGAGACAAAGAATCGATGAATGTATCATAACTGCGATGTATTTGCGGGGAGAGGGGAAGGGGGATGGAAGACCGGCAAAACGCGGCTTCCAAGAGGTCGGCTCTCGAAAGACTGACCTCTGCACCAATAATACATTCTTTGTATACCACTGTGTACCCCCTCCCCCCGCTCGATTACTCCTTGGCAAAAGTGATGCCCCCCTACGACAGGTTTGTCAATTACAACTCGTAGAGGGTTCGTCAACGATGCTCTCGAGTGACGATGCAGGCTGATCGGTGCACGGCAATTGTTCGCATTTCAGGATATCGTTGACGCACCCTGTAATGCTCCTAAAGCGTACGTTTCATTAGTACAGCAGGGCTCTAAGTGCGTCTCTCTCGCACGCATACGGATTAATACACTTTTTCCACTACTTATAACTATACTACCTTTAACTTATAACTATACTACCTATAACTTTTTTGAAAAACTCAAAAAAATGGTGTCTAGACACTGTACCATCTACGTACTTATCTTGAATTTAAAAAACAACTGTGACGGTGTAAACTATGAAACGCAGTGGAGATGTATTTACCGAAGCTGGTGCAGCTAATCCGTGAAGGCCAAAAAGTGCATCCAGAAGACACTCAGGTGGGCACTGCACTAGGACACAGCACTGCATTTCCAGAACACTCACAGAAAATCCATAGAATTTCCTGGATATCGCGAGAGCAACGCGAGAAGTATACGAGCAATAACTTTCTGTACCGTTTTGAAACACAGCTAGAAAAATTATCAACGAGACAGACTGCTTTGATGATAGCCAAATTCGAGAACTAGTCATTCTGATTATCTAATTGGTCGAGATCCTTATAGCCGATAACTCTTCCTTTCCCTCATGCCGTCCCTTTGAATCAAGTGATGAGCGTTCCTTAGCAAATCGGTACGTAGCATTTGGAAATCCTCCACGGCGGCTTCCCCAGGACATTGGACGACAGCTGGGTACCACATCTTTAACTCGGGCAGGAGGTTCCTCCCCTTATCGTAATGAAACCTTATCTCCGCCCGCTCTACAGCCCTTTGCCTATCTCCAGCGGGGCGCCGGCATCTCACCCGAACTTCTGCCGGTCAGTGGAGACGTCTCCGTCGGTTACTGTCGTCTGCCGGGCAACTCGCTACGTCGAGACTGCCTCCCCACGGCAGATTCGAGCACCTGGACGTCAACTAAACAATAACGAAATCTTACGAGAGCATTGGTATACCTATACGAATCAACCCGAGAGCGCAGCTTTGAGATGGAGAACGTTATCTGTATCGGTAGCCGGAGTCGCCTTGTGACCGTGACTTGAAAAATCACGGCACAACAGTTACCCATGTACCAGCGTATAAATACATCTAAAATAATTGTGTGTAGTGTATTGCGCTAAGTATTTTATATAAATGTTAAGTAATAAAGTGAATTTATGGGAACAATAATTGATTGATATTTATTAGCCTCCTCGGCTATTTTTGTACATAAATTACATTAATCGAGTACATAACATTTACTTAACTAACGATACAACATAATCTTTTAACATTCTTTTAAATTGTTCTATTCTCTCGCACCTTTTAACTTCATTTGGCTGGCTTTCAGTGTTGTTTTCAGATTGTGCTTCAAACAGTTCCGAAATAGTTCTCATTAGTACTCAATGTTGGGACCATAGTCCCGCTTGGAACTATTGTTAAATCATGATGGAAGCTAGCACCGCATCGCTGCACTCCTTAACACAGGCAGGCATAAGGTGCTGGCTTTTGTCTTAGTGAATCTTATCGAGCTTACACTGTACATTTGAATTTAAGGTTACAAAGAAAAATATTTAGGCAATATCTGATAAGCGGCCTCTCTCTAAGGGTTGCTCCTTTTAACTTCATTTGGCTGGCTTTCAGTGTTGTTTTCAGATTGTGCTTCAAACAGTTCCGAAATAGTTCTCATTAGTACTCAATGTTGGGACCATAGTCCCGCTTGGAACTATTGTTAAATCATGATGGAAGCTAGCACCGCATCGCTGCACTCCTTAACACAGGCAGGCATAAGGTGCTGGCTTTTGTCTTAGTGAATCTTATCGAGCTTACACTGTACATTTGAATTTAAGGTTACAAAGAAAAATATTTAGGCAATATCTGATAAGCGGCCTCTCTCTAAGGGTTGCTCTGGGAATCAGTTGTAAGTTGTGGAGAATCTCTGCCCGCCAGGCTACCCGTTCGTGATCACGTTCAGTTCGGCTACGACGGGATATACATTATCAACGGAGGCGATGATCACAAAATTCTATTCCCGGACTCGCCGTTACGATTTAGCGCCATGTTTTTGGTATCGCCTAAAACCGTAGCGTTGTGCATCTCCCTACTGATCTCTGTACATACATAACGGGAGTCAAGCTGCGAATGAGGACGGGAGATGCACGTCGTAGCGATGCGGTCGTTCTCATGAAAACTCTCTGGAAAGCTGGGGGAAGGTAGGAAGAAGGAACGTTGAGAAAAAGAACACCGAAGAACACGACAGTATGGCTCGACGATGACATCACGTCAAAACTTACTTTTGTCGTAGGGGGTCAGGGTCCTTGTATTTATTTCTTTGAACTGCCTCGAGTGACTAGGACACCTAGGATGGATACAGAAAAGAAAAGGAGTGTTGAATCATCTCAAACGGATCGACTTTGCCGGGTTTGTCTTGTAGCCGAGCAAAATAACCAATGTATTTTTCAAGTAAACGAGAATGACCCCAAAAACGAGAGTGCACTCGACATGCTGCAAAAATTGCACATTTATGGGGGCATTGAGGTCAGTGAATGAACTTTTCGAAAATGTTATAAGTCTGGATTTTTTCTTAGTGTTATCATAAAATATTTTCTTTGATTTTAGGTCCTGAAGGATGATGGTCTACCTCCATGGATTTGTACTAATTGTATTTCTAAGATTAATGCAGCACATGAACTTAGAATGCAATGCCAGAAGGCAGATGAAAAGTTAAGGGAATTGTTTGGAAAACCTGTCAAAAAGTACACCACTGACAAGGTTCAAACAGTAGGTATAATATTTTAAAAGAATTCTTGTTTAAGGTAGAAACATTACTCTTTATTTCTTTACAGGATCAATGTTGTCAGACAGATGCTTACTGTTCCGAAGGTATTATTAAATTGGAACAAGATTCAATGGCAGGATATGGAAATAATAGAATCTCCAAAAGCATTCTACATCTCACTAATACTAATGATAATATTATAGAAAGTAATTGTATCTCAACTAAACATTTTGATAATATTAAAGTCAGTAATACAGCACTCTTGGCAGATGTTAAAGTAGAAATGACACAGCTACATAAAGAGAGATTGCCATTCAAAAGGGAAACCTACCGTACAAGGAGAATCTCAATGTTTAAACGAATGACTTCTATGGAAAACTTAAAAAACTTCAAAGAGAGACAGAGACAGTACATCAAAAAGAATGTAAATACAAAGCATGACTCTGCTGATACAGATTCAGCATTGCCTGGTGTTACATATATCAGAGCACAGAGAATTGCTAACATAGATTCTGATTTGGCTTACAAATGCACCAAGTGTAACAGGTCTTATTCGAGCAAGAAATCTTTGGACAGGCACTTTCTAACACATAACGATAAAAAGTACAAGTGTGAGAAATGTGATAAGCAATTTTTTAGACTCGACAAATTACTGGAACATGGTAAACTGCACGAGTTCAAGGAGAAACCTAAGCCGGTGCGCTGTAGCATCTGTGATAAGAATTTCCGCAAGACAGACACGATGGTGAGACATCTGAACGTTCACAAAAAGGCAAATCCAAAAGAAGTGTTTGCTATCCTTAAGGATATAAGGGATAAGAGAAAGTTGGAGAATAGTTTAAATTTTCTTTGCGAGGAAGACATCAAGAAGGAAACAAATCAAAACGAAGAGAGTTGCCTTGGGAAGGAACTTAGAAAACGTGGATCGACATCCAACGAGGATCAGGATTACAATCCAGATTCTTCAAATTCAGAGTCTAACAGTGAAAGCGATTCTGATTCAGGTGACGATAGCTCCTTTCATCGTTGTAAACACTGCGCCAAGTGCTGCTCTTCGGAGAAGGCATTGCAGAGGCATTTACGCGTGCACCAAGAAAAAAAATATGTCTGCAACGTATGCAACATGAAGTTCTTTAGGGAAGACAGATTAAAAAGTCACAGAGAGAGGTACAGTCACGACGAGGACAAAGCTTGTTTAGAGTTACAGAAGCCACCTGATGATAAATCAGCAATCAAGTTAATAAATAGTTGGATCCGAGAAGAGCTAGACTCTGACAACGAGGGTAAGGGCTTTCCTTGCAAAATTTGTGGTAAATCATACGTGACTAAGAAATCTTTACTAAAGCATAAAGCTAATGCTCATGAGAGCCAAGAGGGTTGCTGTAGCAGCTGTGGGCAGGATTGCAACTGCTCAGAGAAGTCGAAAGAGCCGGAGAAGCGAATGGAGAAGCTCAAACCATATACCTGCGACGAATGCAATAAATCTTTCGAGAAGGAAACAAAACTTCAGAAACACGTCCGGATCCACGAAAGAGCAAAAGAGCAACAAGACTCAAATTTTAAGCGCTTCCTCTGTCACATTTGCAGCAAGACATTCAGGCAGAATACAGGACTGATGTTTCACATGAGAACGCACACGGGTTACAAGCCGCACGTGTGCAAATATTGCGGACGTGGTTTCACCTCGAATTCGAATTGCATAAATCACGAGAGGACGCACACCGGCGACAGGCCATTTGTCTGCCACTTTTGCAGCGCTGCATTTGCAAAATCTTGCACCCTTAAGGCGCATATAACTACCCACACTGGTGAAGCGAATTATCATTGCAAAACCTGCGGAAAATCATTTAGGAGACTAAAATATCTAAAAGAACATCGGTTTACGCATACTGGCGAAAAGCCGTATGCTTGTAAAATCTGCGGCACTGCCTATAGTCACTCCGGAAGTCTCTTTGTACACGAGAAAAAGTGCAAGGCACAGTACAACAGTTATCAAACATTGCCTCCACAAAACACACAAAATTACTGCCAAGCACAAGCGGCCTGCACCACTTCACCTGCGGTGGCGCCAATAATATCAACTCTACCGGCATCTCATCATTTGGTAAATATTAATAACAGCTTGGGCCGTCAAGTTAATAAAAATTATATGGAGAGTATGCAAAGAATGAGCGCACATGCAGTGGCTGCAGCTGCAGTCGGAAATCCATCCTTGCACATGCACTCCAATTCGGACGTCTCAGACATGGCGTCTGCAGTCAGAAATTTTGCTATTATCGGGCAGATGTTTCATTCTTAAAAAAAAAGTGAGAATAAGAACTTTTTTATTCAAGAGAACCCAAACCCTACTGTGATAAATATTTGTTCTCGTAACCTGTGGCATTTTTCGCATTCGTTAATATCTTGCAAAACTCTGGGGCGCAATTAACTCCAAGTTATCACTTAATCGAAAGTGTGTAATCCTTTTTCTACAATAATTATTATGCGCAAGTAATATACTGTGTATCGAATAGAAAATACTATAGAGAACGATATTTTATAATTAGATATTCAGTTAATATTTTATTAGATATTGTATGATGAAAATATGATGAGGGTATGTAATGGTCAAATGAAAATTCCCAATACCTTTGTCGCACCGATTTCGACCGAAAATAAATTTTATAATCGTTGTACATAATTAATGTATAACTCACAATATAACATTAACCCACAATGCGTTCGCCTACAGAATAAATGGATTTAATCCATTTTTTTTTAAGTACACTGCTGGCTACGTTCTGAAACTCACTGCCAGTAATACGATTATCGTCTTATCCATGTTTATCTGCATATAAGTAAATGAAATACAATTATGCTCTCACAGTATGGGCCGCGAATTTTTACCTGTTTTGAATGTTCTAACAATTTTTATTAGACCATAGATTTCACTTTTTTTTCTTCTATTTAATTTGTACCATCCTTATCGACAATATTACATCGCACTATTGAGTATTAGCCCTGAAATTTTTTGAAGATTTTTATAACTAGGCTAGTCGAATTTTTTATCGCTCACTCGTGGCCAGTGTGGCAAATGGCGTTAATTCGCGTGAACCGCATTCGTGCCGCAGTAGAAAATAACTTTAGAATTTACGTCAAAACATTCTGTCGCACTGGCATTTCAATTCTAATTAATTTCTAACTTTTTCTTCTATCGAACACATTCAACAGTACCATTGCCCTTTTACTTAATATCCCGTCGAACATAATTTCTCTATTGGAAGAATAACCTTATAGCAAGGTAAGTTGGCAAGTGCACTGTATTTATGAGTTGCTTAACTGATGTCTAATAAAATTTCACTTATCGAGATTTCTTCATCATTAGCTGATCGCTTTCTTTGTTGACACACATTTTGATTATTCGTCATTATTGATCAAGGTACAAGGATTAAAAATGGCAAAAACTATAGAGTATTTGAAGGATCCACACTTGGTTGCAAGAATTCAAGAATTCTTTGGCATTAAAATATGCTATGACAAAGATACTGGTCAATATGAAACTAGTGAGAAGAGTGACCAGGATGAATCTTACAGTGAAGAGTCAAGGAGTAATGAACACAGCGAGAGTGATTCAAAGGGTAAAGAGAATGGATATGGTGTGAATCGTTCAGACTCAAATGGTTATGTCAGTAGAAGAAAAAATGAAAGTACCTTGAGTGACGAGGAAACTGTGTCAGGTTCTGATTCTGAAAAGCTATGTTACGTAATCACAAATTACTTTTGGTATTATTTATTTCTCTTTGGTACTGAACTGGGCGATGAAATCTTTTACTCTGCATTCATACCATTTTGGTTTTGGAATATCGATGGTGCAGTGGGACGAAGAGTTGTTCTAGTCTGGGCTGTCATTATGACAATTGGTAAGTCTTGACTGTATCATAACAAATTTTATACCTATTTAAGTGAATTATCTTTAACAGGCCAAGCACTTAAAGACATCCTTTGTTGGCCAAGACCTGCATGCCCACCCGCAATCCGTTTGCAAAATAAATGGTCTCAGGAATATGGAATGCCATCGACACATGCCATGATCGGTGTATCAATCCCATTCAGTGTAGTGTTGTTTACCATGAATAGATATATCTACTCGTTTCCCACAGGCTGTGCTGTCGCATTTTTATGGTAAGCTATTTCTTATCAGGTCATTTAATAATTTTTCAAATATATAGTCATTGATCATGATGATAATTAGTATAGATCAAAGTTCGTCATTAATATTTTCCTCAAGTCTCAATGAACAATTCGTAATCTCGATGTACTGTGAATACATAATTTTAGGTGTACATTAGTTTGCACCAGCAGACTTTATTTAGGTATGCATACGGTGTTGGACGTAATCGTTGGACTGGCACTAGCCATTTTATTGATGCTACCGCTAGTACCTTTGGTAGACTTCATGGACTTCTACTTTCTCACCAATGATTGGGCACTGGTTGCCTTAATCGCGATAACAATTGCTACTATTGTTTACTATCCCTGCAGTGATAGGTGGACGCCGACCAGGTAAATACCATTATTCAATCAAATATATTGCCTCTCTAATAAAATTATTATATGCTATTCGTATCTTTGATTAGAGGAGACACAACTATGGTCGTATCCGTAACTGCTGGAGTTCATTTCGGTGCCTGGCTTAACTACAGAACTGGAGCTTTATCAGCGCCTCCTTTACCACCACCCTATAATGTAATATGGCCCTCATATCCCATGCTAGGTCGCACAGTTTTAAGAACAATACTCGGATTTTGCTGCGTTATTGCAACCAAAGCTGTATGCAAATCTTTGAGTTATGCAACGATGTGTGCCATACTCAAAGTCAACTCTAAGGAACTGATGAATAGTGATAATTGCTTGGAGAATAGAAATAAGGTTCTTGTCGATTTAGTTTACAAGTATATCACTTGCTTCATGATTGGCTTGAACACCGTGTACCTGTTACCCAATGTTTTCACGATGATCGGCATCGAAAGACCCACCTTTTACACGGAGATGTAAATAGTGTCGAATTCGTTAGTCTGTTGCATTTGGACAAGAATACGGCTTAATAGATTACGTATAGAGCAATACATATAAATAGGTATGAAATAATTTATACACTTTTATACGTTTCCAGTTAATTAATTGCGTTTATGACCAGTGATGATTTATTGTGTTCGGTATTAGTCAAGCAGATATTAAGACGTTTTCAATTATGGTTGCACACATCATTCCATTAGGACTTTTAGAGATTCTGTAATATATATTTTCAATTTGCCTCAGTTATTGTGATCATATCATATTGTAATCAAAAGAATCGCTATTGATTCCAACTAATCTAGTAATATTAATATGATACTGTTGGGAGATGGCGACATGTTGGTAAATGATAAGATAATAGAGATTTAATAATTTTTATTAAATATTAAATTTATGGTACAATTACAACTTACTCATGAGCAACCGGCATGTTCAATTGCAAAATCTGAAAATGAAATATGATGTTAATGTCTAATAGCTTTTAATATAATTAAATAATTACGATTGAAAACCTTACTCCAACGTCTTTGTCCAGTATAGCTGATACTTTTTCTTGCTCTATTGAGTAAGGCACAAAGATGTCAATTAAATATCCAATTTTTCGAGCCTCTACCATTATACGGTCTTCACCAACATCAACAGCAATATCATCAGCGGAAATCTAGAAAAAATAAAATGACTAATGATTCTGATTTTTTTTCCTATATCTGTCTATTGACTTACCAAGCTTTTAATCTTAAATTTGCCAATAAGTCTCTTCGGCTTTCCTTCCTTTGGTTCACGTAAAATAATATAATCAGGTGTTGGAGTAACTCGTGACTTTGATTCGCGTGATTCTTCAATAGGTTTTGAAGTAGATATTTTGGTTTGTGATACAGAGGTAGAATTTATGCTAGGGAGTTCTTCAATCAATGGCGCACGCATAGCTTTTTTGACTTCCCGTTTTTCAATCCGGTGATCTTGCAGTCTTCCCAGTACCTGATTGCCATGTTATAATATATATTAATATAAAAAAGAAATAAATCATTTGTATGATAAGTGTAAAGCAACGTACCTTCCGATTCTTCAATACAGTATAATTTTTTAATTCAATATCCTTGTCGAACTTTTGAGAAACTCCTTGTATAATAACAGCAATTGTAAAAGACCAAAAGAGTCTACTCTTCTCGGATTTTTCAAAGTATGTTGTATTTATTGCTATGTCGTAAGCCAAACACGGTGCACCAGATTTATCAACTTCAGTCTTCTCCTGTCCAATGCTCATTGGAATACAATAAGATGGATTCTCATCTTCCATTAATTCAATCAATTTTGTCTCTGATATATCATCAGGTGGTGGTATCTCTGTTGTTTGACAAATATTTAGGAATATCTTCTCACCACTGGATGTTTTTGTCTTTACACATGCACCTATGACGACATGTTACTTGTGAAAATTTATATATAAAATAGCTATGTCAAATTATCATCATCCAAATACCAGGTATCGGTTTTATTACAACGGAAGGTCTTTCTGGTTTATTCATAGTTTTTAGCATCTCCGTAAATTCATCTTCTACCTTACTTTCCTGTAATACAGTCGATTTACACAGGTTATGGATAACTCTAAGTAAAATGTAAATATTATAATCCTCTCACCGTTAATAATAAATTTTGGTTTATAATTGATTCGTCAATATCAAGTAGTATATTATTCGCCATGGTATTCTTTAAAAAGTGTTAACTCTCTTCTCCCACTATATTCTGCAAGTAATCACAAACAACGTGTTAATCGCGCAAAATATTGAGCGCTGCTATCGGCCAACTAACTTGTTGAGAAAGTATCGCAGCGTAATCAGAATAGTCGATAAATTGTCAATTATTAGTACTCGATAAACATATTAACTGGTATCCTTTACCTACAATTTTCACGATGTCCGTCGATGAGGATGAGATTATAGATATTTATACTATTCTGAAATTTAAAAGTGAAAAGCTAAACTAGCTGAGTCGAACATGTACGTTGATCCCTTTAAAAATGTCTACTTCGACTAGTATATATGATTTTACACTCTCCTTTATCATTCTCAAATTCCTACAATGGCAAATACGTAACACAATCTAATGATCGATTAGCTTTATGTTGCATTAGACATTGAACGCAATAATCATGAACAATAAAGAGAACTTGACAAACCTGAAGGACGCTGAATGAATTTATTACTACAGTAATGAGGATAATGATGAAAAATTGTTATTCCGTTAGATAAGACTTACGTATATAAGGTCCCTATATTTCCGAATAATTATTAATTCTCTAAAAACAAACCTCAACGATGGTTCTTCGTGTAATTTCGTTTCTTCTGTCTCTAGGTAAACTTCCTCTTTGATTTAGTAGAGTAGGTGATCAGAAATCATCTGGCGTAATTGTCATTATGTCTAATTACTTTCTAATCCTAGGTTGTTCGACTTTGGGATTAACTGAAGCTCCCGTCGGTCCTGAAACTGACTTTCTACAGGAAATGCTTATAAATCAGATGATTTCTGCAAATCCAGAACAACCCGAAATAGCTGATCGAACTGGTTTATTAAGTTTTCTCGATCCTAAGCTAATGCCGCACGACGTCATTTTTCATCTATATACGAGGAACAATCCTGTCGCGAGTTACATCTTGAAGACTGGTGATATCGCGAATTTGAAGAATTCGAAATTTGATGGTAATTTATCTACAAAAGTCATTATCCATGGCTGGACTAATAGTGGCAAAAGTTATTGGTATAATCATTTTCGACATAATTATTTAACCGTTGGCAATTACAACGTTATTGGAGTTGATTGGTTTGCTGGTTCCGCTAAAGGGTATTTGACATCTGTAGTAATTACCCGTAAAGTAAGTGACAATGAAAAATCTTTGATCAAAGTAGTTGAGATAATTATGGAAATAATTTGAATAGGTTGGCGAGTATATTGCTGATTTTCTTCGCTTTCTGGGATTAAATACGCACCTGAATTTGGACAATGTACATTTATTGGGTCACAGTCTAGGATCTCATGTTGCGGGATTTGCTGGCGCCTTTTTGGAAGGTCGTATCGGAAGGATAACAGGATTGGATCCAGCTGGACCAACCTTTGAGATTCCTTTCCTCAAAGATCCCAAGGATCGATTGGATTTCACCGACGCAAAATTCGTCGATATTATTCACACTTGTGGCGGTACAGCCGGTTTTCTACAACCCATCGGCCATATTGACTTTTATCCTAATGGCGGAGTTTTCAGACAACCAGGATGCTCTGTTCTTTTACCCCGTAAGAATATGTTCACCCTGTAAATTATTCCGGACCGGTAGCTTCCTAATGATAATCTTTTCAGAATACTGCAGTCATGCGAGAGCCTACGAATTTTTTGCAGAATCAATTATTTGTCCAGCAAATTTCGTATCTGTGAAATGTAACAGCTGGATGGATTACAAGATGGGAAGATGTCCACGAGGCCAAGTGACACTACTGGGTGAAAAAGTTAATAAAGATGCTCGAGGTAAATTTTATTTGGAAACTAATGCAGCATCGCCATTCGGCAAAGGTTTATTTGAGAAACATATTAATAAGATTTTACACACGTGACACCGATAAAATATATTTTCTTTTTTTTTCTTTCCACTGTTAACTTCATTTATCCACGACGAAAATCCGATAGAGCCAATCCTTTCTTTTTATTCTACTTCATTACTTTGACCTGGGTCCAAGTCATCCGTTGTATCTGGCACTTCGACTTCCGATGGCTTTTCAATTTGATCGCCAAACAGCATCCTGTATTTCTTTCTTACCACTTCCCAGTCCAGTACCTTATCGATTCGTACCGCGTATTCAATCTGCGCTTGGCTTCCTAATGGCGTAATGCCAAATCCAGCAAAAGCTACACTGTCTTTGTGGCGAATCGAATGCGTTCTATTATTCTAGAAAAAAAATAATTAACAAAATCAATTGAATAGTCAATTTCAAAAAAGCCAAAAACTCACTTTTATAGACCAACGTTTGCTGCTACTTTGATATCCCACGGAAGCAGGCACCGCTCTTATTTTGTTGCGATTACAACAAAATTTTCCAATTTTTTTATTTAAATAAAATATCCAACTGGTGAAGAGATTCAATGGCGGAGGAGCAGCTGTGGCTCTGAAATTACATATGTGGAAAGTAGCGACCCTATAGACGATTGCCAAAATGCGATAGAGCCCAAAGTCATTCGCGAAATTAAACTGATTATCTCGTTTCCGAAACTCGTACGATCACGTGTCTGCGCATAGTTTGGCATTCGCAAATTCTCCAAGAGAACAACACGTCACGTATCTCACGTATCTGGCAGTTGGTAATTGGCGAAACACGCATGAAATGAAATGACGAATCGATCGAGCGCATAGTTAAAAAAAAATCCACTATCCTCCCACAAACAGTTTTCTTACTTTTGCATGTTGCGAACAAGTTTACTCAGCCCAAATTTCCACTCGATGTCGCTTTGCGCTTGAATAGCTGCATAAGTGTCCGACATCATTGCGATAAGTAAATTCATGAGCACAACAACCGTAACTAACATATAGAGCATGAAGGAGACCTATGAAAGAAAAGAAGAAAAAATATTTCAAGAATATGCACATCAGGACAACAGTGCTCCCTCTCTAAGATTCCCCTGAATATCAGGGGGGCGGGGTGGGGGGGGGGACGTAGTGGGAACTCCGAGCCTCGAGTTGGGACTCTTAGGGAGAGAGAACTGTGCATACGTATGAAATGTTAAAAATTGTCCAGGTCCCATTTACCTTGTAAAAGTTACGCGTCCAAGATGGCTGCAATTTGTACTTGAGAGATCTGCTAAAGTCGTCCACCTCTTTCTGCCCAAAAATTGAGAAGAAGAGATTCTCGATGATCTGGATCGGATTTTGGGTTACTGAAAAAATCATGCGCACCTTTTAGCCTTCTCTCGTTACTCGGGGATTAAGAAAACTCGCAAACGCATGCGATCGTTCGAATTACTGGAAAAACTCGCGACTGTACAAGTCCGACGGGCAGGTTTAACGGCAATGACGTGGATATGCGTAAATAAAGCTATGAGCATATGTATACCTATGTACAGTAAAGGAATAAGTATAAAGGTCTCAGAAGCGCAGGGGCAAACATGCCATTTGAAGTTATAACGGGTGTCACAGGCAAAATTGAACGAGAGGAAAGGATTATTTTCTAATGGCCTGTCGAAAGGGGATGAAGGTGGGAAAGTTCGATGAGAATCCGAAAAAAATCGGCAGGCAATTCGTAGGAAGCAATTCTCTATGCAGCACCGAGTGTAATTCATTAAATATATTGTACATGGAGGTTCGTAAAATAAGGGTTGTGTGATTCATCGAAAAGACGTAGAAATTATTGAATTTCCTTTCTGTATCTTTTTCTTTTTTTCTTGGAACATGACGCAGGTGCACGCTAGACATTCGCTACGGATGCTGAAGAGAATTAATAGATACAAACTAACCGTGGGAAGACATCATCATCATCCGAGGCACGTACCGCTACACCGGGTATACGTGTCCATTCTAGAACGTGATGGGTTACGGTATAGAAGAAAACGAGAATTATCACTGATCCAGGTATTTATTTAGGAAACTTAAGGTAACGGAGGTACAAGACTTTTTGGTTCAGATTGTTGGCAATCGTGCCGCATTACTGCTGTTTTGATTAGCAATTTGCACGGAATTCTCAAACGTTACGAGAGGATCCGTCTCGAGATTATCTTTCGTCTCGTCCGCAGATTGTTCGGATTTTTCGGATTTCTCGGATTTCTCGGATTTACCGCTGACGAGTTCTCTGTACTTTCGACGCACGGCGTCCCAGTCGACGACGGTGTCGATCCTGCTTGCGTTGCTGAAGGACAACTGGCTCCCAAGCGGACTCAAATGCACCACGGACAACGCTATGCTGTCTTTATGCGCCACCTGAGACTTCTTCGTCTTGGACAACCACTTGGCTCCCATTTTCGAACGCGCCGACATCCTCTCGCCTCTTCGGAGACCCATCATGTGCACCAGGGAAGGACGTTGCTTCTTGGCTGCACGTTTCTTGCACAACTTATAAAGGTAGGACATCCAGCTGGTAAGGAGATTCAGGGGCGAGGGTGCGGTGGTCGTTCTACGATAAACAGAAGAAAAAGTATCTTGGGATGAGGCCACTTGATAATTCTTTTTTTTTTCCAGATTAATCCAAAGGTCGATCCTACCTTTGCATATTTCTAATAAGTTTGCTCAGTCCGTACTTCCACTCGATGTCAGACTGAGCCTGAATACGCTGATAGGTGTCACTCATCATGGCAATCAGAAGGTTAATGAGCACGACTACCGATACCAACATATATATTCCAAAGGCCAGCTTGAAGAGGATCGTGGTCCATGGGGGTTGCCCCGTTGCGACCTTGAACTGTTCGTGAGTCGTCTGTCCAAAGATGGCGAAGAACAGTAGCTCAATGGCATGTACGGGATTCATCTTGACTGGAAATACGTCCCAAGAACATATTCGTGAGATTTCCTTTGGTTTTGCGGAATCGCGTAATCAATCGCGCACTACCTCATGCCATTACCACTAGACTAAAGAAATTCTAGATTTTCTATTTTATGTTTAAACTAACAGAAGGTTGCTAGGTCATCAAAGAGTTTATAGCCTCGAACGGCTGATTAGGAACTAAAATGGATATTCGATGCTTCTCGGCAGAGTCTCGCAAACGCCATGATGATATTTTTTTTTTAAATTCGCACATGCACAGCTTATTCGCTAATCGACGAAGACGCAAAGGCAATGATTTTATCGGATGCTCTTAAACATGCTCAGAGAGAGAGAGAAAGAGATGATACCCGCTGAGGGCTGCGGATGAGCTTTTATTTCGTAAAAATACAGTCTTCCGACGATACGTCTCTATTCTCTTATAGCTTCTAAATCTAGATGCTCAGCGTCCTATCTCTAACGGACATGGTCCTTGCCACAGCACCGGAAGTATCGAGGCCCTTAGATGGGAGGAGTGGAGCCCGTGGCTGGCACCGTAGAAGCATTAGAGGCCGTAGCTCCGTGTTCCTCTTCGTTCTGGTCTTCCTCCTCCTTTTCGTCCTTCTCCACGTCCTTCTCAGGCTCGTTACCAGTCAAGGCTAGGTACTTCTTGCGAATAGAATCCCAATCGACGACACTCTCGATCCTCGTCACGCTGTTGAAGGACAGCTGGCTTCCCAAAGGACTCAAATGGACCACGGATAACGTGACGCTGTCTTTTGGTCGGACTTGACCTTTCTTCACCTTGGCCAACCACTTGGCTCCCATTTTCGATCGCGGCGACATACGACCTGTTCTCTGAAGTCCCATCATGTGGACCAAGGACGGCCGCTTCCGTTTGGCCGCCCGTTGCTTGCATACCTTAATGAAGTAGACTATCCAGGTTGTCAGAAGATTCAATGGAGACGGCGCTGTGGTCGTTCTGCAACATGAAGACCCGATTCGCACTCGTGATGCGTAATGACGATGAGAGACATTTAATGTATTATATTTTAGAGACCATAGAACGTGGCTACTCGACAGACGCTCCGAAACGTGCGGCTGGTGGTTCAAGAGGAAACGGAAGACAAGACGGTGCACGGATAAGAAGATACACATAGGAGGATAAGACAGAGCAGAGAAAGGTAGAGGAGAAGAGCCAAGGTTAAACTGGGCTTACCTGTGCATGTTTCGGATCAGTTTACTGAGTCCGTACTTCCACTCAATGTCTGACTGTGCCTGTATCCTCTGGTAGGTGTCGCTCATCATGGCAATTAGCAGATTAATTAACACCACTACCGAGACCAACATGTAAACGCCAAAGGCCAGCTTGAAGAGGACCGAGGTCCACTCCGGCTGCGCAGTCTCGACCTTGAGCTCGCTGTGGGTCGTTTGGCCGAAGACCGCGAAGAACAGGTACTCGAAGGCGAGTACCGGGTTCATCTTTACTGGAATTCGAGGCAACGTTCATTTCGTTAGGGTGGCTAAGTGGCTCTCTACGTGTGAACGAACACATGCTCATGCTACGGACAGAGTGGCCATGCTCGGGCTGCTGCTGCTGCTGCTGGTACACGCTCATGCCGGGCAATGGGTTTGCTCTATTTAATTTCTTTTTGTTTTTGACATTGCTTTTCTTTTTGCACACCAATGGGTGAGCATCGACGATCCGTGCGACACCAAAATTCATTCTCAAACCACGCTGGTTAATGGCGACGGTGGCGAAGGTGGCAAAGGTGGCGACCCGGGCTCATGTAGTCGGTCTGCTTCCTTTTCAAGAAACCCCAACGTTTCTTCAAGGTCATCGTCTGCTCCGGCCCGTAGCGACCAATGACATCTCAGCGTGTCCTTCTTCGAATACTTCCTTCGCGACAGACTCATCTCCCTCAGGATCAACGGTGGATCGTGTTAAACATAGAGTACAAAAATCGGCATTCGCTTCTCGGGCAGAGTTGCTTTTTGGGGATGCAGCATGCAGATCCGACCGATGCCGAAGCTCTTTCAAATTGGCTCAGGATCCCTCGCGAGGGAGGATCGTCGCGCCGTGTAACATCGAGGTTTGAGAAAACGGCATTCATTGGGGGTTTTACACTCAAAAGGTACGCGTGTTACATGCAAAAGTACCGAGGAGGGAGAACTGAGGTCTCCTCTCTCGCGGTCTTCCACGGGCACCTGGGAGACGCATGGGAATTGCACAAAAAAGGAAAACACGTTTTGGTGCCTGAAACACTTAAAGTGCCTGCAATCTTGGGATTCGTGGTCGAGACGGAGTCATTCACACGTATAAGGACGCACTCGGACGTAAACAGACAGATGGGAGTTGCTATTAGAAAAAATGCAGACGTGTACGCAACACGCAAGGACGACGTTCCCGAACGACCAATGGAAACTGTGGACAGACAACTTCGAAGACATTCTGGGCCAGCGTTCCGATCTGGAACACCAGGAACACCAGGAACACCAGGAACGCCGTTCCTGGATTCTTTTTTTTTTTAAATAAATCATTAGTCCCACGTGTCCCTATCATTTTTGCGACTCGTTCCACGGATATTCCGGATCGGATCGCCGCGTTGCAGGCGCGGCCAACACTTTTCAGGCAGCAATTTTCAGGCAACACAGACCGGTGACAAATGCATCGCAGACGGGACGACACCTAGGAGGCAAGTCGCTGCATTCAGGACGGTTTCAGGTTTCGTCCGGCATTATTGCCTGTGGAAACTTACAATCTCGGGTGCTTTCGTCACAACACTCATTCTTTTTCTTGTAGCGCCCAAAGCGCCGATGTGGCCCCAGTGTTTGCGTCTCCGTCGTCCATTCCGTATCATTGGCCAACATATCTATTGCAATTAATGACGTTACCTCGATGCCTCTGGGACTCCGTTCCAAGTAATCGCATTACGCGAATACCGAATTCAACACCTTGCGGATATTAGTCCCCCTTCTTTTTTTCTTATAGACCGTTCTTATTTCTTTACAATTGTTTTTGTCTCCACCCTTTTTTCTATCTATTTACATATTTACACCAAATTCTAGAACCTCGCACGCAACCGCACGCACACACACGTAAGAACTTCATATCTTCCTTCTCTCTACTTTTTAGAATATTTCGAACCTGCAAATTATCTATATCTCTTTTACAAAAACTATATTTGCGAAAAAACAGATAAACAGGCAAAAGTATCTTTTTTGTATCTTGAAGTTTAAGGATCTTAGGCGCGAACGAGAATCCAAAAGCCCAAATAAAAGAGAACGTGAAAACTATTATCGATCGACCGAAAGACTTTCTTATTTTCTTATGGTCTATCGAATTACTTGGTGATTCTCGTGTCACGTGACGAACGGAACGACCGGCAGGACCTTCCACTTGGGATAGAATCCATTAAAAAACAGGAAGTTTATCTAACTCGACTTTAAGAGCAGCGTCAATAATAATAATAAGCCGTAGGTTAATTACGTGGAAGACTCACCGTCGGAGAAGGCGTTCTTCCTCGATGCGTCCAGCATCTTGATGTTTTTGTTTGGTCCATTTTCGAACGCTTGATTGAGCGCAACGAAGAGCATGGAGAAGCCGAAGACGAAGATGGCCAGCACTGCGAGGAACCTGGCCAAGTCCTTCATGAGGTTGCCGATGATGATGGCCCAGGGCCCGAATAAATGATGGAAGGACAGGAAGTCGAGGATCTGGACGCAAGCCAGAAGGAAGCTCAAGGCGAAGAGTTGATTCCTCAGGTAGAGCAACGTCGGCCAGCGATATTCAGGTATGCCGCAGAAACCCATCAGATGAACGGCCACGCCGAACATACCGAAGAGTAGCACTGCCAATTTGATCCATCCTAAGCCACTTTTGTCACTAGGGTTCGTTAGCTCGAATAGGAGCAAACCGGACAACATCACCAGGAGACACACCTCGTACCAGTATGGGATAAGTTTCGGTCTAACCACAGGATATATCGGAGTGATGCCCACGAGCAGGAGGAACACCATTAAATAAATATGGGAGGTCAGGTAAGACATGAATTTTATAATTGGGACGTTGTTGTACTTGTGTCCTAAGGGCAAGGCGAAGACGACCCAGACTGGCGGACAGATGAGGAAGGCGACGAAGAGAAGAATCGTCCTGAAGGCGTTCCAATTCAGACTTCCCTGCCAAAGTTCCTGAAGGTACCGCTGGACCACGGTATGAGCTATGACTTCCTTCTGTTCATTCTCTATCAGTACGTCCAGGAACTCGACGTTCCTCCTGTCCATGGACGTAAGAATGCGTCCAGCCGAATCCGCACCAGCTGCCAAGGCCAGAAGCTCCGTCGCCATAGCTTCGCATTGTTTGCCAGCCGCTATCAAATCCTTGGCACGTTCCTTCTCCTTCTCTGACAGCTTTATGTAGATATTCGAGAGTTTGGCTGCCGTGTCGACCGGAGCCGGCGACACCAGGACGAACTCCTCGATAGGCTTGTTGTTGTTGTTCTTGCTGCACACCATCATGTTGTAGACGAACTGCGAAGCAAAGAAATCAGTGTGTTAAATCGATACAGGAGCCAAACGCGTAATTTATAATATTGTCTTATCAATGTTCGATTTAACCCAGTGCTACGGCAGCTCGCGTCAAGTCACGAAGTTTTGCTACAAATTTATCTGTCGGACGATCGATCCATCCGAAGAGCTCGACTTGGAACTCGGTATTATTTTTAGCCTTCCGACAACGACACCTTCGGACTCCTTACCCTTCTGTCTTCCATCAAGGCGTAGGTGTCGTGTTCCTTTTCCATGAGGTACTTCAGGACGTCGTTATGGCCTTCGGAGGCTGCGAACCATATCGGAGCGCTTCCCAAGTTTGTTTCATTTTTCGGAGAAGCGCCACTCTCCACCAGGAGTTTGACGACCTCGAGGTAGCCTGCCCTGGCTGCGCAATGCAACGGGGTCCAGCCGTTCTTATCCGTGGCATTGATCTCAGCACCCTGACCAAGGAGAACCTCGACCATCTGATAATGGCCATGAGTAGCAGCTATGTGCAGCCCGGTTTTCCCGTAACGATCAGCACTGTGTAATAATTCGGCAGATCTGCTCAGCAGAAGGCCGACCACCGTGATGTGACCTCCGAAACAGGCCAGATGAAGAGGATTGAATCCATTCTCCGTGGTGGCAGCCTCGACCTGGACTCCCGCCGAATTCAAGAGGAGCCTGACGACGTTCTCGTTTCCGGAGTACGCTGCCAGGTGAAGGGGTGTCATCCCCGACTCGCTTCCTAGTTCACCAACCAGCGAACCACCCGTCGGAGGATCCGATTTTACTGTTCCAGGAACGTGGGTCAGAAGTTCTCTGACGGTATCTGAAAATCACGCGGCCCATCTCAAAATCTTGGACCATTTGTGTAACGTGGGTACATGGCGAAGTAATAATTACGAATATGCATGAAACAAGCCGGTATTTCTAGAACCCGATTACAAGCAGCGATTTGAGTTATCGCCACTTAAGCGCGCATAAAAGTACAGGAGGTGCAAACTTTTCACGCGACAATCAATCCCACGAATTTGCCCTAGATTTCGGTAACTACTTGAATCAATTCAGTATAGAATTATTCTTGAAGAATTCCAAAGAAACTCCAAGCTGCATATGCGTGTTCTACACTTTGTACCTAGGGTGCACTTACTTTTATAAAGATCTGCTCGAGTTAATAAAACTTTTTTTAGAGTAACGTGCATATCGGCCGAGACCTTGCTTTTTCTCTAATACACTCTTGAAGTGCTTGTTTGTGCTTTCGTGTTTGTTGGACTTCAGCCACCCGCTTGAGCTCAGGGAATTTTCCTGCTTCGCACCCTGAAACGCAACCCGAATTGGATCCAACCCGGACATTCTGGATCGCCACGCTTCTCGCCCACTAGCCCAGCTAGGCATTCCCCGTGTCTAATACGGCCCTAAATTATCTCCAGAAGCAAGGCTGCTTTTGACAAGCTAAGAAATGGGAGCCTTGCGTGCTGCTTGTCCTTGACCAAGAAGGGTGAGTCAAATCTCAGGGGGCCGCGAGGGTGAAGTGCGGGCGAAAGGTTTGACTTGACCGTCACGCGAAATTTAATCCAATTTAATCCAACGCGACGCGTCGCGACGCCGACTTCTAATCAGTTAACTCCAAGAAGAGCAACCCTGTCTATTTTCGAATCTCGGTCAACGGGCCAAGATCATCGGCCAACTTCGAATTGCGATCTTTAACCCAAATCTGGTAAATTTTAAAAACATACCCTTACCCTTTTCTCTAGGGCCACCTGTAATGAAACTACATATACGAGAGGAAGACATGAATTTCTGGTGTGTATCGCCTATAGCGGCACGACGCGCGCGAGTCTGGTTTTCATTAGAAGTTGAAAAGGAGGTCGGGCGACCTGCATTCCAAACGTAAGTTTTCAAAAGTTTTCAAATTTTATGACCGAATCGAATCAAATGCATCTTGATTCTTGCTTGTGGCTAATGACTTTTATGGATCAGACGCAGGGCCAGATTATCAAGGTATACATACTGGATGCTCGAATGAAGCGTGTTGCTTACCGGCTTGACCGAAGTAGGCAGCAACGTGTAAGGCTGTCACGCCGAGTTTCTTGCTGGAGATCCGGAGGGATTGGGAGGACCTCATTACCTCAAGGACTTGACCGTGGCCGTGTTGAGCTGCCAGATGAACTGCAGTGAACCCTGCACGATTCTCATCGGCACAGGATGCCCCAGCGCGGACCAAAGCTTTTACTACTTCTGCATGACCGCCTTCCGCAGCTAGTTGAAGTGGCGTAGCCTCGGTAAGTTTATTTCCGGCGGAAATGACGCCTTGCCGATCGAACTTCATCAGCTCCTCGATCACTCTGACGCTGCCCTGCATGGCTGCTATGTGGGCGCAAGTGTTCCCATCTTTCGTATAGGCCATTACAAGACTGGGATGTTTTTGTAGGAAGAGCTGCGCCACTTCAGCATAGTTATTCATAGCCGCTGCGTGGATGGGCTTTTGACCCTGGTCGTCGGTCGCATCTATACTGGCGCCTAATTCCAGCAGAAGCTTGCATACTTCCAGCTGGCCCGCACCAGCTGCCAAGTGAAGTGGCGTCTGTTTCCTGAGGGTGAGTACGTCTATAGCAGCACTGTGGTCCTGGATTAGGAACCTAACCAGGTGCGTATAGCCGTTCATCGCCGCCAGGTGAAGCGCAGTTCGTCCTACTCTCGATTTTGAGTTGATGAAGGCTTTGCTGGCCAACAGGGCATCGCAGACTTGAAGATAGCCACGCTCCGCTGCCAGATGAAGAGCAGAGCGTCCTTCGAGGTCGAACACATCGACTCTCGCATGATTGGCTAACAAGGTGGTCACGAGTTCCATGTGCCCGCGATGAGCCGCTATCAAGAGAGGGGTCCATCCGACAGCACTTTGTCTGTTCAAGGCCTTTTGGACTTCGGTCGCCGACATGTGACTTATCATCTCCGCGAGGACCTCGTTGTTTCCTGCTAAGGCGCAATGATGGAAAGCTGATTCCTGAGCCTGTCTCGTCTGCAGGGAGACGTCTGCACCGCCTTCCAAAAGTGCTCGGACCACAGCTCGATCGTCCCCTGGAATAACCACTTCGGAAGGCTCTACTTGGGCCGCATAGTGAAGTGCGCTGGCGCCTTCGTTGGTCACGCTATTCACGTAGGAAGTGGCCACATCAGCACCCTTCTTGTCCTTGACAAATTCAATCAAGTGTCTGACCACATCCGCTCTGCATCCTCTGCATGCGAGATGCAAAGGAGTCTCCCCGTTCTGCGACAAAGAACTTGTTCCGTTAGAGCGCCAAAGAAAGTAACTTGATTATAACTGACCTTTGACTTGAACATAGGATCTCCGCCATCGTCCAGAAGAAGAAGCAACGTAGCCAAATTCCCGTGACTTGCTGCCACATGGACAGGCGTCTGACCGTCGTCCGTAGTCAAGTTGGGCCCAGCACCAGATTTTAGTAGCATCAGAGCACACCTGTCGCCGTCCGGTACCCTTGCCGCTATATGGAGAGGAGTTTCACGAAGTTTCCCACCTCTGACGTGCACTTCCGCCCCATATCCGAGAAGAGTTTCGACGACGGCAGGCTTGGCACTTTCGACGGCGATGTGCAAAGCCGTATAATTATCATTGGTAGTAGCATCGACCTGAAGTGGCCCGAAGAAGACAAACGTCAAATAAAAATAAGTCTGACGAATAACACAGAAAGACGACGTACCTTTTCTCCACGCTGTAGAAGAGTACTGATTATCCCCACGTGGCCGTACCTGGCCGCCGTGTGGATCGAACGCGCACCCCGTTTATTAGGCATGTGGAGATAAACTCCTTTCTTGAATAGCATAGTAGCACATTCCGAATGGCCGTTCAGGGACGCTATGTGCATTAAAGTCGAGCCATCCTTGGTCCTCTCGAAGATGCTGGCTTTGAACTTGTCGGCGAGGAGTTCTATTATGGAAGCATGTCCATTCTCAGCAGCCAAGTGCATAGGAGTCCTATCCTGATGATCAGCTATGGAGGCGGATGCTCTTACGCCATAGAAATACTTGACCAGAGTCTCGTCACCTTCGGCACTCGCGATGTGGAGAGCCGTCTGACCTTCGCCCTAAAGAGAAGACCCTTTCTGAGATCAGCCGATAGCTACTGTCTCGCGATTACAGATACCCGCTTATCAAATCGCACCGGAAATTCGTGTACCCGAAGGTACCGAACGCGATACAATTCGTGCATTGTCCCTAGCCGACTGAGAACTTTAGACTGGAGACCTTCCCGGTCGACGCATTGCGACAATTGGCCTCATGTATTACGCATGCAGCCCTCCCATGGTTTTCTCCCACCATAACATTACTAATTATATTCGTATGACGCACACTGGGTAACTTATGTGGGAGGATAAAAAAAAGTATTAAAAAAAAAAAGCGAAGGGCGCTAAAGTATCGAGATACAGAGGGAACGCGTTACGACCTAATGTTATCGCAGGTACTTTGTCACCTGGTGTGACCTTGTCAACATTTCACAACCACATGACGTGACACGTTGGTACAATACTAGCGTTCAAATACTTCTCTGATTGGTCATTATTAAACTAAACTAACCGGAAGTACTTACATTCTGAATGTCTACAGTGGCGCCGTAATCCACCAGGATACGGACCATGTCGACGTCCCTTCTTCGAGCTGCAAGATGAAGGGCCGTGTCGCCTGCGGGTGTGGTAGCACGTAATTGATCCTGAGCCTGTTGGGCTAGAAGTTCACGACACATCGACTGGTTTCCGGCCTCCACAGCCAGAAGAAGCGGTATCCTTCCTCTCTGCAACACATTCAAAATTATAAGAAACTCGAGAGGAATTATCTGGGGACCAGTGCTGGCCATTGGTGATCCATCTAAGTAATTACGTGTACTCGAAGTGCTCGAGTAATCTAATCGGTCACATCATCAAACCCTACGTGAGCTTTCACGACGTTCTTAACGACGTGTTTCCAATTTTTCCCAACTCCAGCCTTTAATATGTTTCTCTGTACAAAGTCCGCGACCTGAACTTCAGGCCTCTCGGAAAGTCGAGCACCATCTTCAGAGCGTTTTGACAACATGATGACATAGTGACGCAACAAGAGCGTCCGGAATGCCTACAATCAACGTGAGCCAATCTGATGTCCTCTGAGAGAGAGAGAGGAAGCAGGTTGTGCGGCACCCCGACTTCGGTTTGACTGATATGAAGAAATTGTCTGGAATCGAATGATATCGCTGGACGAGGTGACATTTTATCGAACTCTCTTTTATCTCAAACTTTCTTCGTGTCTTGAAATATTTCTATCTGTATTTGAGTGTCTAAGGGTCGATATGGAAAAGTCGATTCCTGCTACCTCGAAGCCGAGGGTTGGCATCATCCCCCGTAAAAACTGAACGAAACACTAAAGGGATAAGAATTATGGCGGAGCAGCAGGTCGGGCGCCGGTACCAGGCGGCGATACCCTTACTCGTGTCACGCGAGGCTGCAGGTTTCTTGTAAACGGGACCAACTGGAAATTGTAAGAAAATCTTTATCTCCTAATTCAAACCTTTACAAAGAACCCCTCGTACGTTCTACGAGACTATCTGCTTAATCGATCAATATATCTGATGAAGTTGCTTTTCTTAATTACAGACACACTTACGCCATCGACTTTAAGGCGGATGTCCTTTCCGGCCGCTGCCAATAGAGCACGTAAAATCGAAGTGGCTGTTCCGGTCTGTCTGGAGGCAACAAGATGGACGGCAGTTTGTTGTCTTGACTGTACAATATCGTTTAATTAATAGAGACGATTGGTAATAGACATTTATAGATTTTAATTATTTATGGAGAAATTTTCAAATTCAAAATATCTTACCCCTCCGGTAGCATAAGGATCAACACCCTTTTTGGCCAGAAGCAATTTGACGACATCCTCCCTGGAGTACATTGCAGATATGTGGAGCGCATTGTAATTGTCCTGAAAGAAATATTATGGAGAAGTAACGATTTAACGATTTAACTTGGAAAGCCTGGAGAAACGGAAGAATCTATGGCAGGACGTCTGATTAAAGTGTTTGGAGCATTATAAAGAGGCTTGCTTGTTACAAGCAATAACGTAATAAGGCTATAAATTGCAATTCGCCGCTCCCATCTTGTGTACTAACGAGGCTGAGTTCCGAAGGTTGAATGATGAACGGTGAACGCGCATCGTTCCAATCACGGTTTATTAGCGTGCAATTTGAAAATTGTATCAGGTCGCTGAGGGAGCGGTGAGTGCGGTCGATAGCACAGGGGATCCTGTATACGTTCTACAAAAATTCCTCCTCAAAGTGTACTCCCGATCCCGTTGATATTAATCCTGGCGATTATTCAATAAAATATTTTCGAAAGGGTCATGCGATTGTATTTCGTATTTTTCAGTAGAGCTTGTAGCTAACTTTTCCCTAGGTCTTATCACGTCGTTTAATCGTGCCACTTTCTCGTCCTACTGACTGATCGGCCTACTTACTTACTTTCTCATAATCAGTTACACACTCAGTTGGCTACTCCCTTGGCCTTGGCCCTACTTCACGCAATTCTCCCCCGATTAGACTCTAGCATGGATCGTAGACCCGATCGTTAACAGTACGCGTTCCGCGCTTGGGGCTCGCGTAGCTTAATTATCAATGACTGGCAAAAACTATAAGGATACTCACGTTGTTCCGTGCGCTAACGTCTGCACCTAGGTCTATCATCCGGTCCAGGAATCCTGTTCTGTTATCTTTCACTGCGTACATGAGGGGTGTCATTCCAGTCGTCTGGAAAAATCATCGATAGTCATCTTACGGTACCGACCGGTTCAGTGTAATTTTATCGATGCTTCGCAGGATGGAATCATCAAGAATGAATCTTGGATTACCGGGTCCATCAGGCCTGCCAAGGGCGCCGGATTCCCATCATCTCCGGCGCTTTGCGCCGCCTTTTCCAAAGACTTAAGCAGCTGATCCACCGGGGCCCATTCCCCTCGGGCCGCAAGGCCCAACAATCTCTGGGCACCTTCCCTCGCCGTCGCCCCTGCGGAACCAGGCTTACTTCCTGGCTGCGACGGTTCTCCACTTGCTCCTCCATTGGTTCCGGTAGATCCCGAGCCGCCGTCATCCTTACCGCCGGCAGGACTCTCCTCTTTGCTCGAAGGATTCTTCTTGTCGTCTTTACCGCCCGAAGGCTTTTTATTGCTGCTGCTCATTTTACCTCACGCAGGACTTTGCGTAGACATTCCTTCCAATACCAAATCATGATGTTCCACTTATGCAATAATATTGCGCTTCACACTGTAACGCTCACTGATTCGGCAACCACCTCGTACGGTACACCTTCCTCAGGGAGAATCTTCGAAAAAAACAAAAAAAGAAACATCTGACTCTCACTGGGTCTTAATCCTTTTTCTTGACTCTCGAGCATCCATAAAATTCCAAAGAATCACACAGCCACGATATCATTCCCGATTACGCTGCCACCCACGCAATTCAGTCTCTCACGCGAAGGTTCACAAGAATTCCCACTGATTCGTTTCGCAGGCACAGAGGATCCTTAAAAAACGATAGCATCCTTAAGCTGGAGCCTTAACGGGGTTTCACGATGAAAGAGTAGCCTCGAGAGTACGTAATCTAGTGTAATATTAAAATGTAAAAATGATCCCGAGGGTAAAGTGAGTGCGCGTGCTGGTTGCACGGGTGTCCTCACGAGTCTAAACGTCTAAAGACGCCAGACGGTTGCACCAGAAGAGGGTGGCTTTCGGCCTCCTGGCAAACCAGGATCGACCAATCGGCGCTCAGCTCCGGGGGTTCGTTAGGGTACGGGGGAACCACCACGGGCAAGTAAACCTTCTACCGACGTGATTCGCCGTCTATAGAAGTCAGCCAGGTAATTGTGTTGGTTGCAGGTTGGTCGACTGCTAGAACGTAAGAACGCTCGAGAGACCAGGGTGGGAGTATAGGCTGCCGCCGTCGACACGCGACTTCCGGCGCAGGGCGGCAGCCACCTCTCACGATATTCCAAGTAGCTCACTTCTTCGTTAATCTTCTCCTTCTCGGGATCTCAACTGTTTCCCAGGTTGCGATCCTTTCCTATTCCCTTTTCTACGTTATCCTTGCGAGTCAAGTTCCCACGCACTTATAGCATGCCTGTAGAAAAAGCACTTGTTACCTTCTTATTCTCATTGGTATTAATTAACATATCTATTACCTGTTTTAAATATTGCCTATCGCATACAAGGTTATCGGCTATCTGGCTGTAGTGATGTTTTCTCCTTTCCCGTATCAGAGCTATTAGTTTGTCATACAAAACTCATTGAACCGTCAAAGTGGATCAGATTTTACTTATCGGAAAAGGGAATTTTATCAAACGAAGTAAGATTGACGTTACGCAATTTATGTCTGTCAATCGCAACACTCCGATTTACGTGCCGAATGACAATTAGCAGGTATCGCATGTAAGTCAGATGTTCAGTCGTTGCACCGCATTGCAGTACGTGCAGCCCCCCTATCCGACTGCTCTTCGTCACCGACTACTTACCAGCCCTCGTAAATCAGAGGTCTCTGCACTGCCTGATTTACTTTTCGACTGATTTCTCCAGCCGCCTTCTTCTTCTGCCCTTGACAACTCATTATCATAATATTCATTATCATTAATACATAAGTCATACAACGAGTCTAAAGCTTCGTTAGTTCACTGCCAGTTTGATGTGTACGAGTGTTTTGATAACCAATATCTTTACGTCGTAACTTTTATCTTCCTTCCACACCGATACATGCTGCTTTACTCCTTTTTACTTATTCAGATATCTTCGTGAGTCACATTAGTAGCCTCTAAGCTTTTGCTTCGTGCGTTGTCAACTGCAATCTCAATAATGTTACATAGAAACTTGACAGTTTTGTCTGTAGGCTTTCGAAAGTTTTTACTAGCACAATTTCGTGTACACACAGAGAAAAGATGGACATCCAGCGGTGCCAGTATCGAAAAGGATTTATCTTATTTTTCCCATCCTGGAAGACAGCCATTACTGGAGATGACAGTAGGCCAATTGTTTCAAGAGAGTGCCGAGAGATGGCCACAGAGAGAATGCATAATTTCGATGCATCAAAACGTCAGATTGACTTTTTCCGACGTCTTGAGTCGAGTAGACAAATTGGCGGCTGGATTTAAAAAATTAGGATTAAAAAAAGGCGATCGCATCGGTATCTGGGCACCTAACGATTACCAGTGGTACTTGAGTTTCGTAGCTGCAACGCGGGCAGGAATAATTATGGTAGGAATAAATCCTGCTTACCAAAAAGATGAAATCGAGTATTGTATCCAGAAAGTCGGCGTCAAAGCCATCGTCTGTCCAGAATCATCGAAGAGGCAAAACTACGCGAAAGTGTTACTCGATATCAAACAACGATGTCCTACTCTGGACCATATAATCGTTTACTCCCAAGATCACGTCAGGTCAGTACTCATATAGAGATTTCATAAAATTTTCTAACCTCCATATTTCATCGAACTGGACTGAATTCTGTCTGAAATCCAGCGCAGTCCGTATTACTAATTCGGCAATAATTTCTCGAGAAACAGCAACCATCACTGAACGAGAATTACGCGTGATATCGCACAAGACGTTAATTGAATTAAGCAGCGCAACTTGTAGTCCTTCAGCCATAGTCGCTCCGTCATGAATATCGCGTGCGCGATCACCTAGAAATTTACGCAGTCACATTCTACTCTGAGATATAGGTTAGCCAATGTATCATTATCAGCCAGATACTTTTGCTCTAATGAAAATAGCTCGATCTCTTTTTTAGTCTTATATATTTTATTTACTTTGAAAGTTAGATCGTAGATAGATCGACTGACAATGAGTAGCACATGAATTAAGACCACGAGGCGTATCGTACAGTCATTGAGGAATTTCTATTTACAATCTGGAGCTCGTTTCTTTATTTAACTTCATTTTACCGGACTCCCTTGTGGCCTTGTCATGCCACGTAATACAGTTTGATCCTCCTTTAGATAAAGACATGGCGAATAAGAGTTTTCGCAGTAACCATGTAATATCCGCTCGACTTTCTTTTGTAAAGTTTAATGGCGATCTGACCTTCGCTCCGATTCGAGGATTTTCTCAGATCGTTGTTCGTCGTCTCCATTGTCCCATAAGCGTCCTAGTATTCAAATAGCACAAGGCCATCTTGGACGTATAATACCTTTTCACTAAGGATTACAAGGACATTTTTCAGAGGGGTTGTTACTAATTAATCAATATATAAGTGCTATAACTCTGATAGACAATTATGCTAATAGCTTGGTATGGTCTGCATTAACTCGAATCACATTGTAAGTTTGAATGATGGATCGATAATGCTTAACGATATTTTTAATAGAGGAACTCGAAGATTCTCGGATGTCGAAGCCCTTGCTAGCGATATCGAAGTGGAGGCCATTGGCAAAGAACAGAGTGACATATCGCCCGGTGCCGGATGTAACATTCAATTTACTTCAGGAACAACTGGAAAACCAAAAGCAGTTCTACTTGGGCACAAATCCTTTGTGAATAATTCAAAACAGGTGAGAGATTAACGATCGTACCACTGAAGGTGTCACGTTTCACGTGGATGACTTCCGGCTTAGTAAATGTAAAATTAGTAATACCAATAAAAATGGAACCCTCGTATATGAGAATAGCTTTGCCGTTACGAATGTCCGGATCGCGTTATTCCTCCAGGGTGTGGCATATTCGTGGAAAAATAATTTAAGTTGTGCGTGATGGATTTCTTGCTGCAAGAAATAATTGGACATTAACCTATTTCATTATTTTTTTATTATCCTCCTATACGTCTCTTTTTTTTAATGGGAAATGCATTCGTCATTAGGCAACATAATAATTCGAACACGATAATTCTTTGTTGCGCAGGCGGCGGAGAGAACCGAGCTACTTTCTGGACAGCAGAAGATATGTCTGAACGTACCGTTTTTTCATGCATTTGGCATGGTACAGGCACAACTGGCCAGTCTCCACGCAGGAAGCACTATGGTTATAGCGTCGCCATTTTTCAATCCAGTAACTTCCATAGAAACCATAATTAGGGAAAAGTGCACGGTAACATTTGGAACGCCGACAATGTGGGTAAGACTTTCGTTAAACGATAAGCAACTTTTTTTTTGTTATTTTTCAATCCTCTATGGATCAAAACAGTCAGTGTATTCTCAAGGCAAACGCCCATGTCTTCCGATGACAGGTCAATCTGATAGACGTTCAGCATCGACTGAGTGCACCCGTGGAGACGCTTTTCTCAGGGGTTATCGGTGGTTCACCAGCGTCGCCACAACTTTTCAAGAGGATACAGGAACATTTGCGTCTGAACAATATGAAGGTAACGTTTAATGAGACGCGTACTATACGTCTTATTTGAGAATTAGATTTCCTTCAGAAGGCAATATGAGAGATCAATGCTCTTGGATCATTTATTCTTATCTATGTATGGATCTTGCGGCTAGCATAGAGCACTGTTCTGCATCGCGGAGGAGGAATACATTGCCCAGTAAGATCAATAAATTGATTTAGAATCCGGGGGTTGCAGACAAATTTAGTGCGATAGGAAATTGTCGAAATTTTCTGTAAATTCTACATTCACGTATACACAGAGATATTTCATGTATTTTCTCCATCCTCAAAGTAATTATCATTAGGGTAGCGATAGCAGAGTCGAGAAGAGTTTACCTACGCGAAATCGATAGGGGCGTTTCACCCTTCAAGGCCTGCATACATTTCATACGTACAGTACTATGAATACCTTCCAAAGCAGATTCGTAAACCTCACCGATACCTTATCTGCTTCTACTGTATTAAGGTATTCTTGTCTTCTAATTATTGTCAATAATTTTCAGTAATATTTTATTTATACTTATTTACAGTCGATATATGGTCTCACAGAAACCTGTGCAATAATTTTTCAATCACTGCCTGGAGAATTGAAGGAATTCACGGAAAACACTGTGGGACATGTTTCTGATCACATTGAGGCTCTGGTGGGAATACTACAACTTTGGTTACCCATATTTTTGATTTCGTATCAATTATTATTTTAACACCTTTGATCGCTGCAGGTCGTCGACGATAAGGGCTCGCCAGTAGCTTTCGGACATCCCGGTGAACTTTGGGTTCGCGGTTACACCTCGATGATCGGCTACTGGAACGACGAGGAGAATACAAGAAAAACCATAACGGAAGATGGATGGTTGAAAACTGGCGATCAGTTTATATTAGAGAAAAATGGGTATGGCAGGATAGTCGGTAGATTGAAAGACATGCTTATACGTGGCGGAGAGAATATATTTCCAAAGGTAAGCTTTTACAGTAGTCACTCATCCGGAGGACACTCTGCAGTAAATATATACATATGGATCGCAATAACGTGTATTCTTTACAGGAAGTTGAACATTTCCTCGAGTCACATCCGGGAATCGTTGAAGCGCACGCTTTCGGGGTTTACGACGATGTTTATGGAGAAGAGATCTGTGCGTGCATCAGGACCCGGAATGGCGTTAAACTCACTGCAGATGACGTGAAGGCTTACGGCAGGGGTAGAGTTGCTCATTTCAAGATTCCAAGGTACATCGTCTTCGTGGATCAACTTCCCAAGACTGCCAGTGGCAAGATACAGAAATTTAAATTACGGGAGGAAGTGGAAGCTAAAGGACTCGTCCCTTCTAAGCCGAAGTGACAACAGTTGAATAGAAAAAAGAAATATGACTTATATTATCATATCTGTAAATAACAGTTCCGTATTCTGTGAACTCTTCATTTTATATTAACTTTGATATCAACATTCAGCACGTATACTGTGAACAGTATTAATTGATATAAATACATAGAACGTATAAATTACTTTTCATTCGTACCGTGTAACTGTGCAATAATATTCATTAAGTAGAATTTCACAAAATTAAGTTCATCCATAAAAAAAATCTTGAAGTGTGATGTGAACATAAAGATATACCATTTTTTAAATATTTCTATACAATGAGTGGCAACTTAATCTATATTGAGAAGGTAAAATTACAGAGACGATATGATATCTGAAATATGAATTGAGGTGGTATCACTTTGATACAATATATATAATCAGCGCTAATGAACCCAAAATCTGAAGGCAAATTTTGGAAGAGCGTCGGGACGCCAAATAGCTGCGTTACAAGTGGAACTGATCGCGTGTTCAATACAGTAGGAATGTATTGTAATTGAAAGGAGCGAGATACCATTGTCGTTAATAATTAATAATTTTTTATGACCGATCCCAAGATCGACAACTCGGTAAGAAAGGTGAACAAAGTTTGTCAGCATGTAATTGCGCCATGACGATGTAATATTATTGCACGACATTAAGGTAAGTGTGCAGCTACTCTTGAACTATCGAACATATTATACAAGATAGAATTCGTCGTACATAAATACGCGAGAAGGCACTTTTCCTTCATCGCTCAGCGACCAGCGTATCACATACTCGTAACCCTTGCGATTTCTAGACGCATTGATTCCATCGGCAAGTGTTCTTCCTTTATTTTTCTATTTTATTTTTATTACTCAAAATAAAGTATCGCTACGTAGTTAAGTGCTACGTGTTTTCTTAATTAAGGTAGCGGCGTAGGAACGCGCGCTACGTACATTGCTTGTATCGTGTATTTGTAGCTAATCCATAAATATCCTATGCGACCTGAGAAAATATTTTCAAGGACAATCAAGATGGAGTTGTGAGTTGTATAAGAGCGGTAGGATCCAGCTAATAGGTCTTTGAATGTTCCTAACGTACGGTTTGCATTACACAACTGTTTTGGTAATTACTTCTGCGTGAGTAAATTCAAAAGATAAACAGTTAGTGTAAAATGTCCTGTATTAATATTAACTTAAGTACCTCAGCGTCACTGTAGGGATAACGCTTAGTAATTGGATACGGAATAAAATAAATTAATACTAGTATTGTTGTTTGTGAGTTTCAATTGTGCTGGGGAAAGGAAATAATCACTATAAATTAATGGGATTTATATCGAAATGTAAAACGTGGCCGACTGAAAGTCCCATTGCAAAATACTTCATCGAAAAGGGCTGTGATGTTAAATTTCATTTTGGTGTTTACTTTTATCTGCTATTAGCTTCTCTTCCAGAATTATTATTATACCTTTCTATATTCTGCACTTATTTATATTCAATAATTACCACTATGATAATGCAAGTAGGCGACTTTCAAATGGCCATTTTGTTTAGTTCAACTATTGCCATGGGAAAGCATAAGAGTTTTCGTAAATCTGAATTACATTTAAAAAAAATAAGTATATCGTGATAAAGTGATTCCAGATAAGTTGTTAAATGGGCGGTAATTTAAGTAATCAATTTATGGATGAAGCTCTGTATAACATTTGCGTAATTGACACGCCGCTCTCGCTATAAGAGAGTAATGACTACGCTACGAAAGTTGCTAAAAAAAAAATCTCCCAAAGGTTTAAGCTGTAAGTAGTAAATGCTCTTCTACTATACGAGTATATACTCATTGTGACGCTCAGTTAGACGTTTCGTGTGGCACGCATTCAGTCTCTCGACAATATTTTGCTTGGAAATTGCGAGAATGCGCATAGTAGCGTACGGGCAAGGACAGGGGGCTTCTTACGGCCAATACACTAATTGTAAGACACGCATTTTGTGACATTACGCGACACTTCACGCCACGAGACCAGAGTCTTTCGCCATGCTGTAGAATGCGCTGGTTTTTATTTGCAGCAGTGCATCGGGAGCATCGTACTCGATAATGCGGCCTTTGTCAAGAACAATTACCCTGAAACAAATAAAAATAACAGTTATAAGTAAAACTGACAAGGAAGCCAGAAGATCGGTTGAGTAATTCCTGACATATTTCTTACTTGTCCGAATCGAGAATTGTATTGAGTCTATGAGCAATCGTGAGAATAGTACAATCATGAAACTCCTGTCGAATTGTTCGCTGAATCAAATCATCCGTTTCCAAGTCGACAGCAGCCGTAGCTTCGTCCAGAATTAGGACACGTGTTTTCCTGAGCAAAGCTCTGGCCAGACAGATCAGTTGCCTCTGACCGACACTCAAGTTGTCACCGCCTTCGGATACCTCGTGCATAAGACCATTGGGCAGTCCTAGAGCAGTACGTCAAATTAATTGAACGAATAATGAGAAACCATAAGGACATTAATTCCTGTGCCTCTCGTACCACTGACAAAGTGCCTGAGATGAGCGTGCTCTAGAGCTCGCCATACTTCCTCATCGTCATATAGATAGAACGGATCCAAATTGATTCGAAGAGTCCCAGAAAAGAGTACGGGATCTTGAGGGATTATAGTGAGTCTCGTTCTCAGCTCATGAAGACCCAAGGTCGAGATGTCAATATTATCTATGAAAATCTTCCCATGTGCTGGCTCTATTATCCTGAATAGCGACAAGGTGAGGGATGACTTGCCGGCACCCGTTCTGCCGACGATGCCAACTTTCTCTCCGCCATTGACAATAAACGTAAGACCGTTCAGAACAAGATCAAGACCTTCCCTGTAACGTACTTTAACATCTTGAAATTCGACACGACCATTTCGCGGCCAGTCCTTAGGTGGCTGAGTCTCTGGAATGTTCCAGGGCGCTTCCTGCTCAGTCTCGCCATATTCTTTTATCCTCTCGACAGCCACTATGTTGGTCTCCACGTCCGAGGTCATTCGTACCAACCAATTAAGAGTTTGCGTTATCTAAGCCGAAAAGGGTCCCGGGTTAACCACTGTACAGCTTTATGAATAACTGCGCATTAGTCAAGCGAAAGTATCTTGACGAAGGTGATACCAACCTGAAGAGCATAGCTCACGGACAAACCAACGAGTCCCGGGCTCATGCTGTCCCTCAGGACCGATAATAATGCAGAAAAGAAGATTATCATATTGCCAACCATTTCCAATCTGATAGCCAACCATCTGTAAAATTATTAGCAAGACTTTAACACCTTTTCTCTATCTCCCTCTCTTCGTTAGAAACTTAAATAAAAATCACGAGAGAACTTTGCTCTCTTACCGATTGGCAATTATGCTGGGATAATAGCACACTTGATTGAGGTCCACTCCGCTCTCGGATTCCTTTATGAATCTTTCCTGCACGCCGTAAGCCCGAATAGTCTGGGCACCTAAAATGAAGATGCTTAAGGTAAAACGACTTTCTTTAGCGAGACAGAGAAAGGAGGAAATTATAAATAGGTAAGGCAAGAGGAGACTAGGAATATCGAAGAAATAACCAAGAACAAAGAATCGTGGTGCACCACTTACGTACCAGTTACGGATTCACCAAAGTGAGAATATATCGGCGACCTTGAAACGGACTCCAACCGCTTGAGTTGTCTTGAGGTGGCAACGTAAAAGCGTTGTACAAAGTAATAAATGATTCCTATGGGTATTATTATCGAGACAAAAATAGGAGTACTGAAGCTGATGACCACAAGTGTCGCAATCACCTGAAACATGAATAAACGATTAGGGAACGCGACAACTACGTCACAGACTACGCTACGGTCACCCTAGTTGTTAGTATCCACGATTAAACAGTTAACGCTCTTTTGTTAAGCAAGCCCAGGTATAACAGTTAGTAGACACACAGTGAACCACGTTAAATTAATCTCTACTCTCTATCATTTCCTTTCCTCACAACATAACACGTGGAACCACGAGACCGTTAATGTTTGATCGCAAAAATATCACATGATGCAAACAACATAGGAGCATTGTTAGTAACAAAATGGCGGGCGTTCATGCAGAAACTCTTCCTCTCGATGACAGGTGTGACAAGACAACCGTAAAACTTGATTTAAAAAATTGAATAGGCCCCATTGCAATATACATATGTGTAACTGAATTCCATGTTGATAAATCATCGAAGAGAAAAGAGACTTTATATGAGAGCGAATATGACGGCTGCGACCGTACGATGTACGATGTACAGTGCACGGTTCCTCTGGTAGTTCACCCAGAATCTCTCGAAAACTTTTATCGTTTTATGCCATCGATACGGCGACTCAAGAATAACAGACACAATTATACAAATACTCGATAGTCTTACGTGCGATGCGTACTTTTTGGCTTATTTGAAAGCCCGATTAAAGTCGCATCACAAAGTTACCGAATCACCGATTGGAGGCTATTTGCGATTTACCATCGGCAAACGTAGAGGGGTCGCATACGTGGGTTTGCAGATTCCTGAAAAAAGGATCGGAGGAAACACGTAGCGTCCCAATCGGTGACTCGTTCTGCATTTGGAGCGACTTTATCGACTCTGTGACAAATAAGCATAACGTTGCCGTTGCATACAATGCCTTACACCCTTATCAACCAACGCACGAAATCTCGTTGATAAGCGCGCAAACAAAAACAAGTTTGACGGGTACGTAAGCTTGAAGGAAAATTGGATATACGGCAAGGAGGAGTTACGCGAATCCATAATAGAAAACGTAACTATTGAAATAATCTCGTCCTACCAAGGAGCATTAGGGAAAAAGAGAAAATTAAAAAAAAAAAAGATACTTTATATCTACGTTATCATATTTTGAATTTTCATCTCAGACATACTTTCACTCTCTGATTCTGTCGTTTTGAGTGACACACAAACACGAGCACTGTCACATCAATACTCACTGTGTCCGTCACCCACAGTGTCATGTCATGTACCGTGTGTAGCAGTATGATAATAGTAATAGTAGTGGTAGTGGTAGTAGTAGCAGCTGTAGTGAGTGTGTAATTGTCGCGTGTTTCGCTAAAATTACCTCAAACATGCAATAGATGCTATCAGAAATTTGCTGGGGAAGCGATGTGTCCAGGACGTCGACGTCTTTAGCAAACCTGGAGATAATACGACCTGTAGGAGTCGTATCAAAGAAGGTCAACGGAGCGCGCATCACACCGCGCAGCATCACTAGGTGCATCAGGCGTGCAGCAAGCCAGCAGCCCAGCTGCGGAGCCAAATCGCAGACAAAACTCGCCAAGGCTATAACAGCAGACACGATGGTGGAGAAACGTTCAATCTAACCGTATCGAAAGAGCCGATTAATGACATTTACAGTTACGCGATGCTCTCTAGTCCTTAAAGGCATTATTAGTATAGATAAGGCAGGCATGATAAGACAGGCGTGAATACCGTGGCTCATGGCAGCCTCGGCCATTCAATTTCGTCCTCAGTCAATGGGGGGGTTATGCAATCTCACGTTTGCATTCATCCAGCCATTCTTTCCGTTGCTCTCAGTGAAAAATATATACAGGTGAGCGCTCTGGTAGGGTGATCAAAGTTTCGAAAAATTATAAGACTTCGCAGAGTCACCATGGAGAAGGTAGGGGTTTGGAGATTTCGACGTATCCAGAATACGCGACGATGTATAAGCTTCTGGCATCACGAGGGTCGTTTGCTGTGGCAGGTGGAATTCTCAAGTTTTTTTTTTTCGTCATTTAGGGAAAACACGAAGTAAGGTTAATCTGGAAATAATGAAGGTCTCCGAAGAGGACGATCCGACGGCAGGCGTTCTCTTGGTGGGATTTCAATGAAGAGAGAGAGAGAGAGGGGGGGGGGGAGAGAGGGAGGACGAGAAGAGAAGACACACAGCATTCCCAAGTTACTTCAAAAGTACCCAAGGCCATATTAAAAATTTCTTAGAGAAAGTCATGAATTGTAAACGTGTTTAATCAGTTAATGGCAGCCAAGCGTAAACACAGATACGCTCACCAACAAAATCCTTCTACCGTCTGTTTATAAGGATAGTAATAAGAGAAGATGTACAAGCAGACGATAAACATTCTCAAGCGCAAGCAACTGCTACTATCGTACGTAAACGCTATTTGTATAATTGTGTCGTTTACCCATGGCAATTAAGTACGAGGAAAACCGATTTGAGATGGAGCAATGCGAAAGGAGCAAAAGCTGGCGCGGCTGGTCACTGGCGCCACTGTTCCGTCTCTTACTTCTTTGACGCGCTAGCATGACACATTCGACTTCGGCAAGATTGAGAGCATTAGTGAACGATTAATCGCGAGTTTGACAATAGGAAGTTTCAGAAGGAATGGAAAAGTCTAAGGATCGACGTCAATAACGGATACCACAACCAATGACGAAGGCTCAAGGCAAATCAATGATCAGCGCACGCCTAATTAAAAGCTTACCCTAAACAAAGAGGACAGGCACTGTATGAGAACCATTGGCAGTCTGTTGTCCATCGTATCTACGTCACCACCGAAACGGCTCAGAATACGGCCGGTAGGCACCGTGTCGAAGAAGGACATGGGCCAGCGCATTATATTGGACAACATATGACGCAGCATCCCAGCAGACGATCGTAGAGTACCCAAGTGTAAACACAGCGAGGCGAAAAAGACGCTTAAGACTGCAACACAATACTAACATTTCAATATCCAAGCAACAGTTTATACTCGGTTTCGATGCATATTTATTTTCTCCTCCGTTGTCAGCCGAGACGGCGATCGATCAGTCGGTTTTTAGTTTTATGCATTTCTTATGTATGTAACGTGCACGTCGATTGTACAGTCAGTTAGGACGTACCATGTGTGTGTGTGCACGTGTTCAGCGCAGCTAGAGGACTGAAAGAAACGTGTAATGCAGTTATAGCCCGAATCAACTGATAACGAAGGAATTAACTTGGCTTACCAGCGAATAAAGTTACAATTACGCGTTCCTTCACAATCCGATTCACAATCCTATTCACTAGGTATTCGCAAAGTCTACCCATTAGGAGCGAGGATCAACGTGGATACGCGAGCCAACACCTTTTCTTGCGACACATTGTCATATACAAAGTAGCTTAACGGACAGGCCGCCGAACATTCACGGGAGGGAGAACACGGACGATTGCGACCTGAGGCAGGACGAAGAAAAGAGACTGCTCGGCTACGAGATCCTTTCGTACCCCGAAGAAGGATGGAAACCATGCGCGAAGGTTGTGTGGCAACGTGTTATCAATGACATCAACGTCCTTGCCGAGCCGATTGAGAATCCGGCCAGTAGGTGTCTGATCGAAAAAGGACATCGGATTCCTCAAGACGCGCACTATGGCAATGAGGAAGAGTCGCTCGGCAGCAAATATGGCCCCCAAGGCCATGACGATTGTCAGTATAATCACTGTCGTTACTAAAAATATAAAGATACATTGGAGAACATATCACAGAGTGTTTTGCTATCTCGAAATTTCTTCCTCGAATAATTCCAGAATTGAGATGCCCGTCTAAAGATCGTTTAACGATGAAAAAGACATTGGGACAAAGAAAACGAATCTCAAGGTAGGAAGGAAAACGATGAGAATCGTGATGACGCATAGTTAGGGAGAAAGAGAAGAAAACTAAGAGGCGAGAGAACGCAGATCTAGATAATTTCTTGTTAAAATTATTAAAAAGCGATAAAAAGTGTTAGTAGTGAGTCACGATATACCAGGTTCAGCGATGCAGTTGTAAGATAACGTGCTCTAGAAGATACTTCTGTGATAAAGAACGGCTAAGAAACATTTTTAAGTGTGAGCACACACACAAAATGCTACACGACTGTTATCTAAAGTGATTGTGCATCCTTAGCCTACCAATTAGACACAATTGTACCCATTGTTGCGTCATTGCCGTTTAGTGCACTTTTTCCTTTCTTTTTGTTTGTTCGATTTTTCTTTTTCTTTTTTTTTCTTTTTTCTTTTCTTTTTTAGTACCAACTAAGGAAGGCGCAACAAGAATGCCTGTTATTCTGTGAGATCGTGGGAATATCTCACGTACCGTTGTAAGGCAAAATAACCAGGCTCTAATGGTGGGCGGCAATACGTTGTCTATAACGTCAATGTCCTTCCCAAAACGATTTAATATTCTGCCCGAAGGCGTGATATCAAAGAATCCGATTGGCGATCGTAGTATGCCAAATAGTAAGCCTGAATGGAGAATATTGCTGCTTCGGAGACAGCCGACAACCATCAATAGTTGTGCAATCATCACAAAACTTGCTGAAATTTTTTTTACAGATGATGTAACTCTTATTCTAGATATTATTGTAAATAAAGGGTCTACATGACGTAATGAAAATGACACAAATTCACTTAATACTGAAGGGATAGTCAGCGCTCGAGGACATTCGATAAAAACATAGCATAACCTATTTATTTGATTAAATTTGAATTGAGTGCCAAAGAAAGGCGGGTGATGAGACTCAGACTGCTGTGTTCCCAATATCGTCGAGCCTTCATAAAATATCTTAAAAACAAAAGCGAAAGACATACTAATAGGTAAGCAATGACGATATTACTAATTCTAGATTGTATGGATTTCGTGTAACCTACTCACTAATGTGCATTGTGGAGATACTAGATGGCACTAGGCTCTACTGTAGAAGCATTCTAACATCACATAGCGGAAGAGGTTTCGATTAAATTAATTGTGGAACGAAGATGGAGATTTCCTATCATAGTTGCAGTTGCAAGGTCCTTATTAAAAGAAAGCTTCTTGTTACATGATTCGCGGTCAACTACTCGAGTCCTGATTTGATTAAATTAGTAAGTAAAATCCAGTAGTGGGATTAACTTCTAAAACGTGAAGAAAGACACATGCAAAGAATATGCAGCAGCAGCAACAACAAAATAAAAATAAATTAATCAAAATGGCTCATTGCGTTAAGAAAAAAAAAAAAGTGCAAAAAGCCTACAGTTGCGTGTTTCCTGGTTTCGATTACTGCGGGAAAGATTTTTAATATAATCCGGCAATGCCGGTTCTAATATACATGTGAGTGTTAGAAGACACAGCAAACCACACTCGTTCTAGCTCTCAGTATTGTTGATCCAGGAAGAAAAAATCGTCATTGACTTTGAATCGCTATTAGCATTGCGAAGCTGTCGAATTTCTTATTTCGCCTTTTTCTCTCGGTTTTGTTAGATACACATATCGGTTTCGGATAATGACGAGCACGTGTGATGATGTACGATATAATTAAAATAGAAATAGGGGTGCGATCAAGAAGTAATAAGAACGGACGACTGTCTCGCGATAAAGAAATCAAAGCGATGTCTTTGATTGCGACTACGTAATAATACGTAATAATTGATAATGATAGTGGATACCGATAGTGATAGTGATTGTGATTGTGATTGTGACTGTAATTCTGATGATAATGCTTGTTGGTGGTAATTCTAATTTATTGTAACGATCAATAAACGGCTCTGATGAAACGTTTACTTGACCCTGGAAACATCATAATCGACATTGATGATTACTATAGCGTTTAGCACAAGTAAAGGTTCTGGGTGAATCTACCTACGTCTCCAGGTCATAAACAGAGCATCGAGCAATCAGTACTTATGTAAAGAGACATACCTTGTCCAAAACCTAGTGCGCCATAGACACCTAGGTACATGTCCCGTTTAGCTTCATCTACTTTTCCATCGATCACTGTCGTATTGTCGTTCGACCATATGCTTAGCCATACATTTGAGCCAATACTGAATCCTTGAAATATTGCATTCATCACGATCGTTGAGATCGATAGGAACCATCCGATTGACATTAAGTAATGCTTGTACACGTGCCATTTTACCTAAAGCACAAATAGTGCATCAAGTAAAGTAGAACAGATATTCTTATTGGCTATGTTCAACGGAAAGAGCGCTAGCGAGGCAAATATATTTGATTGTTCAAATTATAGAATTTTTATAACATTTACGATAATCTGAACAATAAAATACGTTTCACTTCCCAGGTGGTGTTTCTGGTGAACGTAGATATTATCTCGTGGCATGTTTCAGGGAAACTTACACTTCCGGTTTCTGTTTTCTCAACTTCTATCAACTTTTCTCCCACCTTTAAATGCAAAGGTTCTTTCTCTCGAATACTGTTGGTGCGCGTGAAACTTTCAGAATGTTGACTATCGGTTGAGTATTTCCTGATCAATAGACACGCATGAAATTTATTATTAGGGCGTCGCAAGATTAAATTTTGTACAATTCAATACTTTTACCTGCGCAGAGAACCGTTTAGTGATCTCTTTTCGTTTATTGAACCAGATTCACTGTGACTTTCAGATATCCTTGATCTGGCGCGTGACAACTTTTGCTGCAATTCATCGGCGCCTATTGTAGACTCCAACTGCTGTTTGATCTCATCTAACTCAGATTCGGAAGCGTCGTCGACAGCCACTGTCACAAATTGTTACACAGTTCGCACAATATAGTACGATGTAAAAAGCCTTTTATTATTGGCACTGATAAATAAACCATTACTAAATAACAGGGCCCATGCGAGGTAAGGGTAAGATGCAAACAACTGACAGGTTTCGCACAATAAATAGAAGTAGCGGATATAAAAGCTTCCTTGTTGCAGCTTCCTCGAAATTTTACATGAGGATTTTTCTCCCATTAAATTACAAGAGTGCGGAAAGCCATGACATTTAAACTGAATGCTCTAATGAATTCTGAACTGCACGCCATAAATACGGCCAACCTCAGTACCAAGCTCAGTCGTTATTGCTTGCTTTTAGGGCGCAACATGAAGTAAGATAAAAATATAATTACTTTTTCATTGACTTACGATTTCCAACTTAATCCCATGAAAAATATAAGTGTACACGTGAATAAACGTTGTACATTTCCATACTGAGTGCGACTGAATTTCTAAATTAAAAAAAAATACCTTCTTGAAGATGTTGCACGAGGAACTCTGCGAAGGCTCCTTTCTTCTCTAGGAGTTGTTTATAGGTGCCGCTTTCCGTAATTTCGCCGTCCTTCAGAACAATGATATTGTCTACCTCGGGAAGATAAGTGATTCCGTGAGTAACCAAGATTCTTGTTTTTTTCTTCAAAAGACCACTAGGTCCAATGACATTTTCAAAGATGTGCTTCCCCACGTGAGAATCCACTGCGCTTAGAGGATCATCTAGGAAGTACATGTCTGCATCATGGTATACTGCTCTGGCCAAGGAAACTCTTTGCTTCTGCCCACCGGACAGATTTATTCCTTTCTCGCCAATTTCTGTCTGGTCACCGGCTGGTAGCATTTTGAGATCAGGCCCCAACGCGCAGGCTTCTACCACTCGATTGTAGAGGGTTTTATCAAGTGGTTTTCCAAATAGAATATTATCTTGCAGAGTGGCATTCTGAATCCATGCTTGCTGAGACACGTACGCAATAGACCCCTGTATTGATTTACAAGTGTCATAACTGGCAAATACTTATCACATAGCATGACACAGCATTCTGTAAATATTTATGATATCATATAACTCTTTTTTACCTTTGTATTGACTCGACCGCTTAATTTATCCATTTCACCAAGGAGTGCAGACACCAGCGAACTTTTTCCAGAACCGACAGAACCCACCAAAGCTACCAACTGACCTTGCTTCACTTGAATATTAATATTACGCAAGACCGGTTTCTCGGCGTTATCAGAATCCCAGGTAAAATTCCCATTCTCTATAACCACTGGATACACTAAATTGCACATTAACAGAATTTATCGTTAGCACGAAGCACATGACGTTGCACTTATAAATTATATAACGTAGACACTACTCACTTTCAGATGAATCATGTTGCACATTATTAGGATCTAACTCCTCGGTGTTCATAAATTTGTTTATACGTTTTACAGAAACTGCCGCCTGGACAAATGATTCATTTCAATAAGACACATACTCCGGTAAGCAGCACTACAACGGTTAATTCAAAGCAAGTTCTACGTACCTGTATAATATTTGTGATCATCATAGGCAACATGGAAAGTGGGAAGCGCAAAATATTGAATAAACTTAAGGAAACAAATGCAGTAGTGCTGTCCAGAACGTTTTTTTCATCTATGAATACAAAGGTGGCAAATGATACCAAAGATACCTGAATAAAAGAAACGAAAGTAGAGCGATTGCACAATTATTTAGTGAGAGAATTCTTAAATATCCCAATGATATAGCTACTCACTAAGAAAGGTGCGCAGGACCAGATGAAACTAGTACCGGCATTGAGGTAAGCAGCTTCCTTCAGCACTTGCAACTCTTTATTTCGAATCTTCAGAATTTGTTGCTCAAATGAAGGTTCCCACGCATAAAGCTTGAGAACTTTAATCCCATTTAAAACTTCGTTCATCAACTTGACTCTTTCATCTTTGTTCTTCATCTGTCTGATCTGCAGCGTCTTCACTTTGCTTGCGATGAACGCATTTACTGGAATTAGGATGATCATCACAGCGAGTCCAGCAAGCACCGATGGTCCCAATATATCCCATAGAAAATAAAGGGCCAATGCAATTTGCAATGGTGCCGACCAAATCATATTTATGTAAGCAGTCAAATCCATGAATCTCTGCGCATCGACTGACATGAGATTAACTATTTCACCGACTGTGGATTCTTTTCGTGCCGCATTCGACATTCTTAAAGCTTTCCGATAAATTGCTGCTATCAGAGCCGTTCTTATCCGTAAGCCGACGAGGAACATGCGATTAAAGTACTGTGATAAAACAAGTGTTTGTATAGTAGCCGTAAGGAAGAGAAGAACTGCATATAGATATCCTTTCCACATAGGCTCATTTGCGGAAACAAAGTTAATCAACAATCTAAAAATGAGTAAAGTGAGATTGGAAATTATCCGACGTAATTGTGTACGCTGTACAAAAAGCATTTGCACTTACTTCAGGATCTGAGGACTTAAAAAGGTCATTACATCCTGGGAGAGTTTAAGTAAGACGCCAAAGATAAAAGTGGGACCGAAAGCCTTGCACAGTGGTAATAAAATTGAAGCTACTTTTTTCTTTCGCGAACTATCGAAATCCACTTCTCCCGATGACTTCCTGAATGAGGCTTTCGCACCCTGTACACTGAAACATGATTGTTATTAAATTCACAATACTTTATTATTTTTATATGCAAATATAATAATTGTATGGCTGTCTTCGTTAGTCTTACCTACAGTAAGTCCGACACAGCCTTGTTAAGAGAACATTGAATTATCCCTCATTATCATTTTACGATAGAAACACCCAATAATAAATCATATGTACAAAAATAGAAATAGATTTATGAAAGCCAGTCTACTTACTTCTGACTTTTCCGTAAATTCTCGTTCCAATATTTATCAAACCGTGGCACAATCTCTCTAGCTGTATCCTCAGGATTCATGGACCATAAATCTGTCGTTTCCAAAGGTTTTTTGAAACCCTTCCATGCCAATGGATCGAACCATGCAAAGAAGATTCTGGATGGAAACGAGGCACTTTGTTCTGGACATTGTCTTTCAACCTAGATGAATAACTTTATGATCATTGTTGAAAAATACTAAGATTATTAGATATACATTTCAAAAGTTCACTTACAATCGCATACTCTGAGTATTTTGGTTCTGCATCAGCCAAGAAATTCAATAGAAAAATTAGCACAACTGCCGCATAGTAGATCATATAAGAAACAAATTCATATGTTGGTCCAATCTAAAACAGAAATTATGTTTATTGCTCATATTGTACATAATACATTCAAATAGGTAATAAAAAAAAAAGATACCTCTATATATAACCTAATGACACTTCTGTACTGTACACAGCCACATAATATAAGTAGGAACCAAAACAAGAAGAGTAAGCCAGATGTTCTCATTCCATACTTCCTATTATATATCAATAGGACAGCTGCTAAAATCTAAGAAAAAAGTGTGAATTATACCTCAAAGAAAACTGTTAAAGAAACAAAGTAGACGTGATAGATATTCTATACTCACGAAGCTAACAATCTTTATAAGGGGTGTATAGAAGTCTACATTGTAAACTGTTGTATATTTTGTATCATATATTGCTTTTCCTAAATCAATGATTGAAAGCAAAACTAATCCAATGGTAAGTACAAATTTAGAAATAAATTTCCAAGTATATGGTATATTCTTTCTTCTGCTGCTTAGTAAGTAGTAAGCCTCGAGCGGAGAAAACACCCATAGAAACGCACATGGTGTCCAAACAAGAACAGTTTTTTGAAAGCATTCTGTCAGATCTGGATCATCTGTATACCATGTTAAATTGGAATCCTGTAAGAAAATGTGTATAAAAATAAATATTATTATTTTATATTCTTCAGCACATGCATGCGTAAATCCGTATGTTCTCTATGAGTGATTGGAAGCATCAACGCGAGACATTCGTTTAAATGAAATCAATCATGCATAAATTAGTGAACGACAGTGTTGACTCGCAATCGACTCGATAGAAGCCATCAGCATTGAACTTTTTAATCTTCAGATTGTCGAGGATCGAATGTCGTTGATTTAAACGCCCTTTCGAATTCTCATGAGGAAGTATCCAAGAAACAAAGAGAGAACGACTGGGAAGGAACGGGAAATAAGAAGACCGAGATGAAATTAGAATGGAAGAGCGTTAATATAGCCGGAGGGAAAGTGAAACGAAGGAGAAATAAGGGTTAAAGATTAGATAATGACAAAATATTGAGTTAAACTCATAAGAATAGAACTGTCATAAAGAAAAACCAGTAAGTTCACCTTATCCTGTCGATACAAAAAACCTTAGGGACAAAAAAAATGAGATTGTAATAGGAGGACTTATTGGACCAAACATTTCGTATACGTTGCGGCTGTTGGTTATTAAGAATTGAAATGCGTGAAAATATCGCAAAAAATACAATACTTAAAATGAATAAATGGGGACAACTTACCCAAAACTTAGAACCACAAAATTGGTCCATCGTGTGGATTCCTTCGGCACTACTCTCTAAAAATGCACTAAGTAGGCTGCCAAGTAAACTGATTCCTTTAACTCGTTCGCGTGAATTATGTGGAAATCACAGTTTTTTCACATAAAGTATGTAACTCGTGAGGCAATTTTTTCGATTCGTAAAGAGGCATATGGCGCAAAGAATACAAACACACCGAAACTTGCATAAGCAAGTTGCTCAGCGGATGAAGAGGAGAATAAATTCACACGCCGAACTCACTGGTCACTGAGCGTATCTCCTGTCTCCCACTCTCCTATGTGATTCCATATATTCCAATGTCCCAAATGGTCCCAAGAGCGGCAAGATCTATTGGCTACTCAGCTGCGCTTTGCGTGGCTTTGTTGGGATCTGCGTGGCTCTGCTGTGCTCTACGTACCTCCTACACTGACTCTTTCCTACAACTGCCTACAACCACCTACCAACGAATGAAGATACCTTCAACGTCGAGCGAACTAATTGTACAATAGGGATGACTCAAAATTTCCAAATCTCATTGGCCAGATCAGTCATTCTGTGAGCGATCTGTCGATAACTTTTTCGTGATTTCCGAATCTGACCAATGGGGAGTCTGGTTTTCTATTGGTACATTCTGTGCCATTAGTTCGTGCAATGAAAAAAAGTACCTGAATGGCGCCTTTACAGTTCAGCGTCGGCCTAGCCATGCGTGCAGGCTGATTGGTCAAATACTTGCCTATTGCGACAGGTGCAATTCCTAGCCATTCTTAAATTCACTGCCAGAATGCATGCGTTTCTCTCAGATACATACGAATAAATAAGAACAGCAATTTTCAAAGCTTAACGCAGTCCGACAAGATGTGCACCTGCACATGAGAAAAGTTTAAGCTCTTAGATCAAGGTAACAACTAATTTATTAATTTGTAAAAAAATCTGCATCTCCATGCAGTAAACATCGTCATTTTTTACTTTTCAAGGAATTTAGTAATCAGCCACTTTCAATATTATCCGTCGATATAACCGATATTAATAATATAGAGCCTACTACCTATTAATTTCTACGTATACTATAAAAGTTGCTCTAATTTTTAACAACAATTTTTTCACCTTCGTTTCCTCAACTTATCTTATTATTTGTCATGCAATTTTATCGTGAACTAAACGAGTTAATGCATGAGTAGCTATGGTGACTCAATTCTACGAAAGACAATATGCTGCGTGACGGTGCAAAATAATTTTCCAAGAACAGCGAAACCAAACAAGATAACGGAATCCCCTTCACGCTCTTGTGTCAATAGGTAAAACTTGTTGAAATTTATTGAAAAACAACATACGATGATTTTCCTCTTAACATATGAGTGATCTGCTACATTTTGAGCATTCTCGTAAAGATCTTGGCTGTGAGCTTTTTGTTCGTCGATTGTCGAGGTTGCTCGTAGTCAGCCAATTGCCAATTTGACCCGTATATTATTTGTCAAACGAAATGTTATATAAAGGAAACGAGTCGCGCATCCGAGACAATAGAGTTGCAATGTCGTAATCAGAGGCACATTGCTGAACCTAACATCTCTGGAGTCACAGTCCGTTAGTGGACAATGGCTATATCCTGACAATTACTGTATGTGAGAGTTCTATCTAGTTTTCTTTAACAAACTCAAAGGTCTCTTCCGCATGAATGATCTACTTTTATTTCTCCCTCAACCTCAATCCGATCCCAAGCTACATACACGCGAACTTTGATCTTATTTTATAAATGAGTAATAATTTGCTTGATCGTGGAGTTTTGAATCATATTCAATCAGTTATTTTCTTCAAGAGGATTTTTTATCTAGTTATCGATAAGAACGTTTTATCTACCAACACAAAACTGAAAATTTCTATTAGATATAATTATTGCTACATGGGACACTAGAATCATAGATTTCTCTAAATTATGTAACAAGTTTGTACTATGACAATTAATAAGCCATCGAACAAAAGTATGACTCAATGATTGATTCTTAAAGAAACACGAGTATTCCGTGTATGACCGAGTATTCCACCCTGTGGTAAAAATATTCTTTAATCTACAGCAGCCATGGATCAGCCTAAAGTAGTGGAAGATTCATTCTTCTTTGTATAGTCATCTAAACGAGAACCAGTTTTTTTTAATGCCCTTGATACTCCATCTTCTTTCTTTGTCCGTATTCACTGTTGCTGACATCATCACGTCGTATCCGTTTAACCTTTATCTAGTTGCGTGTGGTCGAAAGGATCGCACACATCATATTTTTACGTAAAAATTAATAATAATCACCTAAATACTTACTTTAGGCTAATTATGACTATGAACTCTAAATTCAAATGGTATTAGTTTATTGTGTAAAAGTATAAAATACTTGGTTTCTACAACTAATCTGCGACTAGATAACGGTTAATTCACAAGTAGCCGCTTGGCAACTTTATTTACAGTTAGGGACGCTTTACTTACAGTTAGATAAATCTTCTGACTGATAATGATTACGTTTCCATTGTGCATGATTGGCCAATCATGTCCAATCTTTGAGAAGAATTCGCGAATATTCTTCTCAAATATTTCACATGATCGATTAATCCTTCTTAAATTCTGAACAACGGAAACAGTCAATATTTCACCTCGTTGCGAAATAATACGCAATACGTGACATTCTTCCAACAAATAGAAATATCCCTTATTGATAGAATAATATTTATTAGTGCAACTCATGACAGGTGGGTCAGCATGATATAATATGTATACATATCTCCAAAGCTAATTACAATTTTTCCGGAATGTACTCGGAATAGTTTGTATTCGCGAGTTTGATTTAAGAGTATAATATAGCTTCGAGTGGAATCAGTCCTAATTATGTACTGGATGCTATACTATAATACCATAGTACAATTATTAAACGGTCAGAGATCCGAAATCCTTAGGTCTGTGGATCACTGAATAACAATGTCAATAATTCAGGTTGTTCGAGATTCCTCTTGTACTTTTGTACCATGTCCTGAATTTTTAAACGTCGTCTAACGTGTGGTGGATGATAGCTGCGATAAGATAAAAAGAAAAAAAAGTCTTACAGATTTCTATTTTGCAGATATTAGTATAGTTTGAAACTACCATTCCCATAAATTCATTGTGTTACCTGTCATTATCCAGCCTCCTTCTGCGGCCCATGTTTAAAGTAGTTTGTCTAATTAAATTCCCCAATACTCTCCTTGATACTACCATACCATCAACCAAGGGAGTTGCTAAATTTATCCGGGATACTGGTCCTTGCAGCTTCACTCTCAGCAGACCACTTGCGAGAGATTGTACAAATATTATTTGTACATCTGAGGCTCTTATAGCGTGAGAGTATTCGAGTCCCGTACGCATACAAGGTAGAAGATCAGCTGCAACATTAATGTTGATGTTCCCTGTAGATTCTGTTGAGGATCGAAATTTAATAGATGAAGAATTGTACGTACCAATTGGAAATTGCAAATGATCTTCGAGACTTTCTAGCCATACTACAAGGATTCTGGTATCGGTTTGTGTCGGTAGAGAATGCTTTGCTGATCTTCTCGGTCGAATTGGATCCGTACTAGAAGCACTGGGAGGTCCTGATCCTGTTAAGCTCGAAGGTTGCTTTTCGAGGTCAAGCGACATGGTCCTCGAACTCTGTGAGGTGTTTTGAGAAATGGAATAAGCCCGGTTGCCTGCACTTTCGCTGATGCTTCGTTCGAACCACCCTGATGAAATGGGAGGATCGTCCGATGTAGGAATTAAATAGAGGATATGGAAATGATATCTAATTAGCTTCGCGAAGCTGTACCTTGGCTGTTGCTACTTGAATCGCCATTGTAATTTGTTTCGTCGTTTGACTCGCCACTGATTGCGTTCATCGAATGCGTTGGTACAACGAAGGCTATCTCTGAACTGACATCTGCCCAATAGAGAACGTGAGTGTCGCCGTTGTAGAGGGCTCCGCCGTGATCACTGTGAGCTGGTTGTGGTACATTTACTGGTACCGTCACTCGCCAGGACGTCGAGACGTGTCCCGTCCAGCCAGCGTGACTCGACACAGAAACTGGCCAACCAAGTGAACTCAAAAATTCCAGGAAGTGGTCCGAAACACTGCTTTCGTGCAACTATGAGCGAAGCACATCAGTTGGCATATAGAAATAAGAATACCAACAATTGCGATCGATATTATTAGTTTGATATTAGCACTGACCACGTTCGAAAGAATTTCTTCGGCATTTTTCTGCCCCGCCTTGACGTAAAAAATATGAACGGTGTCGCATGTCCGTGGACTGGTGTGATCGAGATTCTCTAGATCCGCACAGAATCCTGGTATAGTCGGATCCAGAGCAATGAGTCCACTGCCGGTTGACTCCTCGCCACTTTCCTTCGGCTCAAAATTAAGAAAACCAAAGTGACTCAAAAATAATCGAGCCGTTTGAAATTCGTGGCAAATCTGGGGCGGCACACACTCGTTAATTTTCTCCTCGCTGCTATTCTCAACTTCCTCGCTAGACTTTTGCTCTAAATTTATTTGCCTTTCAAGTAGTTGTGATAGAAGTCGATGCTCATTCTTCACTCCGTCATTATCATTCATAACAGCTTCCAGAGTGGGTATAGACTCGTCTCTGCGATAAAAGAAAATATTGCTTTAAACGACTCAATGAAGATAGAGAAAAAAATTTTATGGCAAGAACACTTACACTTTACAATGCGGAATTCTATCAACGTTGTCTGGAAAGAATCTTGGCTTATAATCGGTACGTGGAGCAGCTTCAGCCAGAGGTAAAGGACGTCCAGGATTCGTGTTGATACTTCTAACACTGGATCTGTGTCTAGGCAGATGTCTAAGTTGCATCGTCCATGCATGTCTACCGAAAGGACCTCGAATCAATACCGTCACAGTTGGTTGTGGATCCTGATCGTTACCAAGTGGTTCCTCGAGCAACGCCAACATCGTAGCATTTTCGGCAACGAAATATCGAAAGCGTTCTACAGCCGCTTGACGCACCACTCTACCACCCATCCAGCTGTTACAGTGCCGAAGAAGGGAGACCTCATCCAATAAGGACGATAGCGATTGAGCACCGCAGACACTGGGAAAATATCCAACCTGCTCGAGAATTATTGTCAACAGAGCATCCGCGGCATCCCTAACTCTCATTGATGCTGGCTTCAATTCCTTCTCGTCCTTCATCTTAATCGGTTCTCCAGGCTTACCAACACTCTTGGTACCAGAAACTCCCAGTTCGACTACCTCGAGAACAGTCATCAGGCAATCCTTGTCCTGCAAATAAACATAACGGGAATCAACACGCTTGATGCTTTCAAGTTCACTAATTACCGTAATCTGGTGAAAGGATTGCAAACCTGCAATAATTGCGGATCTGCAGTCAACCAGGTAGTCAGACAGGTAAATGCGGCGACGATCGAGGAGTGAAGATCTTTCGAATGAGCTGGCGGTGGTCGCCAACATTGATAAGCTATGTAGTCGCAGAGCCATCTCACTGTCCTTTTGCATTCTAAAGCATCTGGAAACGTGTGATTGATAAGTCAAAGCATTCAACCCGCCGAGAATTCTTATTAATTCCTAATGAAATACGTAACGTTCGGAAAACAAAAGGAAACAGCAGCCAAACCTGTAAGTTTCCTTGCTGGATGCATAAATAGAAATCGATAGAGTTATTAATTATTTTTTTTCGGAAATAAGAAGGTATTAAGTAACTAACGAATAGTGTCAAGTATATCAGGCAGATCTTACCAGTTTCGCGAATATGAGTTCTCGCCAGGCCCGAGAGTAACTCTAATGCTGCTAGAGAGACATTTAAATCCGTCTTCCACGAAGATATCAATCTGTGACAGACCAAGTACGTTGCCCTGACGAAAAGAGCGTGAGCAGAGTCTGGAACAGTTGTTCAAATGTTTTTCATAATATTCAAATAAATCCTATATAAACACATCGGAAAATGCATGGTAGCCAGATACTTTAGATTATGTTTATATATAGCGAGAGAGGGTGAGAAATGAGGTTATACGATCAAGGGATTCAGCACCCGGTGGACCGGGAAGGAAAGGAACAGAGAGGAGAGGTTGCTGCTACAGTATACAGTGCTTAAGTAAAGTAACGAGTTTAGGAATGCGATATTTACCAAACGCAATGCTCTCCTCTTGAAGAGTTGCAATATCGGAGGAATCGCCGAGTGAACGCAGATCACTGGAAATGCTTACTTGACTGGCTGAATCACTGGTGGCTATCAAGCGATGATGGCAGTAACAATGGTGAATGCAGAACGGAATACAACCCAAAATAAAAACGAGCTTGTAAATGGCATAACAATATATATGCGCGAGACACGGCTGTGCTCAATCGATGCGTGCATGTGATTATTATAATAAATTTATTAAATACGTTGCAGCGCGGATCAAAGAAAAATATTATTAAAAATAATTATTTCTTATTTATTTCTCTTTCTCTCTACTGAACGACACCAGACACATTTCACTGAAAAAGAATATCAAATGTTTAGCCACAGCGATCACATGACAGCCATCAAATCTGACTGGTTCGACTGAACTGAAAAGTCCTGTAGAAAGGAAAGCCTACGACGTAAGCTCAAATTCTTGTGATTATAAAAGTTCAATGAGTAGTTCCTGAGAAACTTTTTAAACTGTTCAGAATGTTATAAAATAATTAAAAAAAGAATGTCTCTACATGCGTTTCAAAGACGGTGAGAGATTGCTGAAAGCAAGATCAGAAGTTGTGAATTTTTGCAAAATATGAGTTGTTTGTACATGTGTCTTGTGTATCCTATATCGGAGCACACGCGGTCATGACCAATGAAAATGAAGCAAACCACAAAAGCCCGCGAAAAGCAACAATAGGATACACAGTGAAATTGCAACGTGACGATGGTGAAATCGCGCGCATACGGATACCTATCCAGATTTGCTAATAAAATACAAAAATTAACAGAGATAACGGAGAAAACAAATATACAGCAACGTGTACAGAATGAACGTGACAAAGCACAATTTTCATTTTTTGAAAGTGATTTGATTTTTTTTTTTTTAATATAAACGTGAAAGCGTTACGGATTTTTAGCTCAGGATAAAATTTTCATCTGGGATGACATTAGGTCATTTTAAATGTCTACATTAAAATCTGCCCACAAGAATATACCTGATGATAATAAATTTGTCGTTGTATCGCTAACCACAGCATCCGGCTGAGTCACTTGATCGACTTCTTCTGCAGCTGCAGAATCCTGGACGCTCAGTAACAATCCACCTAAGAGCATGTGCGTATTTTGTGGATCGGTTTCTACTTGTAATGCATTTATGAGGAGATTCATGAGTCTTGGCTTCAATTGCGCAAACGTCACTTGATTCCTGTCTTGATTTCCCAAGATAGAAAATGCCGGCAGTTCCTTGATAACGAGATTCTAATGGTGAGACGTTAATGATTATTACAATTAATCGTTTCTACAATTTCCGAAGATGAACCGACAGTTTACCTGAAAATGTAGTGGCAATGTCAGCATGGATATTAATAAATGTATGGATGCTCTTCTCAATTCCACTCTGGAGACTGAATTTGATTTTAATTTTAAATCTTTATCCGGAAGCACAACTTCCAATGCTGTTATTACAGCTGGTACTAACACTTGAATCCCATCGAGATCCAATCTAAATAGGTCAGCTGAATTTAATAATACGCTGGCAAGTGTCTCGCCGCATTCTCTAGCCTGATAAAAGGTAACGAAATTTCAATGATTGCATAAAACTCAAAGGTTAAATGACCTTACAAATTGCCTTTACCTCGTTGACTTTGAGGCCGTGAAACATCGCTTGATAGAATCGTGCAAGATATACCGGAAGTATTTCCTCACCAGTTTTTTTTGCACAGAAAATTCGACAAAGTGCGCCCATGGCTTCGGCTCGACCGGATTCGTACCGATCTATTCCAAGAGATGCTGGTATTGCGCTGACAGTTTCTTGCAAGGAACTTGGCCCATCGACCAAAACCGAGGATGGTCTCTTGGATGCCCCCGAGGGTTCTGGAAATTACTCCTATGAAAGTACAATGATCTTAACAGGTAGAAACTATTCTCTGAAAAGAATAACTCACGTGGTAAGTTTTGAGACCATCCTTCAGTACCTATGAAAACGGCTTCAAAGAGCCACTCACCAAAAAGGTGAAGTATGCTATTGCATTTTGGCCTTCCTGGCGCCAAGGGTGGTCTAACATCCTGACCAAGGGAAGTAACAGCTACAAGGATTACAGAAAAATGGAGGAAAATGAATTTTGAAAATTCAAAAGCTGTTTCTCTTACACGTTGTACTCGAAGTTGATGATGGTCCAGAGTTTGTTGTTGATATTGGTGGATTGTTGGAAATGCGACTTGTAGTTAAACTAATGAGAGAAGCTTTTGGAATTCCTGCCAGATAAAGTCATAACAATTAAGTGTCAAAGAACTGTTCACAAAGTGCATGAGAATGCATAGAATGTCTTCTTCGTGCCAAGAAGCAATAGATTCAAAGAAAATACAAGTAATAATTAAAAAAAAAAAAAGAATAAAAAGTCAAAGACCGTGATACTGTGTATTTACAACTGTAAGATTGTCCAACGAGATGAAATAAATAAGAAGTGTTGTGCTTAGTACCCTTGGTGACAGCGGAAGGCGTGACGCTGAAACTCTTAGCGAGTCTCCGCTGCGTAGGTGGGGTAGGAAAGGGTTGAGGCTGATCCTTTCCAGTGGATTTCTCAACCCCGACACCCACATTTCCACCAAACCCACTTCCTGGTGCGGCACTAGTAACGCAACATTCCTCCCAACAGCATGCCTGCGAGACCCCTGTAAACATTTATTGGGCATGCCGCCACCACCACCGAGGGTCGTATTCGAAGAACCTCGTGCGAAGAAGTTTTGAAATTTCGCAGTGCTATGAACCTTCAATAAATGACTTTCTTACCTAGGAAGGCATCAACCTGGCCTGCTATACCCTTAATGGCCTTAAGAAATATTTGTGGTAGACCTTGAAGACAAGGATGCTGACAAGGGTCCATGATGTTGGGGCTGGCGATCGCATACTGCAAAAAGGCCTGTGTCTGTGACACGACCGCCGGCCTGCATAAATCAACCGGATCACCTACAGTACGTAATAATCTATACCACGCCTGAGCAACTGCCTCATCCGACATCGTGGGTGGTACTAACTGGGCATCTTCCTCGCCTGAAGGCACAGCAATGCTTATGTGAAACATGTAGAGATAGGTTGAACGTATGTCAGATTTCAGGGTACTTACTGATTTTCAATTCGGGGAATGTTGGTCCATACATAATTTGTAAGAGCTTTGCTGTTAATGCTAGACATACACGATTCCATTGTTCAACCAGAGCCAACCTGTGACGCCAACGAAGACAAGATTCGCGAAGAGTTCGCCAGAGTGGAGGCGATGGAAAATTTCGTTCGCAAGCGACTAGCCATACCTGAATAAAAATTAGTATTAGTTATCATTTCGGATATTTATGATTTTGTTTCCAGGAAAACGTGAAACATACCTCTAATAAGACACCCAGTACTCTTTCGCATAATTGTTCACCAGCATCTTCTCTTACAGCTGGAGGAGCTAAGAGAGCGTCATTGATGCCAATTAAAAATAATAACAAACTCTCCCATGTCTCTCTTTCTAATGTTGCTGGTCCACGTGCTACTTGTTGTAGCGTCCTTAATACTCTGTGGCAAAGGACGGCTTGTCTATTTATTGTATCGGCTCCTAGAAGTAATTGTGGAGATGTATTATATGCAAAAGAAAGAAAAATACATAGAGCATCCCATAGTTAAGTACCCATACCAAGCTGCAATACCAAGATTAGTTGAAATGATTACCTAAGTCCTGATACAAAAATGGCCAGACTATGGAAGAGAAAAGGATGTTAGGAGAGACAGTGGTTAGTAGCAGAAATAGTAAATCAACGGAGGACAATTCTAAGAAACAATGACTCACCTTCACCCTTTCTGGGTACGAACAGATTGTGGAAATGGCTGATAATTTTTCTTGCATAAAAGTTTGGATCTTCCACGATAGGTCTTGGTACAGAAATCTTAGGTGAAGAGTACAACGCAGATAACCATTCGCAATAAACGTTGACACAATCTCTAACAGTGTCATGTTCAGCTAATGGTAAAGAAAGTCCAAAACAAATAACTTCCATACACCATTGGACTTCTCGATCCGTGTTTAATGGACTTGGCTCAGCTGCTTGAGTGATACCAAGATTGGCAGCAAGTTGACGGACAATAGACAGTGCAACTTCACGGCCAGCACCCGGTGAAAATTTCTCGAGGACACTTTGGCTCTCCTCGGAGCCCTGCTGGATTAAGGCACTCAGAGAGGCCCATTCGGAATACATTCCACCTCCAGAATCCTAGGGAGCAGTATACTGAATTAAGTTTTCTTCTTACTTCTCAATACATCCATGATGAACTAAGCTCTACTCAAAAGAAACTACTAACAATAAGTGACATGAAGTGATGACACAACATTAAATATGCAAAACCATATATGTCAGTAAACTCGTGTGGGCAGCGATGGGCGTAAAGTGGTATAATCATGACGGATAGTACGCTATATTACCTTGAGATTGACCCTGTTGAATACGCCTAAATTCATAGATTATCATGCGCGTGTGTGACGTTTAATTAGGAACAAATAATTTATTGGCAGTCCAGCTGTCAAAAGTCAAAATCACACGAGTACACGAGGTAACGTTGTTAACGTCAGACGTACCGTATATCCAACGATAACATAAAATCAAATACTTAACGCTTGATCAATGTTACACGATCATATTTGTGATCAAGAGATCAATCCATTTATGTATTTTTCCCGAAAATATAAGCATCCAACATCCCGCCACGATCTTGTAAATATCTCTGTCAGACAGACTCTTGTCACGAGAAAGTTGGAGTAGCGGTACTTCCAAATCGGATTCTTCAGCTCCGTTTCCATCAAGCAGCAAGAGAATGTCGCTCGTCGTATTTTTGCCGGCGATCACTACGTTCAAAATGGGCCTTTATATAATCAAGTTCCAGAGTTCAAGAATTTCGAAAGCATATTTTCCAGGTTGAGAACATCAGTACTCTCGTGTGGTCAGTAGAGACACTACAGGATTACAGTGCTAGAATTAGTCAGTTTCTGGAATTGATAAAGGCAGGAGCTGTCTTCAGTTACAATACATTCGAAAACGAAGATAGTAAAAATGGTAAGTTTTTCGTATCCATGATATTAAATAAAACAGTTTTTTCTAAATTATCATTCCTCCTTTCTCTTCTTATTCGCTAGTTATTTAACCTACGTTCGACCTTCAGACTTAATAAGCAAGTGCTACTTATTAACCGACATTTGTAGCAACAAAACTAATTATGAATTTGGGCAGTCGTCGCGTGTATTTCTTCGATTTTTGAAGTTATAATTATTAAAGGGGATTTAAGCGCAAACGTGGGGCATTACCCTCTACAAGTTTACAATTCCTTGCTATTAAATGTATATTGCCATTATCTCCAATAATATATATTCATGATAATATTCAATTATATATTTTTACTGCTAAATGTATTTCGCAAATGTATTTATGTGTCTTATAGTTTTAATTGATTTAATACAGTTTTCAAGAAGTCCTGGCCATATTAATTCTTAAACTGTAGAAAACTTTAATGTTTTAATGACTGTTTAGTTGCCTGACTCAAATGATATGATCGTCATACGCTTTTTTCTGAAATTTTCTACTTATGCAGGCTGAGCCAATAAATGTTGTGGTCACTGGTGCAGCTGGACAGATTGCCTATTCTCTCCTTTATCAATTGGCTGCTGGTTCAGTCTTTGGCCCTGAGCAAAAGATCAACCTACGTTTGTTGGATATTCCACCGATGATGGAAGTCCTGCAAGGAGTTGTTATGGAATTGGAAGACTTGGCACTTCCTCTTCTCGGAGGTAGTGCTTCATCCATTTTGAAAATTCATAAATTTACCTTAACGGATGAAGACATTAAACGAAAAAGAAAAAAGAAATTCACTGTCTTCGCGTTGCAGAAGATTCTGTAAGGTCTCTCAGGTCATTGGAAGCGCAGATAACACGTAACAAGTAACAGTAAATCACAAAGAAAATATGTAAAAAGTTTAAGTTTCCATCGAGTTTTCGAAAATATCGTAACGTATTTTAGAGACAAAAAGTCGAGGAACGAAGTTATATAACGTAGTGTTACGTGCATGATGTAATATAACATATATATATATATATATATAACTCTTCTCTTTTAAGGAGGTATCTTCAGTCGATAAGAATAAAAATAATCGGTTGAAACAATAAACCGAAACTGCGTTTAAAATTATCAATCACGGTAGTTAGCGCTTAACCATTTCGAGAGGTTGAGTAAACGTATTCCTGATTAATATATTATCTATTATTTATCATGTTGTCATTCAATAAATAGATGTGCTCCCGACGGCTGACCCGGCTGCTGCCTTCAAGGATGCCGCCGCAGCCTTCCTGGTCGGCGCGATGCCCCGCAAACAGGGAATGGAGAGGAAGGACCTCCTCTCGGCCAATGTGAAAATATTCAAAGTTCAGGGAGAGGCCTTGGACAAATATGCCCGGAAGGACGTCAAGGTTCTTGTTGTAGGAAACCCAGCAAACACAAATGCTCTCATTTGCTCGCATTATGCACCCTCCATACCCAAAGAGAATTTTACGGCAATGACAAGACTCGACCAAAATCGTGCTCAAGCAGCTCTGGCGGCTCGCATTGGCGTTCAGGTAACTGCTGATGGATTATTTTGTAGTTGCGTTTAGTAAAATTCGTAATTTAAAGTCATGCGTCTTTCTTATGGCCAGGTCGATAAGGTGCAGAACGTTATTATCTGGGGTAATCATAGTTCAACCCAGTATCCTGATGCATCACACGCTGTCGTTGATTTATCCGGGGGTGTCAAAGCAGTTCCTGCTGTTGTCAATGACGACGCGTGGCTCAATGCACAATTCGTTGAGATGATCCAGAAGCGCGGTGCTGCGGTGATCGCGGCCAGGAAAATGTCATCGGCTATGTCGGCTGCTAAGGCTGCTGGAGACCACATGAGAGATTGGTGGATCGGAACCAAACCTGGTAAATGGGTCAGCATGGGCGTTGTGTCCGATGGCAGCTACGGAATTCCTAAAGACGTTGTATTTTCCTTTCCCGTTACCATAACCGATCAGAAATTCAAAATCGTACAGGTAATAATGACATTTCTAAGCAGTTGTTCTTATTGGTCGAAGTTTTTCACGACATTGAATGTTCTAAATATACTTTTTATTTATCAGGGTTTACCTATCAGCGATTTCGCTAGATCCAAGCTAGATGTTACTGCAAAAGAGTTGGAAGAAGAACGTGCTGAAGCAAATTCGGTTCTTCAGCAATGACTGAGTGACATGAAAGTGTCTTGTGCGGCTGTGAGACGGTCGTCCACATCATCAAAATTATAACAAAAAAAAATATATATATATACATACACACATACACATATAAGCATAATACTTATAAGTCAATCGTGTATAGTCCGCGAGGGAAAAATTAGTGTTTATTACGTGGCATCTGTTGTCGCTTTGTTACGAAATTCTAATAAATATGAAAAAAATGCTTTCGCTGCTAAATTGTAACAACCCCACTAAGCTTATAGAATTATTGACCGCCATAAAAAATGTATTGCAATATTAATGTTCGTTTCTTCGTTTTTTTTTTATTATCATTCTTCCCAAGAATCAATAATAATTTATATAATACAGTAATAGTAACTATTCTTCATCTTGATATTGTTAGTCTTCTCTCACACTTACGTTAACTTTATACGAATTCATCTAGTCTATTAGAGGACTGTGGGGGATAGGGAGTGAAGGGGAACATCGTTTGATCGAACTGAGATTACGTATTCTTCGAGGCAAGTCAAGGTCGTGTCCTCGGGGTTCGATTGGACAACGAAGTCGCTGTTGAGGTTGTAAGTTTTAGGGGAGATTCGGTAGAGGGTAAGTCTAGAAACGCGATCACTTCCAAAGCACATCAGTTAGTAGGCAGACGACAGTCAAGACGTTAGGACGATCTGATCGCGCTACTGCTAAGTATTGTGAATTTTCATAATCATTTTGGTCAATAAAAACTTGACGTGTGTACATTCGACGAACAATTTTTTATTCGCGTCATTCTTCATCTTTCATCCGAAACAAGTAGCGACTTAAGAGCTGTTCAGGATGGAGGTACCCATGTATTGAAAATATAATTATTCACCGAGTGCGGCTATTCTTTTACCATAGACTATCTTCTACACGATATTTCACAAATACAATAGTGTCACATAATTGGACGAGGAGTTTCGAGAGCTTCGACTTCGTAACAATAGGAAATCTACTCGCGAAATTTGCAGCTTCTGAGGAAGAATTTTGCGCGATACTGTATAGACAATTTTATCTCATATTGTATTATTCTTGTGAACCTGGAACGGAATTTTCTCACTTCACTTTGAAACTCAAAGAGTCTTAGTCACGTTAGCTCATCTTCCTCCTTCTTCAGCTTTTGCTTTGACCACTAATAACCGGGTACCCTCCCTAGACGATATCCTCACGAAGCAGCAGCATCAACAGGAACAATAGCAGTAACAGTAGTAATATATTGGTAATATGTAATAGCAGTAGCAGATTTGACTTTGACCGAGCGACAGTGCTAACGGGAACGTAAACACGATGGAAAGTGACATAGATGAGATGAGACGATATTACGGATATGATTGCAAGATAGACATCAGGATTGAATTAAACTGAATGAGATCAAATGAGATGAAACAATAAAAGACAGGACGAGAACTTCCGTGCCAGGTTTTTGGGACGCCGTAAGCGCGTCGCATTCCTTTGACAAATTATTCCTCCGCGTGAACTCTTTTAAAAATAGCAAGAACGAAGGTCACGTATCGAGCTCTACCGTTTTATCGCGTGATTCGATCCGCAAAGCATGGTTCGAGTAAACGTTCTGGACGAGCCAATTTTCATTGATTATCGTTAATTCAAATATGTCCATATGCTTCTAGGTTAAACGCGTCTAATTCAAATGGAAACCCCTCTCTCGGGTGGCGGCAAGAAGCCTCTCTTTGAGAATCTCTTCGGTAGGATATTCCGGCAATTTCAAGTAGTGCACGCACGTATTTACGGAAGGGTAGCCACCCGAGCCGGCGTCGACCTTCCGCACTACGGTGAGCCTGGGGTGAAGATTACAGAGGCCACCCGGAGGAAGAGCGGAACATCCGGTTGCGAATTGGAGGAAGGCCTTCCTTTCTGGACCCGTCAGTGATAATAGTACATTGACGAACCTCTGGAATCCGGGGCTGTAGCAAACAAAAAAAAGTATGTATTGATTTAAACGGTTTATTGGTAATTACGAAAGTTAGTAAAAATGAGTAAAGTTTGGTTTACACACCTTTCCTTCGTGTAGCCGAGTTTCGGTTCTGTGTAATTGAGCAAGTCCTCTCTGGTCCATTGGGGGTTTTGTTCACCGCAAAGCATTGCCCTGACTTCTTCGGGGCTGAACGCATGCAGCTTCTCCATAGGGAAAACTTTGGAGAAGCCCGCTTTGAAGGCCTCGAGCTGCCTGCCGATCCCACGATCGAGACAATAGTTTATCGTCGATTCAGCGTACTCCCTGGCGTTTTCTAGGGTGACGGGAATTTCGGCACCACCGTCCCGCAACTCTGCATGATCGTGTTCGAAAACTTTCGAGCTGGGCGAGTACGTCATCGTCAGAGCCAAGTCTTCGATGGCAACCGAAGTGCCGGACGGATGGGTTATACGAAGTGTATCCTGCATTTCATCAGCCGAGGAAATCCCATCGGAGAGGGTCCTGTCGCGCTTAGATGATATATTTTGCATCTCCTTAAGGAACTCACCCCTGACGGGATCGACCAGCGCGAGATCATCGATATCGAGGATACCGTTGTACCAAGGAATAGGTTCAAGAGAGGCATAGGGAGCTTCGGGTTCTCCTTCCTCGGATATGAAACTGCTGGCCATACTCGAGGACATGCTGTCCTGCGTGACTCCGGTTAATCCAATTCTCTCGTTAACGTTATTTGTAATGTCGCCGCGACACATGAGTTTGAGGAACGGTCGTGATAGCGGTAAATCGACGAGTCTATTGTCCTGGAGAACCTTCGCCAAGAAAACGCCCAGGAACCAGAAGTATCTGGCGGAGCGAGCACATGCCGAAGAGTCCTGCGGCAGAGGTGCAGGGAACAATCCACTCGGCCGAGTAACGTAGTAGCCTGCTGGGCGAACTTGTTCCTCGGACGGAGAAGTGCCCTGCTGATGATGCTGAAACATCTGTTCCTCGTCGCAAGATTCATCATCGTCATCGTCGCACAACCAAAGACCTAGGTCCTTGCGCTGCAACTCGGCGGCGACTAGAGCGAAGAACTCGAGAGTAGGCCCTAGGCCGGTTCCTTCCTCGCCGACGAATTCTACTTCAAGTATGCTCTTGCGGCTGGCATGTACCTTTAGTACTTGCTCGGCCCAGTCCAATAGTTTCTCTCCCCTGGGTACGCTGACCCTTTCGTGTTTCAGTCTTCCTACTCTGAACTCGTGGCTGTCATCACGCCGTGGACTTAAACCCGGAGCCCTCTGCCTTTCGAGAACAGCATCTCTTTGAGTTTGTAGCCAGACAATCGAGCGAGATGCTCCGAAGGCTGTGCAGCTGAAGTAGAGTCGTCTAGTCTCGAAGGGCAACAAGAACGGGCAACTCCTGGCAAGCTCCTCGCACCAGCTAGGCAGTGCTCCTGCAGCTAACGCCAATGGATCTTGAATTTGCTGCACTACCTTGTTCGTAATTTTCTTTGAAGTGAAATCGTCTGGGTGTACCCAGCCGGAAGTGTCGACTTCCGCCTCGTTTTCGGACATGTTGACTTTTCGCTCATCACGTGTTGTACTCAATACGAAAACATGCCGCAATAATTGTAAAACATCTTCCACGGTGCATGCATTTGTATTCTGACTCGGGTTTCGGGAGTAGAGGGTGACAATAGGTGTAGCTCGACCCGAAGATTCGTCCTCTCGTGCCTCCTTGTAGATTATCCTGCAAGTATCCCGTAATTAAATGACATAACCTGCATCTGTAATGTCTCTTTAATGGCAACGAGTAAGAAAAAGAAAAAAAGAGGCATACGTGTACGTAGGTTCCCATATCCTCCTAAGTTTCTCCTGCCTGTTTCCTAATTCGGTCATTTGCATTAACTCCTGTACTGCTTGGAAAATGCTGGAATGAGGATCCAGCAGAGGTAGCTCAACATCCGGGACTCCGGGAAGTCCTGGACCTTTCAAAGTGAGGGAGAGTCTAGGTGTCGGCAAAGACCCAACGCGAATACTCGATTGCGGTTCATTACCAGGCGGTGGAACTTCCAGATCGGTTGTCTAAAGATATTTATGCATTCGATATTATTTGCAAGTTCCTTTCTATAAAATAAGTAAAATTAAACTAAATAGCAATGACACGTTACCTGATTTATATTTGTTCTTCCCGGGCGCGGATCGAAGGCAGGTATCAATGCCGAAAATTGACGTTTCAATACAAACTCGTCATCCCATGCTCGTCTCTTGCTGCTCGGAGGTACTTCTTCTTCCATGAATGCTGCCAGTAAATTGCGACTTACCATCACTTCCTCGTACTCTCCTTCTTCCTCGTTCTCTTCATCGTCATCCTAAAATTGTACAATATTATAACTAAGACTCTTGCGGAGAGAAAACAGTATGCGAAAACATACATCCTGGTCGTTCTCCTCGTTGTCATCGTCCTCTTCGGCTAGAACGCTATCTTCGTCGTCTTCCAGCTCAGTGAGAAGAGTGGGACCGCCAGTACCTCGACCGCCGCCGACACTAGATCCAGGAACGCCACCACAGGACTCCAAGAAGTCCTCGAGACTAACCTGCAGCCATAACTTTATATTGTATTAAAAGGAAGCCCCGATACCACTTTGTCTCCGATCTTTCCTCTTGGCTGGACGACGACGACGACAACGACGACGACGACTTGCTCGGAGGATCGACGCGCGTGTAATTTCTTAAAATAATTCAACGATTTCTCACCTGTTCGCTGTCGCTGCTTGTGCTCGTAAGAGACATGGTAAGTGCTTGTCCAAGTCCTGGACCAGTAGTCGTAGTGACTCCACTGCCGGCGACTTGGCCGCTACTAGTTAAGCTGGGATAACTCTGTGCAGTGCTGAGTAATCCACCAGGGAAGTTAGAGCCGAGAGCCAACCTGACTAGACTCGAGACAGAGTTAGGTCCACGAGGATTCGAGCTCGAATTGGCATTGGGTGCTATGTGTTGGCCACCGGCCGGACCTGAAAACATCGTGTTCCTGGATAAAGCTGACAATCCTGGACGAGGCCGATGTGCGAGGAACCGCCGAACGTAATAGCGTGCGGCTGGCACTCGCCCGCTCGTCAAAGTAATCGCGAACCGCTGCGAGGATCGCTCGGTCTTGTGCGCGCTAGGTAGACTGCTCAAGAACTAACCTAACGTTCGTCTTCTAGCCATCGCAGCAAAAGTTTCCAGTAAGCCAGTAGCGGCTGCCGGTTCCAGGGTATTGTTAGCATCGGTACAAGCGAGATTGGGCACAGACACGGACATAGGATTGGTAACCACAACGGGACAGCCTCCTGTAGCGCTCTGCGAGGATGAGCTAGCTTCTTTGTCCCGACTACACTCTTTCGTGCCTAGTTCGATCGAAAAGACTTTGAGGTTCGTCAACGTTTACATCGGTGCCAGGTAGGATGTGGAGGTTAGGTTAGGTTGGGAAAGAATTCACTTGTGAATCGCAAATTAGCGATTGATTGATAATCAGCGGTGAAGAGATACGGATTACTTCAATCGCACGTTAATAAACCACACACGTAGTTCTTAGAGTTAGAGACACGTTCTTTGGCGATTCTCTTGTCTATCCGAAGTTATAGGACATATTATAAGATTGATAAAAAGAAGAAAGTGATAGTATGTGGAGGAACGTACCATCTGCGATTCCAGTGTGTCTCGGTACTGGCCTGATCCTGAGGGAACTTTCGTCGGTTTCACCGGAAACGCTGATCCTAACAGGAACCAAACCCACTAATTCCCCGCTCAAGAAACTGTTAGTGTTATTACGCAATCTGTCGGCACCCTCTCGCACACGGTCCAAAACTTCTGCAGCCTCCAAACTCAAAAGACCACCTGCAGGCTGAAAAATTTAATCTCATCAGTCGTAAAATATTGAAGTCCGTGAATTGTCTACCTTGATTTGTTCTTGTCTCTGGGGAAGACAAGTGCTTACCTTGTTTCCGCGAACGGTAGCAAAAAGTTGTTTCGAGCTGCTTGATGCGCGGTTGCTATTGCTATTGGCAGGACAATCTGTATTCAGAGCAAGGCTCTCAACGATGGTCGCTAAATCACTAGTCACGGCGGTATCAGGTCGTGGATGTAAAACGACTGAAAGCTCTCCGGCAGCGCTGGCTGCACCCTCCCCAGTTACTGCGACTACTGCTTCAGCACGTGCCACCGAAAGAACACTCTCCGCTATCGATTCCGCAGCTTGCTGTATGGTCAGTTAACATTTAGGAATATGTTCCTTGCGATAAGTTGTAACGGATAGAAGGAAGATGCTGAGTCTATCCTAATAAAATGTTTCTTACCTTGGCTGCTAGGTTGTCCGCACTTGCTGCCTGATCAGTAGAAGCTACTGAAGTTCGCATACCCGTATCCGTGCAGTCTGGTAAGCTTGGAGTACTACTTGACTTCCTACCCGTAAGAACACCCGTGCTATTCTTGTTCTTGGATGCACTTTCATTCTCAAGAGTTCCTGTCGTGCCGATTAGCCTCAAGTCGTATTTGCCTTCGGCGCCCATTCTATACGAATTCGATCCACCATGATCCCAGGTCACATCTATCCAACCATTGTGTAACTCCCCGGTAACAGTGCCTTCGCCAGGAGGAACACCATCCTGATCTCTCCACTTCCAGTCAAGTCCTCTGGCAACTCTTGCACCCGCGACTAAGTGTCGAAGCACTTGAGTCCTAATCAGTCTTCTCTGTCTTCTTACTCCAGCTTCAGCTTCCCTGGCAGCACGTCCCAGATCTTCGCACACTCCTGTCACTTCACCGTACACTTCAAAACCAGAAACTGAGAGATAGTGAGTTTGCCCGGAGGCATTTTTTCCAGTTTGCTGAAGACGCAAGTGACGCCAGCCTTGAACTTCATCGCTGGGAGGCTCCAGGGTCCACGTCGCCGTGCTACCTGGCTCATTTAATGAACCGTCGTCTACGTGTGCATACAAGGTCGTCCAATTGACACCATCCTTCGAGGCCTGAAATAAATGTTAACGCAAAAAACTGTCAGCTCCTTCTGTTGCAGATTTACACATGGACAACAGTCGGTTATTTAATTTACCTGAAACATCCAATTTCTGAGGGCACTTCTTCCGTATCCTCTAGCATGTCGCAGTGTGTATGCACTTGGAATCAGCCAAACTCCTAAATCTATAGAGAACCATGCTCTTTTGTCATCGTTAGTATGGCAATTGAGGGCTGACGGATCTCGACTAAGAATATCTTCTAAATGACCGTATGGTAAATTCCTTCCCTCGCTCGATGTAACGACAACCAAACCATATTGTCCAGGATTAACCCACTCAGTGCTCGTTCTAAAGAGAGAAAAAGAAATGTCATTGTTTTTTTTTCCAGAAGACGTATCGTAGTTTAATGACGAAAACTTACTTCGCATTTGTACCAATCCAATAGATTATTCCGTTCTCATCAAAATCATGCTGATATTTAAATGTTAATTTGTTGCCTTCCTTCAATTTCTTAGCAAAAGTAAATGTGGATCTATCGTGATCGTGCCATTGTTTTGCTACCATCTTTAATAAATGATTTTCCAGCTGTTGTATTGTACTGAGAGGCTCCATTTTGAGGCTCCGACCGGATCTATCGATTAGAGCACTCTCACCGGCTGCCTTTTCCAAACGAAACCTTAGTCTTCTGGTTAGGATCTATTAAAAAAAAAAAAAAAATGGTTTGAGTCTGTTAAACTTGCCAGTAAGCAAATGCATGAAGAAATAATAATAGGAAAACGCACTTGTAAGCCATAACCGGATCCAGGTGTGTCGTACAAATAAACTGGTAGTTTCTCTATAGATTCTAGTACAGAGACCAACTTATTGACCAATATCTTGGCTGAATTTTGTTCCTTGGTATCATTCATTTGAAAGGAATTTTTAAAGAGGGCAATCCGTTGCAAACGAAGTTTTGTCGCTCTCAAGGATGGCGGCTGAGGTCCAGGAGGTGCAGCGAGTAATGCCAATAACGCCTGGACAAGACCGCTTGAATGCAATTCATAGGCTGAGACTCTTCCTTCCTCGTTCAATAAGATCTTAAGCTCTTCCAGTGCATTTTGCAGAACATTTCGCCATTCCCGGTTACCGGACTGTTGCTTTTGACATGCCTTTTCTATCTGGCTGACGATGGCCCCCAGTTTGGCAACAACACCGCGAGGTTGCGCTTGGGCGGCCTTGAAGTATCTCTCGTAGATTTCCTGCGCCTGAGTCTTAACTTTCTGCTTAATAGCTTCCATTTTCGATCGCAGTCTCTTGCCGCGTTTACCTGCCCAACCGGCAGCGAATTCCGGACCTGAAGTTAAGAACGACGAGTTGCAGGAGGAATTTTTCTTGTGGACTTTCAAGAAGCTACTCTTCGTAGGCATATAAGTACCTAGACTCGTTTCTGCAGTAAAGGAGTGTTTGGTACCCCGATTAGATTCAAAAATAAATCCTGGCAAGTCTTCCCTTAGGATGGTGGCCTGTTGTTGACCATCACTGTTATGAATAGAAAGTTCGCCTTCTTTGCGACTGGAAAGTGCCCAATTACCGACAACGAGCCGCGTGGTTCCTGGTCTTGATAATATTGGTTGGCTCACAGAATTCGGTTTCACCTGGCCCCGAGCTCTTTGTAATTTTTCCAAAAATTCACCACGATTTTCTGAAATCAAGAGGCTCCAGTAATGTCCATTCAGTATCAGAAGCTTGTCTATGGTGTTAATGGACAAACATGAGAGTGACGAACGAGGCGAACGAATGCGAAATTTAGATGATAGCCGAATATCAAAGTATCATGAAAATAGTTAAGAAAATTTGAATTAAGAGAGGTATTAAGATCTGTCCGCTTTAATAGACTGTTGGTATTAAGGATGTACCTACCTTCCGTAGTGAGCGACTCTGTGTTCCTCCCCTTTCCTGTAGGCAGTTAGTAAAAACCAGTTACTCTCTAAGCTATTAGCTAAGCTGAAGTTAATCACAATATGCTGTGTAATGAGAATTCCAATTAACGTAAATACGATAAGGATCGTTGTAACGATGCATAATGTGAAATGGAAAGATCATTGAGCGATCTAGTGATGCGATTTTGTTAACAAGCCAATTAGGCTTACCACTCGTGTCGGTTCCACCCTCAGGACTTCCACTGGAATACATTGTTGCCAGTTTGCCATCAAGGATAAACCTAAACCAGCCATTACTTCCATTTGACAATTCTAAAGCAGCGGCGTCAGACCAAACGTACAAACAGTCGCGTCCTCGACAGATGCACCAATCACGCCAGTGATAGGCACGGCCCACAAGTAATTCACGGGCGTCCTCCAGTCTCTGTTCTTCGCCAGATTGATTTGGTTCGGACTCTGGTTCCGGAGCTGCCTCTTGAGGTCCTGCTAATGCAGCCACCTTAGAGAAGACACCAAGACGAGCAAAGTGCTCCAGAAACTCTTCCTTCCCTTTCACCATAAGATCCTGAATCATTTGTAGTACTACCAAGTGGCCGTCCTCGTCCTCCTGTTGATCATAGATATACTTTATAATATACATTTTTTTAAAAATTTACTCACGTTTAGGAAAAATCTTTCGAAAATTCAATATCACACTTCACTCTAAATTCCTAAAAAGAAACATGATCAAATTTGTTTCAACAGACATGAGGGAGTTATGTTATGTTTACTCGTTACAAAATTATTGACCTTATGAATTATGTAGCATGATTATTATTTTTCTTGACTGCTTATCGCACCTTTTTAGTAAAATACTTTAAGGGACTTTTTGCCAATAAGATAATATATACATTAAGCGGCTTTGTTCATTGAATGCCACATTCTATTACCCTCCTTCTGTCGAAAGTAGTAGGGCAACGTGCATGTACCGTTAGTACGACCGTTGTAATAGCAGGCAGACAGTCGATAAAAGCCTATAGAAAATCGTAAGTCGCCACTGCCTGCTAGTAACCTCTGAAGAAGGTACTGAGTTTCCGATTCACTCGGTGCTTACTCTCTGTCTCCTCGTTGGAAATTCTCAAGGTTATTATTTCCTTCGAATTACAAGATGACAGGAACGAATTTATTGAACGTGCTTATTCGCTTGCGTGCGTGAATCATGCATGCTTGCTGCATGCTAGCTTTGCAAATTCTCAATTTTACTTGCTGGCACATACTCATGTCGACCATACAATTTCAATTGATCGATGTCCATAACCGTGGATTAAGTTTGTTAAAATGCACGCTTGGGACTTTCGGATTAGTAACGGAGCTAATGTTCTGATGTTGAGATTAAATGACTCACAAGGGTTCGAATATCGCACGAGCGCAACATTTAATGAGGGTCAAAGATATTTGTCTAAAAGTGCAATAGAATAGAATAGTGACGTTACCGACTTATTGAGAATGTAGTTCTGGGAACCGGAAGGCTTGCGCGACGAAAGACGGGGCAATTTGGGGCCAACGATCGACTTGAGAGGCGGAGGTGGTGGTGGTGCCTCTCTGTCAACGTCCTGTGAAAAATCTCAACTGAGTAGTGAGCAATTTTGGTCCTCTATTTTCTTCTCTATTTTTGCTTTCTTCATAATTTCTCTGTCTGACTGTCTGCCTGCTTGTCTGTCGCCTACCCTGATCTGCGTTTTTGCTTGAACATCCAATAAATCTGCCTACCTACTCACATTGGTCTTACTGCCTGTCGATCCCCTTGAGATTTTAGGGTAAAAGATAATATTATAAATTTGAGGATAAGGACCTACCTCATTGTCTAATACATTAGCGATGACTTCCACGAGGGTTGCTCCACAGCCAGCGGTTCCGTCTGCACTACAAGCTTCGACGAGTAGTTCTGGCTGAATGTAATGGACCATCTTCCTGATCAAACTTAAACTGGCTTTTCTTACACTCGGTAGCATGGTGGATTGAAATGTAGCACAGAAAACGGGTAGTAGTCTTTTGAGATAAACAGGAGCCATTTCAGGATCACCCTTCGGTTCGGTGAATTCTTCCACTTCGGTTTCTGGTTTCCTGTGTTCTTGATTAGATGGTAACATCCATTCTCCGGGAGATTGAAGGATAGCTGCTACTTCTCTATGACCCTCATCAACGCGTTCCCTAGCTTTATCCAGAGGAGTCTTTCCGTCCTCGTCTCTCAGGTCAGGATTGGCTCCATGTCTTAATAATACTTTGGCAATAGCTGGTCTACCGAAACACGCGGCATAATGAAGACTCGATGATCGTTGACCTTTGTTGACGTCAGCCCCTCGATCACATAAAAACTCGACCATCTCCTGGGTGCCAAAAGCGGAGGCCCAGTTAAGCAGTGTCTGACCAACGTCGTCCATAAAATTGACTTCGATCCCACCAGAATCAATAGCTTCGATCAGCGCATCGGTATCTTTTGAGCGGATACAATCAATAAGTTGTCTATGGGACTTCTCGCCAGCGCTGTCTAACCGTCTGAGTCTTGGTAACAGAGGACCACCGGACGGACCTCCTGCAACGCTACGACCAAGAGCAGATCTTCCTTCGAATAGTAAAACCAAAAGTAAATCCACCAGCCTCATCGAGTCCAAGCAGCACCTCTCATCGCCCTTGAGAGCCTTCTCGATCGCGTCTGGCAATTCTGAACGTAGAAGGTCATGTGTTATGGATGGAGAGCCTCGACATAATGTTGAGAGAAGGCTTATGATGGTTGATACAGAGGCGCAAGACTTTGGCTCGGGTGCCGGTGTCGTCGAAGCACTCGACGGCGGAGGAGTTTTAGGGTTTCCAGAACTGGCTGCTACAGAGTTACCAGGTCCTGCGGCATTTGACAACCTGGACGAAAAGAAATCTTAACATAGTAACATATGAATTAGGAATTATGGCTCAATTCATTATTGAATTTATTACCTGTATAGGAGTTCAGAGACAAGTCCATTAGAGGCCAGCGGAGCTGGATCTATTCCCCTCCTGGAGAATCTGTCAGCTAAAGAAGCAAAGCATCGAAGAGCACCATCCGCTACATGAGCATCTTCGTGTCTGAGTAAAGTTGACAAGGCTTCAACGCAATCTGGTAATGCTTTATCCTGAGGTTCGACTTTGCCACATAATCGCGAAACCACAGCCATGGCCGAATGTAGAGTATCACGATGTACACGGGCTCCATGTTCCCGAATAAAACACAAAGCACATGGGAGGCCACCTGCTTCAAATACAGCACCTGCTTCTCTTGCGCAAACAAGCTCAAGTACCTGAATTGAAGTTAATTATGTATAATATTGGAATCTACTTTCACATTTATCAACCTTGGACTCTGCTTTTACCTTGATACATTGTTCTGCTAAATCTCTGCTAGCTCTAGACCCTAAACCTGCGCCTGACAGTCGACCACAAATGGCTTTAACAGCACCTTCCATGGCCACAACCCGTCTTGTGCATTCTGCTGATACATCTAAGTAATATGTTATTGCTCTGGCTGTCACTTCTAAGACACTATCAGGTGCAAGCTCATCCAAGAAGATACGACAGAGAGCAGGTAGGAACGTGCGTGGTGGACAGCTAAATATAAAATATTTGAATTATACAAATTAGTTGCAATAAGTTAAATTGTTATATCGGAACATATTACATACCATTCGAAACAGCGATCAACATTATCGGACATAAGTAGCAACATGCACAACTGTTCCAATGCTATTAACTGCATGTCTCTTTCGTCTCCTTGGCCCATACTCAGCCATTCTAATAGAGTGTCTGGATCTACTTCTGCCATCTTGATGTAAAACAAAAGAATTGGTAACTTTCTGCAGAGTAAGCAAACAGATCCCACCTTAACCTAACGTACAATATTCGTAAACGAGTGTATGCCAAATAAGAGACAAAGAAAAATAAGCCAATCTTACCTTGTATTTATTCTAGCACCATTCAAATTCCCTAAACCGCTAATCTGCAACATAATAAAGACATAAAATGACTAGTAGTTTTGTGCAACGTCGATAAAATCCTATGAATCATTAGAAACTCATCCAAACTCACGTATTCAATACATACATGACATCACACGATAATATCATTTAAAAATTTCACAAGTCTTTATTATAAACGGTAAGTTCTCGATGAATCGTGAAAGAGTAAAATAGGATATAAAACAAAGAAAAAAATTAACTTTTATTGTAGCAAGAACATGGATAATTTTTATTGTGAAATAGGACAAAGTGAGGTCGGATTCTCTTTGGTAACAGTTAAGAAATTAGTAAAAGATGAACAGTGGTTAACGGAGCGACAGCGTTTTAGTATTGTATAGTTAGACACGAACGACAGTTTCATAATTGGCAAATGCGATGAAGGCGACGTATGTATGTGAAGATACGTACCGTTCAGAAGCACAGTGTTCCATTCTTCACGGGGTCAAGTCGCCATCCTCCAAGGACGTATCGTTTTCCACTGTGAAAACGCAACTGCCTTAACGAACGCAAATGAACGACGTTTACAGTTAGTTTCGCCGACGGATCGACGTGCTGCTCCTTCGAGCAGAACAATTTTATTTCCTCTCCTAGTGTCGTCGTCGTCGTCGTACGTACCTTGCCATTTACGTGACGTTCCGTATCGTGAGACTTCAGTGGCGCCGCGTCCTCAACAGAGCGACTGATCGTGCAAGCGACACGAAAGAGATCAACGAACAGACTTCCACTTCCCGAACTTCGATTTTCCTTATTGTAATGTTATCATTTTACGGATTGATCCAGGATAATTACAGATCTTTTACTAATTCTTATGGGTGCTTCTTGATCTTTGAATCTTAAATCTACTTGGTTGGATGCAGTTAATTTAATTCTAGAAATTGCCGTAACATGAAAATTCGAACATTCAATGACTACTGGAGGCATCTTTTCAACAGCACGGCAACTACTGACATTTGTGGCTATATACATATATCGAATGTGACTACATATCAATGTTTAATTAAATAATTGAATTTACTAAAGGATAACTCTGTTTTTATTAGACTGTGTAGTCACACTTTATTATATAAAGTTATATTTTAACATAAATAACTGTATGGCATATTGGATTCTGTTAATGTTCATTTTTTTTTAATCGCTAAACATATTTCCAAAATAATCTTAGATTCTGAGATCACAAATAAATTATATTTTTTTTTTACTAAATGTCCTTAAGTACCTTGTTTCTTTTGAGTTTCATATGGCGTTAAAACACTATTTGTCATTTTATCAATAAAATTATCTAAAACTAAAGAACGAATCATAGAGGTTACTGGTGTTCTACATACAGGACATTCATTGCTTTTCTTTTTCCAGGCTTCTATGCATCTTTGGCAAAAAGTATGCATACAGTTTAATGTCATAGCTCTTACAAATAATTCAGAACAGACACTGCATGTAAGTTCTGCCTCCATTATATCGTTAACTTTATCAAAAGCATTCCCTTGTTTATTGTCTGGGACATCTAACTCTTGGGGGCAGTTTGTCTCTTTTTGTAAAGTATTACAGAGCCTTGTCGTATCCAGTTTCTCTGATAGCTCTGGCAGCTTTATTTTACTTAGTTGATTATCCTCAGCAGAGCAGGTATAAATATATCTATGTTCCTTAGACAGACTAAACTGTATGATATCTCCCACCTTAATTGATTGTGGCATATTGCGTGGTATAGGAGTACCATTGACCATAGTACAACTAGAGCTTGTGTCAGTAATAGTCCATTTTCCAACATCTGTACGTTTAAACACACAGTGCTTCCGAGATACTAAAATATCTGTTATTATCTTGTCATTTCCCCGCGCTCTTCCTATTTTAAACTGTTGAACAAACGAAAGAAACGCGTATAAACAACAATTTGCTTTGTACCCTTTCTATGATCTATTATTTCCAAATAAAAAATACCTCGTTTTTGGAAATGTGAATAATGGACGTTTTTGAAGCACTGTCAGCTTTTAATAAAATCGGATGTGGATGTTTAGACATTTTTCTTTCAATATTTTCTTATATTTTTCCATGAGCAAATAATATTCCTTCCTTCCTTTCCTTTCGACTGACTCCTTCAATAAGATGTGCCAGAGCAAACAATATTATTTCGTGACATTAATTCACCTATGAGCAGTCAATAACTAGACTTGCTAGATTTTACGTGTGGCCTCTGATGTGGCAGAATCGCGACATGGTGCTGACCTCTCAAGAAATTAGCTACGTTTAAAGATTACTGCTAGCAGAGGTGGATAGGTAGTGAGATTGCCAATGGGCCGATATTCTTGAAACCGCACGGTGGAAACTAAGCCAGTAAATTTCGGAACACATCATAGGTTGTCTTGTGGATGGATGATTGTACGTATTCAATATACATATATACAGTTTATGCCACTGGCGGCGCCATTAAACACCTATCAATACTTGTTGAAGACATTGGACACGTGTTTTTCAAGAAATTTTATTTGTGGACAATTGTGGACAATATTTGCGTGAAAGAATGGGAAAAGGACGAAGGCATAAGCCGAAGAAGAATTTTGCAGAAAAACGACGTGAAAAGCAAAAAGTAAATGTCACAGTCATTGGCCCTTTGTTTGCCGGCGGATTTGTCGAGTTATATGAAAACAATTGTGCTATTAAACTTCAATTGTAATTAATTTTTTTGTAGAATAAGGATGTATGGGATAAAATGCCTCAAAGATGCTATGCTGATATCATTAGAGATAATAAGGATTTTGAAAATTACTACAAAAGTCAGAAGATTGTTCCTGAACCTGAGTGGGATTCATTCATGGCAACAATGAAGGAGAATCTTCCTGTTGCATTTCGCATAACGGGTTCTAAGGCTGAAACAAAGGCCTTGCTTGAAATTATTAAGGGAGACTTCTTTGAGGAAATTCTTAATACAAAATTAGAAGATGGGCAAGAAGCTGCAAAAGAGGAAGAGAAAATGAAGCCGAAGTGCTTACCATTTTATCCTGATGAACTTGCTTGGCAGTTACAGTTAACGAGGAAGGATATCAGGAGGTCCGAAGCTTATTTTAGATTACACAATTTCCTGATTGCAGAAACTAGTAGTGGAAGTATCAGCAGACAAGAAGTAGTTAGTATGATTCCTCCACTAGTGCTTGACGTGAAACCTCACCATAAGGTTTGTCAGTTTGTCTAGATTTGATGGATTTATACTATAACATGGTTAATGATTTAAGAGCTATATGCAATTAAACTTTTTTTTTTAAATAGGTTTTAGACATGTGTGCTGCACCAGGTTCAAAGACGGCACAATTAATTGAAATGATACATGCTGACGAAGGAGATACACATCCTGGTAGATTAAATTATTGTTGTTTTATTACTTTATGAATATTTTCTATGGATATTATTATAGACATGATATTTTTTACAGAGGGTTTTGTCATAGCCAATGATTTGGATAACAATCGTTGCTATATGCTGGTACATCAAGCTAAAAGACTAAGCAGTCCAAATATTCTTATTACAAATCATGACTCATCTGTTATGCCAAATTTTACCGTGACGAATCCAGACGGTAGTAAAGGAATTCTAAAGTTGGTTCAAATTTACTAATGTTATTACCGTGTATCTAAAGTTACTCAAAGAAAAATATCTTTCCTAGATTCGATAGAATCTTGGCAGATGTACCTTGTAGTGGTGATGGTACAATGAGAAAAAATCCGGATATTTGGTGTAAATGGAGTCCAGCTAACGGCAATAACCTTCATGGGTAAAAAATTATTCTCACTTTTAGTTTCTGTATAAATTCAAATCAAACTATTACTTTCCCTTGCAGAATTCAATATAGGATAGTGAAAAGAGGATTGGAGTTATTAGCTGTTGGTGGTAGGTTGGTTTATTCCACTTGTTCTCTGAATCCCATAGAAAACGAAGCCGTTCTACACAGACTTCTGGTAGAAACAGGCGACTCCGTCCAGCTGGTTGACGGTCGAAATTTAGTACCAGGTCTCAATTGTGATCCTGGTTAGTCCTAGTCACCTTATTTCTACCATCTAAATTTATCGCCCCGTCCCTGGATTTGTATTACTATTGTCATCTATAAATTTTAGGAGTAACACATTGGTTACCCGCCTCAAAAAATCTTCAATATTACAATTCTTGGGAAGAAGTTCCTGAACAATGGCAGACACAAGTTCGTCCACAGATGTTCCCACCGAAGCCCGAAGATGCTCATAAATTTCATCTGGAGCGCAGGTACATATTCACTAGCTATTCATGATTGCACAATTATTTGTTTCGCTTGACTTTTATCATTTAGTATGAGGATATTGCCACACCATCAAGACACAGGAGGCTTTTTTGTGGCTGTACTGGAAAAGGTATCAGCCTTACCTTGGGAGAATCAAGAGTCTATTAATAAGTCTGCAGATAAACAAATCATTCAAGAAAATGCGAATGAACTGAGTTTAGAGGAAGAAGTTGAGAGAGAAACGAAAACACCGGATGATAAGAAGAGGCCTTTAGATGAGGAAGAAAAGAAGCCATGGGGTCCACAAAGAAAACGGAAACGAATGGTTGGATATCGTGAAGATCCCTTTGTATTCTTTAAAGATGAAAACGAAGATGTGTGGCCATCCATTAAGTGAGTATCTTGATAAAATTCCTTTATAATTCAAAATTTGAATGGTTCTTAATGATCTCTTACACATTAACAGAGAATTCTATGCGATATCGGAGAAAATGGATCCTCGTTGTCTACTCGTGAGGTGTCAAGAAGGCAAAAAAAAGAATATATATTTCACGTCACCCGCAATTCGCGATATTGTTTTATCCAATGAGATCAAAGTGAAGATGATCAATACGGGCGTGAAAACATTTGTTCGTTGCGATAATAAGAATATGAAATGTGCGTTCAGACTCGCACAAGAAGGGATGCGAAGTATTTTCAATTACGTGGGAGATTGTAGGAAGGTTCATATAACAAAAGATGACCTAATCATGCTCTTGCAGAATGATTACCCACACACGCCTCCAGAGATTGTAAAGCTCAGTCCAGAAACGCAAGAACGCGTTAAAGACTTTGGTAAGACTAATTATTTTATTAATGAATATTATATTTTTCAATTATGTATTCAAATGATCACCTACGTTCATTAGCTACTGGGAGCTGTATGCTATTGTACAAGGAGGACAAATCGGACAACCCTTTGAACCTTGAAATGGTTGGGTGGAGGGGTACGATGTCCTTAAGGGCGTATGTTCCTATTCATGACGCTGTTCATTACCTGAGGTTACTAGGCGCCGACTGCTCCAAATTCGGTAAGTCATCATTTCTGATGAAATATTTCAACGAACGAGGATCAAATGTAGATATCAATGTTCTAACTGATATTTAATGCTCCAGAGAAGAACAAGTTTAAAGAGAATCGAGATGCTGTAGCGATGAAAGTAGATAATACCGAGGAAAATATTCTCAATGAAGAGAAATTGGTCGGAAATGGGATTGAAATAAAGGGAGGGGCTGACCACGAGGAAAATACAATGAAACCGGAAATTACGAAGGAAACCACATAAAGGGGTAAGGATCTGATGCCCTGGGCCTATTGTGATATAATTGATACAATAGTCAGACAGATTTACAGGCTTAATAAAGGTACGAATTGGTGTAACGAGAAGAGAATCAACTCCCACTTTAATTATCCACTTTTTTTCTATGAAATAATTGATTTAAGAAATTCCCATTACACTTTAATTACTAGATACTTAATCGATATCGGTTTTGAGCGTAGAGTACCCTTTCAAAGTTATTGTTCGGCCACCATTTCTCAGCAACGCCGTAAAAAGTAGAATCCAAATTTCTAAACTTATGTGCTACGAGTACGTATAAACATGGCCGGATGCGAAGGAATCATCATGAGACTGAGACGGCTAAATACCATTGGACTTTTGTCAGCTGGACATCTTAAGAAGAGAAACTGTAGGATACCGGAAGCTGCGAATACTCGATGTCGTGACTGGGTCCAGCTAACTGAAAAATGACTATGTTATTCGAATTAATATGATGCGTGACAAAAGGACATTTGTCCCTTGCAATAATTCTTACACGGCATATAACACTGTACCGGAAACTCAACTACGTTGTCACGCAAGTTTATGCTTTTTCCCAATCTAATTGGGAATAACGTGTTCCTACGTTTATCTGGCGTCAATATTAGAAGGACGGGTTTTACTATAAAAACATCTAAATATACGTACAAACATGAAAAAAGACTAGGCGACTAATAACATATACCGTAAACTATTAAATAAAGAAAAATCAAAAATTTTCTCTGTCAACTTTTTACATTCTACTGATGACTTTTCGGCTGTGACAATGATTGTCGCTAATAATCTCTTCCAGTGGGTGATGTCATCTTGCCACTGAGACCTTGCGAATTTGAGGATGACTTTGTGCCTGGAAAAGACAGAGTCAAGGGGTGACTGTAAAATTAAAGATTTTGAAATGAATTAATCTTTTCAATGACTTACAAGGTTTACTTGTTTTATTTCGTGGATTGTTAGTGCAAGGGTGTTCTCCCATTAGATGCTCTCTCCATTTATTCTGATTCACATGAGTGTGACAAAGGGGACATCGCTCATAGCCCTCTATGGGTTCTGAAAAAATGAATAATAGTAACAACAGTTAATATTTAAACACATTTCCCAACTGGAATATTTCGTACTTGTGCATTTTTCGTCCTTCGCGTGTTCCTTAAACGTCCTTTCGTGCATGGCTTGCTTACACGTATCGCACTTAACATAATTGCTCCTCATATCGCACTCATCTAAAGTCCAAGTTTATAAATTAATGTCACCGCTCTCATAATTATTAGTCGGTACAAGGTAGATTAGGACTCACTTAAAAGGTGTAAATTTAAGTAGGAGATTTCTACGACCTGCTTACAGGCTTCGCATCTCGTCAACATAGGACAACTACGCCAGTAGTGAATATTGAGTCCTTCCTCCGAATAAACTTGTCCTTTGGACAAGCAAAATATGCACATTCTGAAAAATCCCGAGAATCACTTACTTATAAATTCTCCAATTAAGTGGTAATTATTATATAAGATTTACGAACTTTTCTCTCTTCTGATCTGCGCTGTTCTCGGACGGCGACGTTATACTCGTAGAACTAGCTGTACTAACGGCTGGACTCGTTCTCGGAGGTGACTTCGTTATGTTTGCCACATGATTTTCTGTCGATTTTGTACGCGTCGGTGTTGTCGTTGGTTTTTGATTTGATTCCAATTCCTTTTTTCTCTATAAACGTATGTAATCAATGTACAATTATTTTAAATTACATATAATTTATTAGGATCCACATCCTCTATACCTGAAGATCTATCAAATCAAACTCGTGGAAGAGCTGACGGTATAGCAAGTTCCTCCTAGTGATGTCATCATCAGGTGGCAATTGTTTCCGTACAAGCCGTGGATTAACTTTGTAAACCAAAACCAAAATTCGCTCAGAAACTTTCCTGACGGCTTCAGCAGGATGATGAAGACCCGAGGAGCCCAATTCGGATAAGGTTCGACATGTCAAGCCGCTGCAACAGTTACAATGCCTTATGGGAATAAATGTATTATGTCATTCGAAGTCAGACAGGGCCTCTGGTGGATGAAAATATCACAACTGATAATTTTCATTGCAGAGGTAATCCTGAGGGTTCGGTATGGAAAAGCGCAATTGTTTATCTTGTTTTCTTTATTGGCGCACTCATAATGTCACCTTTGCTTATCAGTTGATATTCCATGGTTCAGTATTAATTGTTCGACCATTTCCAATCTACTCAGTGCAAGTCTTTGATGAGTACTGCTACTGACTGGTCTACTCAGATGAACCGGTATTATATGAAGTTCGCGCACGCATTTAACATCCGCCATACTCAGTATAGTATGCACTGCCATGTTGTGTATCCTGGGAGTAGTGTCTCCTGACTTTGTCAAGAGTTCAGGAAGCAGTCGGTCTACACTGCGAGCAATCTCTGGCGAGGACACCCTAAGGATGCAAATTTATTTAATTTAGGAAGACTCGTTTCAAGATTTTATTTATCCAAAGACTCACCTGTCAGTAGCAAACTCAGCAAAGAAAATCCTAATAAGTTGAGCTGCCAAACTGTATACGCTGAAGACTTTGTCCCTCAGTGCTCTGTGCAAGAGCAAAATAGCTGCGCGCGCAGTTTTGTTTGCTGAATGCTTTGAGACTTCCGGATCAAAAGTTCTTAGTTCCTCCTTTAACTGCATTAAGCCCTCCTCCTTGTCAGTGAATTGTTTAGAGTAAAACTTTTCCACCTGGCCCAGAGGAAGATCGGTTCACCCTTAGTAATCGAATAGTTTTATAATTAAACAGTTGCAATAAAATTATTGATGCAAGTACCATATCCATGCCAAAGACTGCAATTGGTAATGCTGCCTGCTTCTTCTCCCTGTCGTTGAGCTTCGAGGTGACTTTTGTCTCAGCGCTGTCCATGTGACACTCTCTCGTGAATTCATTCGTGTGAGAACTGCAAGTTGAGAGGCTCATCAAAATTTCATAAAAGCTTAATAGAAGAAGGTGAGAGTCACTTACTGCCTGAGTGCAGGAATGGTTCTCTCCTCGTAGGCTTCATAACTCGAACGAAGTGCCGGACCAGCCGATTTCGTTTTTCTCCTGAGCGAACCTTTGTTACAAGTATTGAGCCTTTCCAGGACGCCATTCGTTGGACTATCAGTGACTTCTACCAATAACGTAAAAAAAGAAATCCAGCCAATAAATGATTTTGCATTCCAGACACTTGTACATCTTAAACGAATAAAGTGTACCAGGGCTATTTGGCTTCTGATGTAATGGAGACACTGGTAGTTGCTGAGCTGGACCCGTAGGAGATAATGCACCTTCTCGACTTGGTGGTACGGCCAACCTGGGTGGTGACGTGATTTCCTCAGGAACAGTAACCGGCGCAGTATCGCATGTATCAACCGATATCGATTCTATACCCTCAACTGTAGATAGATTATTTTTTTCCAGAGGCTACAAGGATAAAACGAGAGTTTCTGGACTGCGTCCCAAAATTGTCAAAGGTATTTAATCGACTCTACGTAATGTAAGAAACTCACTCCATGAATTTCTAATAAATCCTCTACTTCCAGGGACTGGTAGACCTGTTGTCTATAAAGCTGTGCCTGTGCCTTCTTCGCCTTTGCTTTATCATAATCCTCCAAGGCTATTGCATATTTCTTCTCCAACTCATACTTCCCCAGACGTTCTCCAGATTTTCTCAAATTTTCCATCGCCACCTTGAGCTTCGACGCGTACTCGAATCTCTCTTCTGAATAAATAGAGATAAAGTTATGTCATGGGGCGAAGCCTACCCTGAACCATCACTCTGATGCTTACCCTCGACAGCTTGTAGTTTCTTGGCTTCCATCTGTCTTATGATCTTGGCGACTTCACGATCTACATACATTTCAAATGCCAGATCATCGTAGGGTGAAGTGTAGTGAGGATTATAGGGAGCATCTCCTTGGCCACTAAGTTCTTGCCCGTAAGGCTCGCCTAATATATTGACGGCTATAAGGCCAACCTGAGGAGAGTTGATAGATGAACAAGTATATTTAGACAGTGACATTTGGCTTAATAGATCGCAATGTTGTATATTATATCTTGAACTATTTCGTAGAAGACTCTACCTAGCCGGAAGGAAATAGTCTCTTCGAAGAATCTAGTCTAGAGTAATTGCTTTTATCGATCTGGCGTATAGGCATGCGAGTACCCGGAGTTATAACCGAAATGCAAGTCTAAAAATGGCTTGACATTTTTTCTAAAGAGAATCTGCCACTTGATAGAACGAAGTGACAAATTTATAACTTCTTTTTCGATTGAGGTTTAATGGAATTAGGTAATTTTCGAAATCCCGTGAACGCCTTCGTCTATCACGTAAGAAATTATCTACCTGTTCATGAAGATTGTGAGCATTCGCATGTGGCTTGTGAAGTCTCAGCTTCAAGGTCACAGCTTCCGTTTCCGGAAGCGCGACACTTTTCAATTCTCTGCTCTTGTAAAGAGTCGAAGCGTTATCCGAAAGAGTGATATATCCTAAATACATGAAATCCGTGGAGTTAGAAGCATTTTCCTCTTGGGACGTCCAGATTTCCAATTTTTCAGCTACAATGGGAGGAATTATGAGAAAATGAAGTTTCAGAAGAGTAGTTCGTCGAAGCAATCTACTAATTCACTTTTCTTGGACTAATCATATTTATTGTCAAGAAAGAGATTTTAATTTGATAAATAAATTGTTTTATGGTAATGCTCATTTGGTATTATATAACGAGACTCACGAATGAGGTATTGATGTGCGAGTACTTGTATCCTAGTTAACTTAGTCGGTCCATGAAGACGCAGGATAAGTTCCTGAGGATATCCGCATCTTCTTGCACTCTGCCAACCACGTACAGTTGGTCCATGGACGTTTAACTCCAAAGACGAGTGTCTTTCTTCTTCACCTGGGCGTTGTACGACAAGAAAAAAGTTAGCCCCAACGACGTATTTTCGTAATCTGGGTAATGAGCCCGAGAACTATATCCCGGAGGTGGATTAATAAATGGCAAAGAGCAGAAAATCCACGTGTTTCTAGTATCATTTTTATGAAAAATACTTCAAGGGTATTGGAGCATAGAAGAATTGGAGCGAACAATAATGGTAGAGTAATCAAAACGTGTCATGCCCGATCATAGAAAATCAATGCTCCGAAATCTGCATGGGATTATTTAACGGGGACTGGCGTATTTATGGTATATTGTTATCAGAATGATTCTATGAAGCTCATAGAATTTACTATTTTTTGGAGAAATTATCGAAACATGGATGAAGGTTAGTATTGTCTTGAAGCTTTTCTCAAAGAAAACTTTAAGAATTCTATAAGATCTCCTTACTCGTAGCGTATACGACGTTGAATCCAATTTTCTGCGGCATGTCGAAGAATTTTTCGATACTCCAATAGGATCTTCGAAGTCTAACGGGAATCTATTAAAGCCGAACGTAAATGTCAAATCGAAAAGGCACAGCCATCTGAGAAGCTCGTATTTGAGAACTTGCAAGTTTCACCCCGGCGCGCGAGCAACCAACAATCCGGACTGCAGGTCTGGCCGCGGCGAAGCTTGCCACGAAACTGAGAGAGTTTGGAGCTCTACAAGCTAATAACGCTAACACGGTACCTTATGCTATTGAAATACTTTACACTAGAGAATTCTTTAATGAGTACTGAAAGCTATAAACATTATCTCTTCATCGAGGATCTACCAGGATGATTAATTAATTACTTTTTGGAGCACTATTAGGTATATATTGTAATATTATCAAACTAATTGTTAAAATTAAAATATCAATTTCATAAACGATTTTGGTTTATATTACAAATATAAATTATTGAGATAAAAATTATATGAGAAAATGAGCAAAATCATATTACATAATTTTATAATAGACTTCAGGGATTTCCCGCTGCTCACAGACACCCTGTATGTTGTCTCGTTGAAATTTTAAGCACGCAGCATCTTAAGGAAAGAAAAGCTGGTCCATCTTGAGGTCATTTGACAAGTAGATATCCACATTTTATAACGGACGTGGGGAAATCATTGACAGTGTTTCATGGAATGGTCATCTTCCACGTACAAGTCAAAATATAGACAGTAATTTTATGAGGGATCAATAAACGGAGGCTGCGTGACGTCAGAGGGTGCGGCGAGGGTGGATGGGGCGACACAAATCGTTACGTGTTCTGTATTCATCACTGAAGCCCACGTGTCTTAAATCCACGTGCCTCCCACGAACTATTTTATTTACAATTATATATGACACTAATTAGAAAGTCATTTTTATTAAGAAGAAATCGTTTATTTTAATAATATTGTACACGAATTGTCAATTATACAGTAATATATGACGACCGTTGTGAAGGCCTTTATTGTACATGGAACAATTGTTAAAAGTTAATTTTTGGCTATGTGGTGGCAAATAAATATAGAAGACCTTTAATAAACTGGAATATCTCAGAACCACCAAGTTTCGATTCTCCGTATACCCGGTCAACGAAACTTATAGGAACCTCGCCTATTGTGTAGTTGAGTTGTCGGGCTCTGACTATCATTTCCATTTGGAATACATAGCCCTTGGACACGCAAGATTCAATGAGTTTTTCCAGTACGTGCGTTTTGTATAGTCTGTAACGCAAATAGAAAATTACTATCCTTTTGTCGTTAGCTCAGCTTTCAGATTCTTACCTGAAACTACCAGTCAAATCGCTAGCCCCAGGTCTCAGCATTAGCTGTGTTAAAAAATTGGCGCCTCTACTAACTAATTTTCTCTTGAAGTCCCAACCGTAAACACCACCATCTCCAATGTATCTTGTACCACTGACAATGTCTAGGTCCAAGTATCTCTGTAGCTCAATCATTTTTGGAATAAATTTTGGCTGAAAATATATATCAATTAGTTTACAAAACATTGACGACTTTATATAAAATTGTTAATATGTGTACATGGTGAGAAAGATCAGCATCCATTATAACAATGAAATTCCCACTAGCATGTTTAATTCCATGTATGTATGCTGTTCCGAGACCCATTTTCTTTTCTCTTGGTCTTAACAGTATTTTCTCTTCTCCATAAATTTTTTGCAGTTGCTTCGCAACGTCCTGCGTACCATCTGGAGAACCGTCATCGATCACTATGACTTCATAGCCACTTCCACTGCAAGTAATCGTTTTTAATACTTCAACGCTTTTAGGTTACCCATGACTTCAATACTCACCACTCATCCATGTACTTGACGATAAGCCATATTATTATTGGCAAGTTTTCTCTCTCGTTATACGTAGGTAATAAAATCGAATATTTATCATGTTTTGTCAACTCTTTTATATGTTCTTTCGTTCGATCGTCTTTAACCATTTTGGCATCTGTCAAACTGGATTTGGCTTTTGAACTTAAAGTCTCGACGTGGCAATATATACCCAAGATACCAACACGAATACTAAAATAAGTCCAAAGCGATTATCTATGTATATGAAAATTATATTTATTAATTAGAAGTCTAATTATTACTAAATTTTCAGTATTGTTTTTATTAAAACGAATAAACTGTCTTTCGTGAAAATTTCATACAAAATTGTACAGTCGGAACTGGCGCTCCAACTCGGAATATGAAGAATACGCAACTGGCGACAAGTGGCAACTCTTTACCGACTGTTGCGATAATTCGGATAATTCTTTAAAAATAAGGGATAAACTGGGCTAAACTGTAGACTTCTTCTTGAAATTGGCTGTGAATCACTGGAATTCGTATAGTTTTTTTTACATGAAGCTGTTCAAGAAGTAGCTGCATGCTGTAGTTTTACCAAAACGAGAACGCTATTGGCAGAGAAGAGCAGGAAGATGCACAATGCTACTGTTCTATAGGCGATACCAAAGTCATGGCGCTAAATCGTAGCGGCGAGAGTGGAAGTAGGATTTTGTGATCGCCTACGTCGACAATGCGAATCCCGTCGGAGCTGAGCTAAATGTGAACATGAACATGTAGCTTGGCGGGCAGAGGTTCTCCGCTACTCAACGCTGATTTCCACACAACCCTTAGAACGAGACCGGGAGCTATAGAACCTCTCAAGAACTATTGAAAAAGCCTATTGTTGAAACATTTTTAACACATTTAAAAAAAAGTCCAGTGCCAACTTGACACCCGAGTGTCACCTCAATTTTTGAAAAATGTTTTATCAGTGCTAACTTCACGTAGGTAAGATAAAAGCATTCGTACAAAGCCCGGTAGTGGCAATAGATTTCCTGGCACTTGGCCCTCTATGAAGGTATAAAGCCAAAAAGAAATAAGAAGTAGAAAATCTCGCAGAATATACGGAGTAGATGGAAATTCAATTGCAATTGTAGAATATCGAAAATAAATTACGTTCAAATTGAAATATTAATAAATTAGGTGTTTGGAACATTAAAATAATTAATTAAATCAATAAAGTAAAATATTAACACTTAGAAATCGGAAATTATGGCCAAGCATACTTAGAAGTATTGGAAGAGCCCAAAATTGTGTGCGCGCAAATTCGTCGCGAAGGACTCGGGGAGTGGGAGCAGGCGATGAGTGGGAGCAGGCGGATGGCGGGGGGCGCTCGAGATAGGGCCCGGACTCGGAGCGCTCATTCTTCCTCGAGCCGGTCTCCTATACTGGTCTCTTGGAATTACCTCTCTTACCCATTTCCAACGTTCTTCTTTTTCTATATTTACTTCTTTATCCTTCATTATTTACTTTCTTACTTATCTCTTTCCATATTTCTTCTCTACTTTTATAACTGTATTCCTTATTTTTCTACATTTTGACTTTTTTATTTCTATCTTCCTTTCTGTCTTCTCGTTTCACTCT